ACCTTGGACTTGAACTGGGACCAAACGATTAATCTATAAAATAAAATAAATGGCAACCCCTTGCCAGGATCATAATCACTGACTACATCAACTTTTATTTTGAAATTTAGGTGTCAGATCCCATTAGATCCAATGGTGTATGTCTTCAAATAATCATGTAAATAAGTACTTTTTATAATCTTTACTTTAACAGCCTTATCAGCACTGCAGCATTGTGAGTCAAATTCAAAACATCTCTGTCTCTGTGTTCTTAAGATGATACGATATGAGAGTTCAGCTTCACGGGTAAATCATAAGTTTCCCATGCCAAATGTTTTAATCCCCCTGTGAATCAACACTGCAGGGCCATTTTTAATGCATGCTGGCTGGACTGATGGCTAAAAGCAGACCTGGTGCCTGTTTATCACATTCCTGATCAGCAAAACTAAAAAAGAAAGTTCATCATCGGGCAGTTATCTGTTTGCACGCACTATCTAGGCCGGGCAGCTTACGTGCTGCAGAAGATCCCCAGAGTTTGACTGAAGAAGGTGCAATATAATTGGTAAATTTAATTTAAATGGTTTAAATACTTAGTAGATTTAATAAGTTATCATGTAAAAACGGGGGTCTCCCTTTGACCCCAGCAGAGGAAAGCCCAGTATTGCCGGTTTGGGGCCTAAATACCACAAGACTTGCCCGTCACATGGGCCTCCCAACGTGACTCTGCTTATGGTCAACAGTCACTGGCACCTCACGGAACTGAAAGTTAACCTCGTATGAAGAGCTGTACTGTGCCGACGGTGGATTTTTTTATACAAACTAAAGTGCATTTGTCCAATTACATAACAAAAATCAGCATAGAAGAATACTTATTTTTCTGTGTGTGCTTTTAAAGTTGTACAAAAAAGGCTTCTGAACAAGTTTAAAGTGTCAAGAAGCCACTAAAGTCACATATTACATACATTTACATAATTAGCACATTTGAAAGTCGAGCACAAGAAGCATAATTCAGAACCTTCAGGAAGTTTTAGTTACAATTACTGCAAAGAAGAAGTCCCCCGCACAAAACATTGAGTCATACTTCACCAACCTACTGCCGATTTTATTCTCACTGGAACAAGTTGCCTTTGAATTTTAATTAATTATTATACAAAAAAAAAAAAAAAAACACAATGTTCTCCCACAATTTTACTGCTAAAAAATGCCTTTTTAGAAAAGCAGACGTGAAATCAGGCATTTTAGGCCACAACAATCCCCCCCCAAAAAAGCCAACAAATTCCTGGAGAGACGATAATGTTCATAGAGAGGACCAGAGGGGTCTAGAACACACAACCCCTGGTTTAGGAGGCCACTAGCAAGAGAACTGGAAATGATCTAATCTAATTTTCACGCTTAAAACATGAGATGCACTCCAGTGACTATAGATCTGACGTCGAAATGTTGACTTCTGGGTTCATGAGTACTGTTCAGCTGTTTAAAGTGCAATGAATTAGACACAGGCAATGCATACGAGGCAAACATTTCCTAGAAACCTCAAACTTTTACACCATCTGTCATTATGAGATGTTTGGTACATCCATTAGTGGCTCCCTGATATTTTATTGTCAAAATCTGATGCCGATCTCTGCTAGATGGGATTGTTATTAATAAAATGTGAGGATGTCTTTACCTTTTGTTTATCTTTTACAGTCATGAGTGGAGATAGGAACTCTTATAGAGCCGCACTACTGCACTACTTGCTATTCACTCTGTTGTACTGGCACTTGCTGAGTGAAAAACCAAACGTTATGGTGATGGAATTACCAGTAAATTGTAATATTTTGTCTCAAAAGCACTGAAAAATTTAGATTTTGAAGAATAAATCACTCATTTCAAAAGCTTTTTGGAAAGACGTCACATGCCAAGAGTTAATTAATGCGTTATACTGTTTACATGTTAATAAATAGGAATATTATTACCACTAAAGATGACTTTATTTATAGTAAATAACACTGATATGCTGCCTACCTGCATCACGACTGCCTGCCGTCACACCGCACTGTCTTAACTTTTCTTTTGGCAGCCGCATATAAATATTTCCCTGCATGTGTCATGTTATCATTGAGGATGAAAAAAAAACGGGTATCGGTAGCTGCTGCGCCAATCAAATCCATCCACTGTAATAAACTACATGTTTACACTGAGCTCAGCATCATCAATTGGCTTTATGCTTATTGGCTGAACTTGGAAACAAGCTGAGTCACACTTGTGGGGATATATATATATATATATATATATGTGTGTGTGTGTGTGTGTGTGAATGCAACAGGCTTTTAGAAATAAAGCTATATAGAAAATTTGAATTAACGATATAAGCTGTTAGTGTAACTGTGGCAGCAATCAGTGTGTGTGTCCTAAACTGTCTTGCGTGATTACGTTACATGCACTTGGCCCATGCCCAGAGCACATACAATAAGAGCATTGAGTCTGCACAGCAACATGAGCTACGCGTTACAGACGATACATGAGCGCATTCAGTGGCTTCATTCACTTCCTGACAATAAAACATTTGTCCAATGCAACAAAGAAATCAAACGGTCTGACACATATGTGAGAAGTGCTGCAGGTATTCACATAAAAACATTCAATATGTCAGTGTTTTTTTTAGCTTGTAGCCTCTTTAAGGTATGCAATATCTGCTGTAACCCCTCACTAACAGGTTGTACACATTACATATACATTAGTTTTCTGATGCAGGAGTTCTGTGTTGTTTAGTTTTTATGTTCTCTGTCTTGTGCTTTTTTTGTGTTTTTCATTTACCTTCAAACATCTTGTTGGAAATGAGGGATTTTTTCTATAATCCATAAATATCAAAGAATCAGTAAGCTCAACCAACAGTGAGTCCCTTTGAATTATTATTAATGTATTTATTTTGATGTAATGGAAACAGCCTGAAGAGGTGAAACTCTCCAGTATTTCACAATAAGCTAAAACACACAAAAAGTAAACAGAGTTTGGTGCAGCAGAAGTAACATGCTGTGTTTTCCAGTGGTGGAAAAGTAGATTTCCTCCAGAGTTGCACGTAAATAAAATGTTTAGATACTCAATTTTATGTCACTTTATACTCCACTACATCTCAGAGGGAAATACTGTACTCTTTATTCCACTGACTCATATATTTACTCATTTCATTACAGATTAAGATTTTCTGATATAAAATAAAACATATTGTTAACATTAAATGGTTCTCAACCTCTATGGCTCATGATCTCTTGTGTGCATGTTTAGAGAGTTTCCTTTAAAGAATCCCAAAGAAGAACAATTACCCAATATTTTAAGTCTGATCTGAACCACTGGACTAAACTAACTATATATAAAGTACTTAAATGAGGTCCACCTCGAGCAGCTACAACAATAAAACTTGATGGGCCCTTGGTGGGGCCCCTATCCCCATGTTGGGAACCACTGTAATAAAGCATAGTCATTATAATTGTAAGTGGCTAATGACAAAGTTAATTAACATGACCCACGATAATCCAACGTCTCTATATTTTACGACAAAAGTCTACAGTCTTGTTGTAATGTGTGTTATACTGCAATTTTTTTATATTAATTAGACTGTTTATTATTTTCTCGATTCATTGATTTGTATTTGGTCAATAAAAGTTCAATAATCAAAGTCTACTAACGAAGGAGAGGAAAGAAACTGAAGAATTTTCACATTTAAGAAGCTGAAAAAAGATAATCTTTCTTTTTCAAGAAAAAAAATTACAAAAACATAAATTAATGATTAGATGTCTGTCAATAAATGATTCAGTTAATAATCTACTGGTGAAGGAATTATTCAGAAGTAAAGTAGAAGTTCTGCAGCATTAAAAATACTCCATTACAAGTAACCATTGCATTGAAAACGTCACTTTAGATAAGTATTCATGGGAAAATGTAATTAAAGTATTGAAAGTACTCATAATGCAGAACTGACTGTTATACTACAGCATTACAGTATGTTATTACTGCACAGTATGCAGTATTTTACTCATATTTAAGTACTTTTCACACTGTTTTGTAGACAAGAATGTGCAATATTTTATAAACAATAGTTTTTAATGCAAAATCTTAATCTTCAAAGTGTGTTGTAGCTAAAAATGTGGAGTAAAAAGTTCAACATTTCCCTCCCTGAACTGTAGTATAAAGTACAAAGCAGCAGGACATGTACTGACAAGCATTCACTCATTATTCTCTCCATTAAACTACAATAATAATCTGAATTAAACCAAACTGCCTCAAACATACTTTCAAAATCAGACTTTCCAAATGAAATCAGAGAAAGAGAGAGAGAGAGAGAGGACCGTGATTTGAAGCCACCCGCTGCAGATGGACCTGCAGCTCTCTGGAGGCCTACCTGGAGCTGGGCTCTCCTGCTGCAGCCGGTCGACTGGACCCCACAGGTGCACTCGGGCTTACAGACACACTCCACCATACAGATCTGCTCCCCGGGGCCTTGCGACGACTCCCAGACATACTTTGACAGCCCTTTAGGCGACTTTGGCGAAAACATTCTCGTGCTGCTCCGCCGCCGTTTGGCCTATCTTCACCTATCAGAGGGCAAAAGTCCACAGTGGCCCAGCGCTCCGTGCTGCTCCGGGAGATAAGGGGAGCGCAGCGCCGGTGCGCACTCCGGCTTAACGTCATTTATTGTGTGTGTGTGTGTGTGTGGCTGTGAAGTTGGGAGGTGATCGGGGGGGGGCGGGGGTTCATGAGGAGAAGGTGCCTCCAATCACATGACTTCTACATGTTGGGAGCGGAAAGCGCAGAAATAACGCACATCTCCACCCTAACGCTCCTCAAAGGCCTTAAACATCTGCAGTCCCTGCTCGAGAGGGATTCATGTAATTATTTGAGGGTACAAAAACAAACTGTACAACTTGTAGAAAAATAAGTTTTATTCAAGCACTCCACAAAAAGGCAAAAAAAAAAAAAAAAACATCCCTTCCCCTCCCTTCACACTTTTATTATAGGGGATTAAATCAAACATTTCAAAATAAAAGCTACTTGGATTTTTTATTTTTATTTTTTTTGGAAAGCGACAGAAATGACTTCAAATACAGTTTCAAGTGTCCATTGTCAACCTCAGTAATTGCACAAACTGACTCTTGGTATATATATTTACAAAATACCTTTTATAGAGTGTATTGTGTTTTTGTGTGTCCACATGAAGAAGAGGAAGAGGGGGGCCATCAAAGCCAAGCAAGAGGGTATTTAAAAAAAAAAAGACGCAAAGGAATGTTAGAATAAGTCAAGAAAAAAAAAAGGTGAAACATCTTTTTGTGTGAGAAAGTTAATACAAAACACGGCACACTGCAAAAAAAAAAAAATTAAAAATCCATCTTTGGTCATTTCATCTGTTATTTCTGTCGTATTTTTCCCAAAACAAGTGACAAAAATCTGCCATTTGACTGAGATGCAGACGATTCCTCTAAAGACTGATCTGATAAGGTCCGATAAGCGAGTCTGCATAGGAAGCTAGAAGGCACTTAACCTCCCCCGGTACTGATCTAGTCTCCAACGTGCTGCTGTAATTAGTTTTTATTTAATTTAAAATATTTACTTATGGAACAAACTATGTCTTTACCATCGCTGTTGATGTTTTGTTCGATATAAAATGTCCCTTTTCTGTCATCAGCCTTCTTTTAACTTTAAAATCCTGCTGGCAGACAAACAGGAAATGAAAACAATCTCCCTTGGCCAAAGAAACAAAAGGAATCATCCCACCGTGGCACAGTTTTCTCACTTTTTTGAGGAAATATAGGAAGTGTTTGTTTAGACCACCTGAAGACTAAAACGTTCAAAACGGACATTTCTTGCAGTGTAGATCTGTACAACGGGGCTGCAGGTTGGGAGGGAGGGAGGGAGGGAGGGAGGGAGCAACGAGAACCAAAACTCTTCAGCCAAAAAAAAAGCCCCCCACACGGTTCAGCGCTGTCGATCCCAGCGCCAGATCGAAGCGTCGTCACACACGGCTATCAAAATGCTGCTGTCGCGGCTGAAGCTGGTTTGCCGGATGGCCGACGTGCATTTGGGGAGGGTCAGTGTGGTGCACCTGGAGACCAGAGAGAGGACCGTTTTCACAAATGCAGCCAGGGAAAATAAACCATACATGCCGATTTGTTAAATGCAGCAGGGACTTCACACTGAGCCTCGTACACAAATCCTACAAACATCAGACGTTTGTGTTTTCCCTTTAATAAACAACAATAGAACACCTTAAAATGGATTAAAACTCATCGCTGAAGCTCATAGAAGTGCTTCTTTTGACTTTCAGGTTTTGTATTTCCATGTTAAAGTTATGTTAACCATGAATGAAGATATGTTGGGTTGAATAAAAAGAGGGAAATTGTATTTTTCTTTAAGTTTGGGTAGTATGTATGATAATAATAATAATAAATACACAATACAGGCAGAGAATTGTGTAAAATGATCAACAGTTGCAGAAAATTATCTGCTCAAAATCCTGCAGTTGTGTTCATTAACACTACAGTTTATCAGTTGTTCTGTACTGTTGTTATGCATTGAATATGATATTTATGTATTCAAGTTGTTTTAAGGTTTACTTTGGCTGAGTTCATGACGTTGACATCACACTCGTGTAACGTTTAAACCTGTTTAACAACAGTCGGGTCTGAAACAGGCACCGCATTATATTCATCATCAGTGACAGAGGGAGTGTCCTGGCTGTCGATGGGGATTAAAAGTGTGACTCATCTGTTGTTATAATAAAAGCTTTCTCGTCCCCGGGGCTGCTCACTTACTTTGCTTTGTGAGGGTCCTCCACTTCGAGGTCCCACACGTAAAGCTTCCCCACCTGGTTTCCTAGAGCCAGCATCTGTAAATCAGCATCCCAGAAGACAAAATATCAGCGACCTACTCTACCTTTAGTTTGAGTACCATGATTGTAGCTTAATATATTAACTCTACAAGTCAAATCATTCATGTGTTGTACAAAAAAATGCCCTTATATGAAGCTACAGATGAAAAATGTTCTAAAAATAAATCACTTCACCTTCTGCCAGAAGTCCATGGAGAAGCGCATGTACCAAATGTCACACTGGCTGTAATCAAAGCGTCCCAGAATCGTCACATTCGACTCATTTGGTTTAACGTGATCGATGTTGTCCTCCATCTTTCCTGGTTTCCAGCAGACTATGGCATTTTCACAGGACTGCAGACACAAAAAGGAAACAGGAAAGATAAAAAGAGAGCCTGTTAAACATATTTAAGATCACAGTTTTCCCATTGGAGGGGCCTCACAACATAGTCAGACCACTTTTTGCACACTTTCTTTAAAGGGTCTGTTCAGAGTTTTGAAAGTGTGGTTGTACAAGGTACTTATCTATTGGAGAAGCAGACAGGAGAAAAGTAAAGCAGTTAGATGCATCCGTGTTCTCTTAAAAGACACCAGACTCATTTAACCTTGCAGAAAACAGCAGCTGATGTAAGTTAAGGATTGATGCAACTTAAACCAACAACTCCCCGTGCGCTGCGAGGTAAAATGACTGCATTTGTCAAAGCAGTCTGGTGGCTTTGAAGAGGACACAGATGGATTTAACTGCTTCAGTTTCTCGTCGGAAATGGCTGTCTAACAGCAAAGTGAAGTGTGACAATAGTCTAAATATAGCGTACACTTAAACTGATATTGATTTCTTCTACACGGCTACAATACATGTTGTTGCTGCCACAGCAATAACTCACTTAAACTGCCATGCTGGTACTCCGGTCTCCTTTCTCCAAACTGGGGGCTTGCAGACTGCTATACACTATGTATGAACACTTCATACAACCCCACTTCAATAAATCCAGACTCGCTCTTTAACTTCACACACAGAAACCCATAACCCCAGTGAGAGATTTCAATTACTATGTGCCAAAAAAGGACATTTAATTGATGGATGTGGTCTGTAAAGCCATTTGAGTTCAATCTAAAACACAATAAAGCTCATAAACAGTGATGGGGTTCGAATACTTTAAAGCCACTTCAAGTATCGATACACTCTTTATTAACTTGCCTTGGAAAGAATTAGATCCCCCAGCCACCGCACACAATCCACATAGTTTCTATGGATGTCTCGCGTTGAGAAATCCGGGAAGTGAATTTTCTGCGAGACGAAAGGCCTGAAGAAAACACACAATGAATAAAAACAGAAGATAAAGCAGTTCAAAAACTGGAGATTGGACAGCCTACTAGTATATGCAGGTAAAAACTATTAAAAGAGTGTTTCCCCCACCTGTTGGTCTTTGAGGGATTGTACTCGTAAGATCCACGAATGGCTTTCTGCATTCTCTCTGAATTGATTCGCCAGAGTTTTAGGGAGTGGTCCATCCCACATGACATAATCTTTTCACCCAGAAGATCAAAATCCTGCAGCGGGATTGCAAAATATATATATATATATATATATATATCTCATGTAAATCCAGGTAGTGAGTATTGTTATTCCCAGAGGGGCTGATTTAACGATACTTACAGCACTCAGGACTTCATCGCGATGACCCTCCACACCACCAAATATTGCCACTAATGTGTCCGTCTGTATGTTCCATAGACGAAGGGCATGATCTGAGGACACAAGTACAGTCGCTTATGAATAAAACCAGGTCCTTTCATGCATGCAAGCATCAGATAATCACTTTCAGTATAATTACTATTGAGTAAAAGCTCTAAAAACCCATGTTACACTACCTGCTCAGCAGCAAACAGCAGACAGACACAGTTGCTGGTGAACATAGTGGATCATTTAGCAGCTAAAGAGCCAGATATTTCCCTCAGGGGTTGGAGGAGACCAAAAACAGAGCTAAAAGAGAGTGAATATTGACCTTATATTCACCAGGTGGACAGAAACACGACTCCAAATAATAATAATGCTGTTATGAAACTGCTAGATGTGTAAATAAGCTCTTTTTTTTGCTAACAAGTTCAACAGATCCACTTTAAAAAGGCGATATGTCAATGTTTTGTTCACAACTTGTTACTGCAGGTTTAACAGCTTCTTCAAAGAGCAGTCCAATAATTCACCAATTATTTTATACCACATAAAACTGGACTGCGTCTAACTGTTTATGATCTCCTGTAAACAAGCAAACAATGAGCTGTTTGCCTCCATTACAGGATTAAAATCAGGTTGAACTACAGTCAAACCAAAACGTGGACAGTATGTATTTTACTTCATGTATCAGCCGTTGGTAGTGATTGTGAGGCAGCTGTAAGAGCTAAATTAAATGAGTGACACCTCCTTTACACTGAACCAACTGCAAACATCATGATGCCCTTTAGCGAGGCGAGCAGAGGTGGATGTTCTGGGCACCTACGTGGTGTGAACGTGTGAATTTAACAACTTTAAAGCAGGCTGTAACTGGAAAAACATTCACCTTTGCTGCCCTTATCAAGCAAGACATGCTGCTACCTGGGCCATGGGACTCGGATTAAGGAACCACCTGACAATCACATGGTCATATCACTGAGTAGTGACCTACTTTTTTATTTTGCTTTATAGACATGCCATAAAGGTAGCAACAAATCACAAATGAGGTCTATAAAGCCATCAAAGTTTATGTTATTACATCCAAGAATATGGCCTTTTCACATGTCACTGCTGTTGTATTCACCCTACAAATAAATGTGAAATACTGTCCTCTTATTGGCTTTCCTGTGTTACAGTTTAATTGTATATGAAGCATTTTGAAGGTTACTGCAGGTCTTTTACCTTTGCTGACAGACAGGAGGAGGTTTGGATCCCTCGGATGAAACTTGAGCTCATTGATGGCATTTCCATGACCTACATAATGCTGGATTTGACACACACACACACAAAAAATTCTAATTGTAGACAGGATCTTGATTTATTCACACTCATAAAACTTAATTTCCCCTCCCAGGGTCAACCGTATATGCCACATAGAAGTGGTTTACATCGTAGGCTGTTGAGTGGAAGAGGTAAATGTACAGGGAATCACTTTTGGTGAATGGTTTATGATTCTAAATGCATTTTTATATCAAATCCTAACTTGGGCTACCTGTACCTGAAAATGTCAGCAGCCACATTTAGAAATCTGGAGGGAAAACTACACTCAAAATGGCCCCAAACAATATCACATGCCCCCCCAAAACAAGCCAGTGCAGGAAAGGACTGCAGTCATCTTGCTTAATCCATCTTTTACTACCCATCTGATTCACTAAATGCATCTTTAACCAAAGCATTTACTAGTTCTTTTGGGCAATTATATTTATAATACATGGAATTTAAACATTACATGCTACAAAATGGGTTTATTTAATGATTCTGATGTTTAAATCAGAGACATGTATGTTGCACCAATGTATATTATGTGTGTTCAGCAAGAGGGCAACGTGTGTGCTGGGTTACTCCAAGAAGAAAGGAGGGCTGTGTGCCAAGAGACGGCAGAGCTACTTTACCTTGATACACTGCATTGTGATGTGGTTGATCACCCGAATGATGCCGCGGGACCCGGCTACAGCCAACAGTGGATGGCTCGTGTTGGTGTCGTACGTCCAGGCACACGTATAGAAGTTCTCGTCTGCCTTTGCAACACATTCAGTCAAGGAAATTCAAACAAAAAAACACTCTTTAAACTGACCTCGCCTAAGAGAAGGTGGAGTCATTACTTTTCTGCAACTTGCAAAGTTTAACAGGTTAATTGTAAGACATTTTAAGACCACTGTGAATGCAATTTAAGACCTATTTAACATCCACATACTGGCAAAAAAAAACCCCTGAAAAGTAGGGCTGCACAATTAATCAAAATTGCAATATCCAAATGGCAGAAGCTGCAATTTTTTTATATACTTTTCTCTACTGCACCAACTCTGAGTTTGGGGCTTTGCTTTAAGGCTGGTATGATCACGCAGTTTATATGAATGCACTCATATCTAAACTGTGGCAGAATCTCACTTTAAATGAGCGATTTGAGAGCAAGGCAGGGTGATAAAAAAAAAAAGTGGCTGTGCTTCTTTATAACACTTAAACTGGCAACTTGCTTTTACAGTCCCATTTTTTTCCACAGTCAGCAGGACACTACATGTTTTTATCTTCCTCAAATGATTTCCAGAACACAAGATGTAAACAACATTTCTATGCAAACATTTCAAGCATGGCCTTATCTTAATACAGTCTTTGTTTGGTTTACCTCAGGTCACAACAAATTAAATATGTCTGCGCTGGTTATCGGTCATCTAGGCTTAAAACAAAAGCAGTTGGACTTACTATGCGGACATGAAACTGTATCTTGGCGAGAGAATGACAATGAGGAAGGAGACAGTTTTAAAAGCATCTCAAACGAGTGAAAGGATACATCTGCATCGACATAAGACTGCAGGAGTTTTATTTCTCCCTGAGAGTGACATTCATACAGAGTTACCTGGTGGAGAAAAGACAGCACTTAAGTATAGAACAAGACAACATCGAATCAAAAACAAAAAGGTTATACATGCATAGCTGCATAACATGCTGACCCACTACACGCATTTAAGTGTATATACCCGATAAAACATCAAGCTGTAGCCAAGACATGTTATATAAATGCTGTAGCCCAACAGAGGACAAGCAGTATCAAGAAATGAGCCACTCAGAAACACCACATGACCCTCGTCAGTCAGTTGCCTCATCATCACCTACCCTGTTACTCCCAACTGTGGCAAACACCAGCGGGTCTCCCTCCTTGCTGTGCCAGTTAAACTGGACTCCAAACAGCGGCTGTCCGTGGTCCTCCTGCAGAAACCATAATGTCATTATGAATTCGGAGCGTGAAAATGAACACGACTGTACTCCTATAACAATCTAAATAACGTTCATGTTCCTAAAAGTCACGATTTCATGTGCAACTGTTTATTAAGCTTGTGTAGATGTTGTTCAAGGTGGCGTCCGTACTCACCCTCAGACTGTTGACGCATTTAAAAGAATATCTGCACTTCTTGGACTTCCACTTGCCCTTGCCCCAGCTCTTTCTTCCCGGGGCGTTGGCTGTGTTAGTGGGTGTGTCTGGGCGCTCTGCATTAGTCCCACTCTCCACACTGACAGCATCATCCTACAAAGGCAGACAATAAACAATCAACAATCAACCAACAAGCTGAACAATAATTAGTCACCAGTATCTGGAGCTGTCTTCAAACATATTACTTAATAAGTGACACTAATGTGTTGCATAATCTGCATATTTGTAGCTACCATGCTGTAGGTAACAGGTTTTTTCTTGCACAAATAATTTAAGATGCAACTTTTATATACTTATATATGCTAAAAGAAATTTAAAAAAAAAAGGTGAATAGTTTAGATAAGCGACCATCGTGGCTCTGCTATGGTTACTAATTCCCTTCTATGTTGCTTATAACAATATACAATCATGCCTCAAACCTTAACGCAACAGCTACCTTAACGCAAACCAACCACAATGCACATTTCAAATAATCACCTCCCTGATTAACTTCCACTAGCCGCTAGTGCTAAGGCTAACCCAGAGGTTACACGTGAATGCGTGTAGTCCGATGAAAAGACGAGACACTGTGTGTTTGTAAGACACAGACACACCCAGTGCTCGCAAGACCATCCGTGTGTGGTGCATTCTGGACAGAATAAAGTCAGAATATCACTATAAATCAATTACACCAGCTGTTTGAATCTCGCCGGTAACAGCCGAACAAAAGCTGCAGGCTAACACCACTTTAGCTGGCCGGCTACTTTAGCACGATGCTAAGTCGCCAAGAAGCGATTTACGGCTCATTTCGTCGATTAAACAAAAAGTTTTAACTGCTTACATTCTCGTCTCCTGATAAATCGGGGTTACTGTTCTCGTCACTGCTTAGTTTTTGTTTTTTCGCCGGTATTTCTTTTCCCGCTTGAGAAGGGGACTCGGGCATGTTCTTATTTTCCCTCATTTTGTTTCTCACTCCGCCTCTTCCGCCGCAAGTACTGCTGGGTATTGTAGTTCGAACCGGTCTCAAGTTGTAGTTCGTGTTTTTTTTTACTTCGTTTCATTTAAATCCAGATGAAAAAAAGTCACAGCTGCTTTATTTTTTTTTAATGTTAGGTATACTTTTTTTTTATCAGTATTTTACATTATTGTAACATTTTTTGGTTTTTTTTTTTACAATGAAAAGTAATAAAAACATTTTAGCAGCTGCAGACCTACAAAGTTCTGCAACAATAATAAGTTCAGTGCCATTAAATGCACTAAATGTCTCTCCCAATATGTCTAATATCAAGACTACAACCAGTAGCCTCTCTCTTGTGAAGTGGTCCAGATACTAAAAGACGCTGCTTCTGGATACCTCCCTTTTTCTGTAGTTCTTTGAATCCTGGAAGGACTACATCTTCCAGTTGGCCTGGGGGCATAGGCGTTGCACAATGAAAGGAGCCTCTTGTATTGCAACAAGCACCCTTAATAAAATGGATGGACGCATCTTGCATATGCTACAAAGCTAATATTTCATTTATTTCTTTAGAGGTTTTGCAGAAACGTGTTTTCATTTGAGGAGCGTCAGGGAGTTATCAACCTGTACGAGCCCACACAGTCCCAAAATAAAGTCTAATCAGTCTGAATAAGTGGGAGCTTTAACCAAACTGAACACAGGCAAAAATAAAACACAAAAACATGCACATTTACATATATTCATTTAATAAAAAAAACTGTTTACAATCATAATGTTTTTTGAAATACACAAAAATCTCATTAAAGTCCAACATTATTATTGTTGTTGGAAGGAGGTGGACTGGCTTCAGGCCTACAGGATCATGTCTGCACCCTCCAAGGAGGCCACGCTCATCTCCTCAGACAGTTCATCATCCTCCTCCTCCTCCTCCTCTTCCTCCTCGTCTTCCTCAGCTGCTCTCTTTAAGCCCCTCTGCTTCGACAGAGCCACCGCGTAGCGAATGTTAAACATGTTAAAGTCACACCTGTGCAAAGAAATCACAAATTCAGGTTTCAGGGTTCACTGAGGCCACTTCTACAATAGTGGAGGTTGATGTTGAGACTTACAGTTTGGACAGATTGTCAAAGTGTCTCTGGATGCTCTTCTGCAGCGCCTGGAGCGTGGGCAGTATGGCCCCTGACCTGCACGTAAACATAATCAGCTTCAGTCACTCATTCAGACAGCCATGTGCACGCAATAAAACAGTCATAAGGGACTGGGAGCAGACCTGTTCTTGAGTTTCTGACCGTGCAGCATGAGCAGGCTCTTGGCCCAGGTCATGTAGAATTGCAGGTGACCCGACTTTTCCAAACTTGCCGCCACGAAGCTCAGCAGCTTCTCAACGTAAATGTCAGGAAGAGAGCCGCAAACCACCGGAACTGGAACAACAAACACAGGCAGTCAAATCATAGCTAATAGTTTTTAAATCCACCGCGTTGTGAGAAGGACGGTTCACTCACTCTGCTCGTGCGGCACCGTTTCCAGCACTTCCTGCTTCAGGGCTTTTTCGTTGAGCCTGAACGCCAGGACGATGGCCGACGCCCACTCCTGAAGCCGCAGCTGCTTACGTATGCTGGCCGGCGTCACGTCCAGGTCGAGGTCGTACGGGTCAAAGACCAGAGATCCATCGAGGGAGTAGACCAGCAGGCCCTCGGTGGTGGTGGCCGACCAGCTACGACCTGAGAAAAGACGGAACTACTTTATGACACCGGTTTCGCCCTCGCAGTCGTCGTCTTAAACTTTATCTTAACTGTATGAGATCAAAGTATGTGTTTTAAAAAAAGTTCTTATTTTTTCTAAGCTTCTTTTAATCTCTTTTGTCAGATTTGACTGCTACTCACAAAACTTGATATTGCCAACTTCTCGCAGGGGAAAAACACGTGTAATTCTGTCACCTACCAGTAGGGGAGAACCGCAGCGAGCTCACTCTGATCTCTGGCTTGAAGTGGCGAGAACTCATATCACCTGTAAAGATACACAGAAAGTAAAACATATATACAGAATAAACTGCAGTGAGAACAAATTCTATCAATTTATGAACAAAAATATTGAATCCAAATCGAACCTAATGCACTGAAATTACCTTGTTTTCATCACTGCAAATTTCTGAACCTCTATTGGGAGAATTAAGGTATTCTCATAATTCATAATATCTGTGTTGAAGTGAGCGTCATACCTCTCCTGACTCCAGGGAGGCTGATGTTGACGCTGTCTCCGTCTCCAGCTCCCTCGTCCACCAGAGCCAGGCTGCCGAACTCCGTCATCTTCCGTCGGTCCAGGAACTCCTGAAGGTAACGTAGGACCACAGTCAGATAACGGGGCTCACACGCTAACTTACACACAGATTTTCAAGAGCGAAGCTCTGTTTTTTTTATTTTTATAAATGAACCCACTGTTTTCCCATTAAAGCTCAATACTACATTTTACGCTGTATCTACAGTTGAGAGCAGTTACAGGTCCTGACTGAGCTGAAGGAGAGGCCGTGTACCTCCATGGCATCAAAGGACAGGTTGCAGGAGATCTCAAACTTCTTCATGAGCATCTGCTCCTTGACGTTGTAGATGCAGACAAACTTGGACTGGCCTCCCGCCAAAATCGACTCCCCGTCCGCAGAGTAACACAGCGACGTGAAGGACCTGGATGCACGAGAAGTGTGAAGCACAACCTGAATCAGTGCACGCAGTAAGTCATCAAATCAAACTTTTCTTCTGTGGTTTGGACTGCAGGAAATGTCTGTTCAGTTCTCTCACTCACTTTCCCTTTGCAGACTGCTTGGCTGTGATTTTATCTGTCTCTTTGCGGCCCATCTCCAGGTCATGGCGTCCAGCCACGGAGCCGGTTTGTGTGGCCGTGTGCGGGTTCCAGAAAGAGATCTCACCGTTTAGGGTGGCCACAGCCAATTCCTGACCATCAGGGCGGTAAGTCACTGACAAACCTGAAGGGGAAAAAAAAAAACACACACACAAACACAGAGTGTGGTCACTTGTAGCAGAGTTACTTTACATTATGTGAGAACAACTGTGCTTCTGCTGCTATTTAAATGTGTGATTTTGCGGTTGCTTTTCTGTAGTCCCTTCCTGAAATCCCCCAAATAATCCTCCATAGTTGAAGAAACTTTGCAGATATGCACGGGAATAATGATACAAAGTCCACCTGAAACAGTCTTGTAACCAGAAACTATGGAACCAGGGGAACTAAAGACCCTTTTTTGCATTCCTGTTTGCACTGTGAAGATAAGGCAAATAGACCTAATGTCAGTAAGAGAGACTTCTTTGTTTTGTGAGGGAATTAGTGAGGGTCTGCCCTACAAACTGTGGCCCTAACGAAAGTATTACCCCTGGAACTATCATCAAAGTTAGTCCTTCCTCCCCTGGGAAAGTTCCTACACTGGAAACACCCTATTTGTGTGTGCCCCCTAGTGGCAGTATGAAAAATGACAACTCCCAACACACAAATGACCAGGCTACATCACTGGTGGTTTACTCAAGAAACCATATTTACCATCAGAGTTGAGGGCAAGTGTTTCTTTGACCTGCCAGCTGTCCAACATGTCCCACAGCCGGATGGTGCGATCCCATGAGGCGCTGGCCAGGATGGACTGAACCGGACTGAAACACAGGCAGCTGACGGGACCCTCGTGGCCTCCAAGGACCTATTCAATCACAGGGCAGGAGGCATAAAGGAGTACCTAAGTGCATGTTTAAACATAACCCACTTTTTTTATTACATGTCACTGGAAAACCTCTAAACAGATAACTGAGAGAAGACCTGTCATTATGTGCCTACCTCCAGCAGTCTGCCTGTCTGCATGGACCACAGAAAGATCTCAAAGGAATCCTGAGCTCCCGCGCTCACCAGCTCTCCACTGACATCTACGGCGAGGGAGGAGAACTGCGCAGGCCGAGGCGACGTGAATGTCCTGAAGTTTCTGTACCTGTAATACAGAAAACGGACACGCGGTCATGTACAGCGGCGCTAACGTGCAATATATTCATACAGTACAAACTCATTTCTGTTCTGTGTTTTTGCTCGGCTGTTATCTCATCGCTATACGTCACCTGTGCAGGTCGAACGCTCTGACCGTCCCGTCCAGAGAAGCGCTGACGATGACGAAGCCGCTGGAGGTGAAGGTGACGTTGGTGACGCTGCTGGTGTGCTCTGTGAAGGTGACGAAGCAAAGGCCGCTGTTGGTGTTCCACACTTTGACCTGTGGAAATGAAACCGCAGTCTGATCTCTGACACAACCACCAGGATTCGCACGTGTACGAGTCGTTCGCTATTTACTGTTGTTTTGTTTATTTTTCTGTAGAACAAACATCTATTTAAGACTTTTTTTTAAAAAATGTTCAGCCCCTGAAAGGATTACATTTGAATGGTGAAACACACCGCGGTGTGAAGCGTGGAGCACTCACTTTGCCGTCGTCGCCCCCCGTTGCGATGTACTGTCCGTCTGGTGAGTAAGCGAGCGAGGCCATGTTGTTGAAGTGTCCCTGCTGCTTGAAGACGTACGACTCGCTCTGCCATTCCCACACCAGCAGCTGACCCATCCCTGAAACAACAATCCTTACATAAAACCCCACAAAAACAGGTATACTCTGTGCTACTTATTAGAGAATGTAAAACAAACACATCTTCTTACCCGAGCACCCAAAGCCGATCCAGTCTCCAGAGCTGTTAATAGCCACTGAGGTGATTCTCTGGTCTGAAATACTGGAAGTAAACACGTTTAAAGCCATCATTCAAATGGGAAAAGAGTGGGGTTTTTTTTTTTTTTTTTAAATCTACCCTGCCATAAACAAAAAGTTAACTTTTCTCTCACCTTAAGGAGTGTATAAGGTTAAACTCTGGAAGTTCGTGCAGGTGGAAGATTCCAGAGGCGAAACCTGTGACCAGGATGTGAGTCGGCTTGTGGTAGGCGGCGGTTGTCAAGTTGTTAAAATCCCCCTCTTTGTTGAAGAAGTGTCTACAAGAGCAGAGGAAAAGGAGAATAAAGAAAGTTAGGCTGCAGAATCAGTTGCTTTTTGCCTTTATTGAACTTCATAAAGCCGAGGAGCAGCGGAAGAAGCAGCCAATATCTTTAGTATCAGTCCTCATCTGGTATTTATCTTCACTCTGCACCTTGTTGGGGAGGAAGTTTATGAGTTTCTGAAGCTTTAATTGAAAAGAAAAATGACTCCAAGACATGTTGATTTTCATTACAAATGCTGATGCTGCCATTACAATTTTAGAGCAGCCAAGGGACAAATAAACCTGTGCTTGTGTGAAGCCAAGAGCTTAATGGAGGGCTGGATAATTGCCACTCAAAGTGTCAAACATTACAGTGAGTTTTTGGAAGGACTTCTGGTTGTGAAGAACTACTGTGACTGAGAGACTGGAATGAAAAAATGTACTATTAAATTCAACTGCTACATCAAACTAAAATAAAATGAAATGTGTAATAATGGATTATGCCACAATAATGAATGAATGAAGGACAGCAAAGTAAGTCTTACTTGCTCCTCTGCTTGTATCGAACGTTTTTGGTCTTCTTCTCTTTTGGAGCTTCAACTTTCCCTCTGATGACCTCTCCCTCCTCTCCCTCCACCCTGTCCTCCTCACCCTCCTCCTCTTCGTCCCCTTGCATCGGGGGCTTGGGCTTGTCCCGGCTCTTCTTCAGGACGAGGCCGTCCAGCTCGGTGTCGCTCTCCCAGACACACAGCGTCCCGTCCTGGCTCACCGTATACAACTACAAAAACACAGAATATTGGTTTTTCCATGCTCATCCTTTGAGCCCAAATCACACACGTAGTGGAAGGCAAAAAATAAACTCACATCCAGGCTGTCTTTCTCAAAGAAACAACCCACGATGACATCCTTGTGGCCACCCAGGGAGTAGTAGATAAGGTTGGCCCAGCGCTCTGCACCAAACACCCACGTCGACATGTCTTTGCTGCCCACCACAAAACACCTGAAGGGAAACAAAATGTCCAACTTCTTGTACATTTTGATGTCTAACAAATTGTAACAAATAAACTCCTGTTCGCGTCAAAGGGAGAGAACCTCATTCCAAACTCCATTCAAAAACTAGGGAATTCAACAGTCTCTTGCTTACGAGCAGGTGAAGAGAAATAACACCAGTCCAACCAGTTCACAAAACAGTAACATGTTGTTCGGTATCAGACGTCAGCCGATTTAAGTGTGAATGCTAACACTTCACAATAAAGAGTCTTAAATGTGCCACTTGTTTTTCACCTTTATCGAGACGTAGTGACATATTAAATCGAACAATTTTTGAATGAAGTTTGGCGTGGTGTTCTCTCCCATACAGTATTTGCAGATTAAACTTTCTACTCACTTGGAGTCGTCCGTCCAGTCGATGCAGGTGGTTTCATCGTAGGGGCCGTAGTAGCTCTTGTCCAACACGAAGGCGTTGAACTCCCGCTGCTTTCCAGGAGCGTGGTACATCAGGGCGACGTTCTCCTTCGTAACGACAAACTTCCTGATAGGGAAAGACACATCAAAGCCACAAAGACAAAGAATTAGAAGTTAATCAGGAACTTTATAGTCCATAATGTTTATTATTGATCATTTTTCAAGCAGAAATAGCAGATATTTGCTGGTTCCGGCTCCTCAGATGTGAGTATTTGCTGCTTTTCTTCGTCAAATATGACAGCAACTTCACTATGTTTGGGTTTTAGAGTGATTACCTGCCGTCAGGTGAGAAGCGGATGCTGCTGACAGGCTTGTGAAAGTGGAAATGATGAAGGACGGCTCGGGTGATGAGACTGACCAACAGCGCTGCGCCATCTGTGTGACACAAACACAAGACACACGTTTAGATTTTTGTCGTTTCATGCTTGATAAAGGAGGTAAAAGTTTAATTCAAATCAGGGGAACCTCTTACCTTCATCCACCACGATTGCTAAATGTCCATCAGGAGAGAGACCCACACAGGTTATGTTTTTTGTCGTGGAGATGGGTAATGTTTCAGATGTGTTGCTATGAGACAGAAGAAATAAAATCAATTAATTTTTTTTTTTTTTTTTTACTGTATTTCAGCTCAGCTCTAACACTTTGATGTATTTAACCATGACTTACTTTTTCAGGTCAAAGACAGAGACTCTGTTTCCAACCGGACTGATCACAGCGTTGCCATCTTTAGAGAAATTCAAATTCCCCTGACGATAGACTGCTCCGAGCAGGTTGGAAAACTACAATAAAAGACACAGTTGTTTTCCTATTTATATCACTTTTAAAGACACAGAACCTGATCCCGAACTCCATTCAAAAGTTCATGTGAATTGTTGTTGTTTTAGTAGAGGATAGTTGAAGCAGAGCCCATTGAAAAACCATAAAAATCATACAATAAAATGCTTGTTTGGTATCATAGACGTCAGCCGAATTTAAGCGTGAATACTTCTACTTCACATTAATAAGTTTTTAAATGCGCTAAACGACCTTGTACCTTTAAAATGTTAGAAAATACTAAATAAAACAAATTTTGAATGAAGTTTGGTGTGACGTTCTCTCCCATACATTAGCTGCAGTGACGCACTTACCCTGTAGGCGAACTTCATTTTAGTGAATATCCCTTAATCCTCACGCATTTATCTACTGATTCAAACCTTTATATAAGTCAGTGGAAGTGTAAATATGTAGGGCTGACATTACGCATGCTTCTTCCTCCACCGCTTACCCACACGTGTTTTGTTGACACTTGACATTTCCGGCTTGAGTTGAGGTAAAGTCGCCCTCTAGAGGCGGGGAGGGTACACGACAACGTCCAAAATGGCACATCAGTCTTTATTTTAGACTAAATCCAGTCAAATAAGAAGAAAAAACTAAATATAATCAATAATATCTACTGGAAAAGTGAGTAAAATGCAATGAATGTATTCCTAGAGTTCAAATGAGGGTGCTTTATGGTTTATTTTGGCTCTTGTGTTGTCAGAAATATCAAATACAAACACACAAATACACATTTCTTGTAGTATCTTTATATTGTAAGGCTAGATCTAAAAAAAAAAACCAACAACTAAATTTAACAGAGGGTGTTCACACAAGAAGGGGAGCACTTTGGGTTAAACCTGCTTGAATCAAAATGTTTTTCAGTATCTCTAACAAGTATTAACCTTAAATTAACGAAAGCTCTTAAGAGTCTCATAAGACAGCAATCCAAATGTATTTTATTGTATTAAAAAGTGAGACTACGTAACTTCTGAAAGCATAAATAACCTATTTAAAAGTTATAGGCAATAAGATGCATGGTGTCTTAAATCAACGCACACATCGGTTTTGCTATTGCTGGGTAATGTTACCAATCTTTAGTTAGATGCTGTCCTGTTACACAACATTCAAACATTACGCCGTCTTTAAAGTAAACGACTCATGAGGAAATTAAGGCAAATTCCACGAAAGGGCAATTAATCATCCTCTATAACTTCTGATATATACACACACATTTAGACACAGTGAAAACATACAAATCCTGCTCCAAATAAATGACACACTTGGAACAGAACAAACACAGGCCGCCACTGGCTTTCACACGATCCCTCTGGTCCCATTTTCACCCAATACCCCCGCCCGCCCTGCTGCTGAATAATTGAGCATCTGGCAGCTACGGTGCAGTGCACGTGTACAAGCGGGGTGGTGCCCAAAGCTGAAAACGATCCTGTACAATTACACCGCAAAGTGAGAGACGATAATAGTTTATATTTGCATCTCGAGGTGTTTCAGTGCAAAGACCCGGCCCCCGTCTTTTATTAGAAAGATCTAAAAAAAAACAGCGTGTGTTCAGCAGGCTAAACAACAACCAATAAGAAAAGTGTCTCATATCACAAGCTCTTTTTCACCTCAGCGTTTTGTGCCAGAGGTCGAAACAAGGCACGACATGCAGCCGGACGTATTTCTGGCCCCCGGTCGAGCACTCCAGACAGCCGTAAACGGTTTCCCGCCTCTGGCTGCCCATGCCGCAGAGCGCGCAGGGCCCCTTGGGGATGTTGTGTTTGAGGAGGTTGGCCCGCGTGTGGGAGCTTTCCCTCAGGTAGGCGGTGGACACGTCCGTCATGCTGGCTGCTTTCTCGTAGTAGTCGGTGACCATGTCGTCCATGTAGGTGTCGGAGTGGGTGAGCTCCTCAAATGTTCGGTTTTCTACGCAAAGAGTTGGACAAAGCAAAACTGTAGCAAATATGGTGGCGTGTGTATGATGAAGCTGAGGGTCGTTACCGTATATACCTGCTCTGAAGGGGTTCCCGTAGATGATCCCAGACAGGAACCGCCGCAGTCGTCCCATGGAGAAGTGACCGATGTAACCCCCGAGCTGCTCCCTGATCTGCTCCCGCTCAAATCCACCTTGAGACTCTGGAGCGACACAAATATCTGACACAGAGGAAGAAAATGTGTGCGTGAGAGAGAGTAACTTCAGGCAGCAACGCAGGTGTATTTACATCCTGCAACTATTGATTAGTACTTTCACAGTTAATCATTTGGTCTGTTAAACGTCGGCCAGTTGAGGCCTTAAAGGTCCAGTGAGTTACATTATGGAGGATCACAGCTGGAACACCGTACACGCTGGACCTTTAAAATGTTTCTATTTGTCTGACCAACAATCAAAAAGCAAAAGACATTCAACTTTTGTAGTTGTTTTTTTTTTTTTTTGTACTATCATAGATGACAATTAAGTTAATTTGGGCACTTTTGGCCTTTAAACAATGACTGAAATATCAAAATAGTTGCAGTTTCATTTGTAAATGTTGACCTTGTGAAGAAAAGCCACCTACACAGCCTAAATGCTATGTATTGTACATTATGGTGACTGGAGACCACGACTTTGGTGTTATCTGATCTCTCATTTGAGGTCTTCTTGCACTCAATTTGTTCTAAGAACAGAACAAAGGACTATTGATCACTTCTGGGGGTTCACACACGAGAGATTACAGGACTCAATAGACAACATTTTACAACCACGAAGGGACTCGAACCCTCAATCTTCTGATCCGAAGTCAGACGCCTTGTCCATTAGGCCACGTGGTTCCCAAATCAGTGGGAAAAGTGGGGTCACGAAACCCACTAGGGGTCGCCAAAGCTTTATGTGGGGTCGCGAGGCCTTGTTGATTAATACACCGTAGGCCTGAAGATGATACTAGTTACCCACTCTAACCCTCTGAGATAAAGTAGCCTCCCATGTTTGTGACTTTTTAGTGTGAATTCATCATTATACTAAGACTCTAAAGAAAGAAAAGATCCCTTTAATGTTTAGAGGCGGAGAAATTGTTACGGCTTACAATTTAAGAGATGAATTGTATGGCGTGAAGAGCGCTGAGGAGCCTCAGGTGTTAACCACAACTGATGCAACCACAGCTTTTCATGTGGGACGCAGCTTTCAACCATGAAGAGAGTCGAGCCTTAAATCTCCACAATAACCACACTCCTCATCCTTTAAGTGCCCCCACTGACGTTCACCACACTCTCTGTTTGTCGTGGATTAAAGTCAGAGTCGGCAAAACATTGGAAGGTGCAGTTTCTAATTTCAGCTGAGAATATCTTTACTCTCTAACACTCATTTCAAAAGGAGGGGACACACGTTCGCTAGGTATATTATCACCACACACAATCTGATCTAAGCAGACGTGTCTCTAATATAAAGTGGAAATGAGAGAGGTATAAGAAGAGTCTTTCCCAGCTGCCCTGGGGGGTCAATCTGAGTCTGAAAACTGTCTGAGGGACTAGAAAACTCTCTTAGAGGGTCATCAAACTCGGGTCTAACTAAGTCTAAAAATCTGTTAGAGAAGTGGGAATGTATGAGGAACGATGCCGGTAGCGTTCCTACCAAGGCGTCCGTCCAGCCGAACAAACAGCTCGCAGATGCTGAAGGCGATGGTGGTGTGAGCCGGGATGACGATGGCCTTGTCCCGACCTTTGGGGTTTCTGCCGTCGTCGATCTGAAACTGTGAAAGAACCAGCAGTTTGAGACAAAGTCTGGCGAGGCATCTTGAAAATCTTGATTTTACAGATATCTCACAAATGACAATTACAGGATAACAGTAAACACCAAACTGCAGCATGGCGACACAGGTGGAGAGGAGTCGGCAAACTGTCTCAGAAACTTAGATTTTATATTTGCAAACAACACAATGACTAACATTAGCCAACTGTATCTACTTGAGCAAGGGAGTATTTTTTTTTATATTTAAAATAGTTTGATATTTTTATAGGGTCGGACTCGTAAACCTAATGACTTTGTAACATTTTTAAATGACTTGATGAAGCAGTAAACTGGGAACAGGTTGGGATGAATTGCCGGTGATGGTCGGTCTATGTTGTCCATGTATTGCGTCGCCATATTAACACTTGTGTTTGTGTGCGTTTTTACCCTCATGGTGGTCCCTCTCATCCCGGCGTGGACGGTCAGGGAGCACTGACGTGTGGTGCGGATGCTCTCCACAACGACACAAAGAGCGCTGCGTCTGCTCTCCTTGGACTGACGGACCAGGCAGTGATCCAGGTCCACTTTCCTGAAAGAAAGGAAAAGGAAAATGGTTTCATGTAGTTATAAATCTCGAAGAACCTTGAAGAAACAGTTAACTACAAATATTTCCAACTACAACAGACCTTTAGACCAGACATCTACAGTCCATTTACTGTCTCACGTTGACCTCATGTATGTAGATTCTGTATGTGTACCAGTGTAGAATAACATGATCATTTATTCATCCTTACAGGGAAACCCTCTTCTCACATTCCCTCTGTCACAAGGAGGTCAGAGGTCAGGTATCAACTTAAGGAAAAATGAATCCAGGTATCTAACTGTGTCAAATTTGCTTTTAGAAAAATATATTTATGGAAATCCAACTCATGAGCTGATCCCTTAATACTTCTAGCACATCTCTCTCTTTCAAAAAGCTAAATAAATAATAGAAACATAGATGATATAACTTATTAATTAAACATTACAGAGATGACACTGATCAGTTAAGTAACACCCCGATGAAGATGAGCGCGTACACTGAGCAGCTGTTGAAAGCACGTTGTGCTACCTGGAGTTGAGTTCTCGCAGTAAGGTGGGCACCTCCAGCTCGTGTTTGGTCACAATGCCGAAGGAGGCTTTGACGGCCACAGAGTCCGACCCGCTGATGTTGAACCCCACATCGTTGATGAGGTGGTTTCCTAATCGGCCATTGAGAGCTACGTCCGATTTGTCCTCGTAGTTGAGGAGCTGATAAGAAGACACTCCTGTTCCAGAAAACATAAAATAATTCATATTTATTATCTTTTTATTCTAAACTTCAGTATTTCCATTAATTAATATCTCAAATTCAAAACACATGATGAACTTATAAATATGTTTGACAGATAAGTTTATTTAACTAAATACATCATTACATCAAGTATTTCTTTTTATTTTTAACTTGATTTTGTAATTTAAACAATTCTTGATCAAGTAGCTTTAGTAGATGTAACACTGACTTAATTTTGTACTTTTGTTTGTGTTAAAATGTTTTTAGTTAAAATAACAATCGAAGAACGTAATAGTACACTCAAACTTCAATGTGTATAAAATGTGTATATGTGTTAGATTTATTATAATTTCTCACTCAGTGTCACTTAAAGGGATAAAAATGGGAAACATGTATGTTAAAAGATTATTTAATAGGCCAAATTTAACAACACTTAAGAACAAATACTCAAAAATATCAAGTTGATTCTCCTTATTCTGTTTCATTACCTGCTGTGATCTCTTTCTCTCCTACCAGGATGTCTTTCAGGGAGAAAGGAGTGGAGGCGTACTTGTTCTTCTTCCAGAAATGCCTCTTCCTCTTCCTGGTCACCAGGCTGAGGGGCTGGTAGCGGTCGGCCTCGCTCAGGCTCGGGACGGGGATCAACCTCCCCGTGTCCCCGACTTGCTTCACAAAGTTCTTAGTGGCTGCTGCGAACATTTCAAATGCTGCATAAGTATGAAACCAGGGAAAACACCTCCAAGGGAGACTACAGCACCGCTGGGTCCATGTCCTCTGGTCTTGTTTGGAGAGCTCAGAGCTGCTAATTCTGGAGTGTTCTTTCAGACTCGTGAAGCGTTAAATAATGCAGGTAGTGTGTAAGGGAATATGGGACAAGGTGTGTGTTAACTTGATAGGTCACTGTTAGGCCTGCAGCTTCCTGTCACGTGACAAATTAGGTGGGAAAAAAAGCACATTATAGGAGCATTGTCTTACACTCTTTAGCAGCATGGTTTTTTGGGGCCAGTTTATGTGCTGACTAAAGCTTTAACAGTCTATATCCTGTCCTACACAGTAGCTATGTTCCCCTTTGACTCTGCGATACATGAAACATCTGCTTTGGCCACAAGCCTTTCTCCAAAAGCCTGGATTATTTTTTTTTTAGGGATGTCTCTGTGGTTTTTTTTGTCAGATCTAATGTTTTTTCATTGCAGCCCTTTTTTTAGTTTGGATAACGTCCACCACAGTGTGTGTGTGTGTGTCCTGCATGCACACTCATGGGTTGATCTCTCCTGTGGTTACGCTGCTGTCTAGTCTATACATCCAGAAATAGCTTGAACGCCGGACGGCTTTAAATGCCACATGTAAGACGCTTTCTTACCACGAGAGCTGAGGTCAGTTTTAGCTTTCTATACATTACACTCTCTGTAATTTCTCTCTGTAAAGTCTTGTAATAGTATATATATATAAAAAAAACCATCATCACGCTGCAATTTACACTCCCATCTAGTTTTGGCTGCTCTGCGAAATTTCAGGAACTTTTGGGTTTGGATCTAATTTTAACAAGCACTCAAGCTGTGTGTGTAAAAGTGGATTACACAGGGATCACCTGAGCAGGCACAGTAGGAGATTTTATTTATTTCATTTCTGAGTTAACGGCAACCTTAAATAATTTTAAAAATCTGCCAGTGAGGTAAGCCAGTTTTGCTTGCCTAACATTATTCAAACTAGCATAGAAATGTATCCACTGAAAGATCATAATGGGCATTAAAACAAGACAAAAATGCCCCAAAATTAAGCAAGTTGTGCTTATTACAAACAATAAAAACTACTTAAGATAGACTTAAAATAAGTATTTTTGTCACTTTATTGAGTTGAATTTAGGAATTTTTACCTTTAATATAAGATTAATAATTAGCAAAGACACAATTTCTTCAAACTGCATGATAAAAATAAGCAACTTTGTCTTAAATGCAGGCACCAGAAACATTCTTATTTTTTAGCATTTGTTATTAAAACAATGAAAAACTAAACAGCTGCTTGTTTAAGACGACTTTCTCTGGTGGTCTTATTCTTAAAATAAAGAAAAGGAAATGCTATAATATCTTATTATGACAAAGTTAGATATATATTCTTAAAATGAGATTACTTTTTTAATACAAAACAAATAAAAACTGCAAAAAAAGGATAATTTCCCAGAAAAAAAGGCATTTTTACTTTCTTGACATTCCTTTTTTGCAGTGAACAACCTCAAACTGCAATAAAGAAGGATACATATTTGAATGTTGACCACTGTTGACTGAACGTAATCTAACAAAAAAGAGGTGACAAATAGTGTACAAGTCTTTACAAAAGCACAGGACTTCCGTACTGATGCAGTTCATCAGTGTGTTTTACAGCTCAATGCAAAGATGGTTGTCTCAGTCAGTTGTTCACAGCAGCTGTGACAGATTATTAGAAAAAGTCAACCAGGTGCAAAAAAAACTGAGGAACAGGGAAAATTAAAACAGAGGCCAAGCCCGAACTGAGTCCAGGTTCAGTTTTTAGACCAGCTTGAAGTAATACAGCCCTGACAGAAAGTACTGCAGCTTTAAATCAGTCTAATGCTCAGTATCGCAGAAATAGACCAAAAAACGGCTGCTTCAGGGGTCCAAACTTGTGACCTTTGTTTTAAAGAATATCTTCTCTAACCATCATGATGCATTAATCTACAGAAGCTTAGCGCTCATCTGATGGAGGAACTGTCTTCCCATCTGCTTCAGTCTCTGTCCCCTGTGGCTCTTAATGGAAAATCAGCCTGTTCCTCAAGCACCTTAAACACTTCCTGACCCAAGTTATTCAGGGTTGGAAACAAGTGAATTCACCTCATCCAAGCACAGAAATGTGACTTTATAAAAGCTTCGATAACTCAATTCAAGAGCCTTGTAGCGGTAAGAATATTCTGTGTAAGAATTACAAGTGGAAACGGCGGAAAAAGGAGTTGTGATGTTTGTTTTGCTCGCTACCTCTGGGACATCACCTCAGGGACTGACGATCTGCTTGACGCACTGACTTGGCAGAGCTTCGCACTGGAAAACACATCAGATGAATGTAACATGCACATTGTAAACCGCTCAAGCTGGAGCGCACAGATTTAGGTCAGCAAGTTAAATTTCAGGTAGATAGAGAAGTAAACGGAAGGTGTTATTTTGTTTGGACACATTCGTATCTGGGTTTATTTCATAGTTGTGCAGATTAGGGGTTTATATGTATGTCCGCTTGGAATCAGGGTCCTGTTTACTAGGGCTGAACCATGTACTAAACCAGTAAAATGTGCCAATATCTATACTTGTAAATACTAAATACTTGTAAATATTTTTCTTAGAAATATATCTGGAAATCCAAAAATGTGAAAAATTAGGAGAACATACGATCAGTTTGTTTGCCCACCTCTTTATGAAAATACATGTTTTTGTTCCTTTATCTCAAGTATTGAATATCCCTGCAAAAATTCCAATAAAAAATCATTTAAAAATTGTATTGTCGTTGATTCTGATTTATACATCCAGTGGACACTAACAACATTAGTATCTATTTGAGGGCCCATGTTTCAGGTGGCTGGAGGATCTAGCTTTTGTTTCTAAAACTGGGTGGAAACAATTACAGAGTTTAAAAACAGACTTAAGTTGAGAGGATAATGAAATTAACCTTTTTCCAGCAGCCGACATAGACACAGATATAACTATATATATCATTATATATGTATGTTATTCCAATACACTCCAGACAGAGTAAGAAAACTTCGATTGGTAGAGTAGAAAAAATTATGGCATTTTGTGATGGTTCTTGAATCATCAAGACATGAAACATCTGGTTGTTTATGTCAAGCAGACATCATTCTTGAACAGTAAGCAGGAATCCGGGAAAACTTGAGCTTTCAAAAGTCTTTTTTTTTTCAACAACATCATCCATCCCATCTTCTTTCATCAATCTTTTCAGTTGGACAAATTTAATGCAGCCTCTAATTAGTGACATCTTTCAAGGCATCCGCAAGAGCGCAAGGAGGAGGTTGGCTTGGGAATAAAGCAAGAAAAAAAATGATGATAGAGGAGGAGGAGGAGAGAGAGAAGGAGGGAGGTGGAGGGGGGTAAAGAGGGAGCTTGTTTCAGTTTGCAGTGATCGCTCATCCAGGAGCCTGTTCCACTCAGGGATATTTGGATTTTTTCAGTCTGGATGCTGTAGCTCGGGGTTGGGCTCTCTTCTGACTTCCTTGTCTGTCTAGCAGCGGCTGTGTGTGAGGACGCTGCATGTCTGGCATGCAGACATGGGCCCCTCGTTACTCTCTAGGATTACCGTCTGCCTGCTCATCACCTTGGCTCAGGTGATCGCCGTGACCTGCCAAGAAGATGCCAAGAAAGGTGAGTGGCAACCGCTCCACATATGACCGCTCCTGTTGTCCTCTGATTGGTTTTGATGTGCTGATGCCTGATAATGTGTCAGTTGCTGACAGGTTTATGCAAAAGTGGAACACAAAAGGGTCATAAAATGCTTTGGTTTACTGATATCAAGTCAATAATCTGTTTTTGTGCTTCTGTGTGCTTTTGTGCTAAAATAAACATATGTTCAATGCTAATATATAATCTTTAAGGTTAGAAAACACTGGAAAAGTTACTTTTGCTGCAATGTTTATGTTTGTTTTATGTTTAACTCTTGACAACAATGTTTCCTCCAGATTTGCTGTCTTCTAATGATTCATGATCCAAGCCCTATAAAAACATGTTGTGCTTTTTATAGTTGTGTTTGTTTTTCCCATTATCTTGTTGGTTTATGATGTGTGTGTGTGTTTTTTTTTTTCAAAATCTAGGAAGTGGTTTGGGGAAGTTTCTCATCTCTTTTCAGATTTCCTGCTTTTTTAGTTAATAAGTGAAACCGGGCTGCTCTGCCTCCCAGCAACCGGACCACACTGGCCTTGTGGTTTGGGAACTAAAGGTTCAAATCACACCCACAACCTAGACCAGAAAGGCTTATTATGCCTTAATGAGACACCATTTTCCTGTTTGTGAAGCCACAAAGTGATGATTAAGAGTGCGTTCCTGACACAAAATATCTGATGAAAGCTGCAAACCTTTCAGGAATTAATTACAGATGGAGATAGCAAGCTCCAATCTCTTGGAAGAAAAGGGTATTGTGGGTACACTGGCCTCACACTGCTGAGACAAAATCTTCAAAATGAAGACGATTTCTTAAAAAATGGAGATGTGGCTTTTTCTAAAATGAAATGTCCCAGTCGATGTGATCTCAGGTCAAAAATATCTCCCCCCCCTCCAGCCTGCAGCACAAACTAAAGCATGCGCAGCGCTGGCTGGGCTATTTCAGTGCGAGGTCGAGGCTGAATGACGGGGTTTTGAGTGCCACGGCTATAATGATGTGGCCTTGCGGATGGGATGGACAAAAGCAGGCCACTAATTTTGGTCAGACTTCGGGCCAAAGGCAGACAAGACACACCCAGAGTGAGAGGATGCTGGATATGAAATATGCCTCATTCGTTTCCATCCAAGTTCACCTCCACTGAAGCTGCACAAGAAGAAAGATTTTACTTTAAGGTCATGAGAAACGCAGGCGCAGTTTCTGGGACTGAATATGTGACAGTAATGCTCAGTAAAGGCACGCTCTCCAGCTGTGGACTGACAGGTGTTTCTCTACAGGCCAAAAAAAAAAAAACCAAGGAAGGGGGAACGATTCTGGCAATAAAAATGTGAAAAATCAGTCAAGATCAAATACAACACAAAAATGAGAAGTTTGAGCTTTGGGTTAATTTAAGTTTTTTTTACCTCAAAGGTAATTTAAAGGCTGTTGAGACTCGTCCAGCCTCCATTATCTGCTTATGGGTTTTAACTATGTGTGTGACGCCTCTCGTATCCGTCCCGTAGTTAGTGCACAGTGTTTCTTACCACAGTCACATTCTCTCTTTACTGTTACGGCTAGCAGTTTCCCCCTGTTTCCAGTATTTGTGCTAAGCTACGGTAATCGGCTGTTACCTTTATAAAGAGTGGAATCCATCTAGTCATCTTACTCTCGAAAGCAAATGTGTGTTTCTTTAACATCAATATATTAGCTGTTGTAATAGAAGTTTGAAAATGTATCCAGTAAAGTCCAGAGACGTATCCAGAAAACTCTCAGTTTGGGAACCAATAGGTAACATAGGATTGGTACAGGAGATGAATTATTTACAGTATTTACATTAGTTGCAAGTGTAGTTCAAGTGCTTTGAGCTGAATTCAGATGCTTTGTTGTTTCAGAACCAGGTCAGCTGTTGTTGTGAAGAGAGTGCAATGAGATTTATGATACTGGCTGTCAGCTTGTTGAGACGTTGACTGGCCACTTAAGATTTTAGTGTGCTGATTTTGGCTTGGTGTGTGTGAATGTGTGTGTTTGTTTGAGTGAGCGAGCCTAGACTTTGAATGGGAGGAACTAACATCAGCAAGCTTACGTTTATTTGTATCTCTCAAGATTTTGACTCAATACCTGATGTGATGGGGTTTTTTTTAGGGGTTTCTTAGTTGTGACCGTTTAAACTGAAGCATGTTTTCTGTGACCCTTATGGTTTTAGCATGGACATAACAAATGTAATGTTTCCTACAGTTTCATTTGAAGGATTGAGGAAAGGGAAAAAGTATCAAGTATTTTATCTGAAAACAGCAAAAATAACCTCTAATTTAAGCTTTATTCTTGACAGAAAGAGAAAAAATAAACATAAATTAGTGTTGTTTTTAACTCATGTGTGATTACCTTAGTTATCTGTCTGAAAAACCTTAGGGACAGATACAATAAAGAAGACCAAAAAAAGCAAATGAATCATCTTGTGACCTCTCCGATTTATCTAGGAACTCCTCAAGGAGTCCCAACCCCCAGGTTGGGAACCACTGGCCCTAAGGTGTGTGGGCTGAATATTGTTTAATAATAAACCTGAGTTTAGGAGGTTTAGGCGTCTGCAAACCACAAGGTCAGAGAGCTGCACGGACAGTTTCCACTTAAAAAGAAGCCCACAGTAAGTCATGATAATTGCTCTCATGCTGTAAATCCAGGCTATAATCACATTTAAATGCCTTTAAAATATAGTTTTCTGATCGCAGGAGTCTGTAGGTTATAACCTTTATGCAAAAAAATCTGTTTTATCTGCTACAGCTCAATAAAATTACCAAAATAAAAGGTTCAGTGTTCCAAAAACAAGAATGATAGAGACCACTGTGGCCTCAACAACCTGCAGAATAAACCTCCAGCTCATTGATTTTTCCTACATGCTGCAGCCTGCGAGCTGCTCCTCAGGGCGAAGCAGGTTTTTCGTTGCAGGAGGGTTCTCCGGGTGTGGCACCTCTCTGCTCTCCCAAATAAAGGCCAGCCACAAGTTCTACCCAAGCCCAACGTATAATACATCCACTGCGGTTTCCACCAAAATAACTCCTGCTTTTGAAAGCGGGCCTCTCTCGCGGGGAGAGGCTCCACCACATAATTAGTACTTAGGACGTCACTAAACTGCCTGGATTAAAATATGCTCACAGAGCTCGTAGCAGGTGGCCATTTTTGCTTTTTCCCCCTCTTTCTCTTTAGTTTTGCACTTTATTCTGATACTTTATTTTTTTTAAGCAGAGACAGAGGGTTCAGTGTTTTAATATTTGACCAGCAGGGTAAAGATTATTAAAGAAAATCCAAACACATCCCACGTAAACTGCAAATAATCATGCCTTTAAACCTTATTTTCCTCGAAGCAAGGTACAAATGTGCCAATAAGGAATACTAATCCCCTTTTGAACATGTTTTTCTCCATGTGTTTAAAAAATTATGTTAAAAACTGTCAAGAAAATGTCACTTTTTTAGAGAATTATTGAAACAATTCAGTTTTTTGTTACAATTAGTGTAACGCCACGCTAATGTCATTTACTGCACCTCAAAATCATTCACTTTTTCCTTTTTTTTGTTCTATTTTCCTCAAAAACAATTATAAGATTCCATAGGCACATTTTGGCATACCTCTAGATAACAACAGTTTGATGTGCTAACATGAAAACTATAGGTCTTGTCTTGTTTTAGAGAGACACTGCTGGTGCAAAAATGATTACACGCTTGCATACAGACGGATTTATAGACACATTTACAGCCAGGAGCTGTCGAGTTCAACCACAGTCTAGTCACTAACTGCCTCAGTAGTCGAGGCGCCTTGCTGAAGTGCAGCTCAGTGGCAATTTGCCTGAAAGTGTCTGTCGGTGCTCGATGATGTCTAATTCTGAGAGTGATATTTGTATCCACATTGTTATTTTCCCCTTCTGATTAATGAGCTGTCAGTGCGTCTCTCAGGGTAGATTTATCTAGAATGTATTCTGCCCATTCTGGTTGTATTTTCACTCTAATTTACATGACTGAAACATTATGCAAGAGACGGGGATCAGTCGTGAACTCACGAATGATCTGTTGCTTGTCATTCACTTTTATGGTATTATTATTATATTATTGTTCGTTTTTGTGTTGTCTTGTTGACTTTTGTGTATTTTAAAGGCCCTTCTGTGGACAGGCATGGCCGACTAGCTGAGACAGGTGGTTCTTGCTGCATATTAAATCCCTTTAAAAATAAATATTGAATAAATTAAAGTTTGGCGAGTTGTGAGAGACAGATAAGTAAAAAAGGAGGGTCAAACTGAAGAGAGATATCCTCACTTTTAGTCTCTAGTATGGGTTAAACTCCAAAATCAACTGGATACTACACTTCCCATAATGCAACTCAGTAACACCTCTTTATGAAACTGATAAATGTAACATCTTTAAAACCTTATGCCCCCAGTTTATTATTGAGTAGTACAGTAAACTGACTCTAGTGTGCACAATCTGTGGAATTTCCCCTTCAGGTTGGCAGCAGTCGAGTTTATTGGCCTTCAGTGTAATTTATACCTTTTTTTTAATTTCACGTCTTTGCAGTCTGAGGATCGTCACAGTGAAAACAATACTTACCTTGTGAACTCTAAAGTGTAGTGACGTTGATAGTTTGCTTACTTATCTTACTTTACTTAAGTACCATTTTGAGGTGGTACCTTGTACTTCTACTCCACTACAGTTCAAAGGTAGTGGCATCTACAGCTTACAGTTACTTTACAAAATAAGATTTTACAAATAAAACACTACTTTACATTTCAGGGACTTTTATTGGAAATAAAATATGTTTCCAGTGTGGTATTTATTCAAAGGATCTGAGTACTTCCTCTACCACTGTTAGTTATGATCCCTGCTGTGAGCTCTCTGTCTCCTTCAGATTTGGAGCACAAATTCCTCTTAAGGCCTACACAGAGATGATTTTATCTCTTGCATTGAATGTAAAGCTGGTTTTCAGTTTACAGTTGCCTTCGCGGTGTATCCCCAGTGGCCTAAGCTAGGGATCGTGGGTTGTGGGTGATTTCCAGCAGAGCGTTGTGGAGGTTTTTGGTGCTTGGATTAACCCTGATTGAGACGTTAATGCAATATGGGTAGAAAGACTGAATCCTAAAACGCTTAAAAGGTTACTAGGTCTTTGACTCAAGCAGAGGGCATTTAGTACCTGACTGATTTTACAGTGTGAGTGGATCAATTCATGCATGAAGGCCAGTTTCTATTGCATTGCTTAGCAATGGGTGCAGCCTACTGGACAAAGGTGGAAAGTGCAGTTACATTATCTTCTTGTGGGAAGGTGTGGGGGTTAGTTTATGTTTAATTAAATGCTTTTTTTAATCATGTTTTGTTTTTAAAAGCTTGGAAATCTCATTTTAATATGTTGTACCTCAGATTCAAAAGGTTTCTTAGATGCATTAATGAAACAAATTAAACCAAATAATACCTTTAAAGACTATGTTTAGGTCATGCCTTTCAATAAATTACAATGTTTTATTCATTATTTTTTTAATTTACTCTACTAATACCTACTAATGTCTCCTACACGCAGAAGATGTTTCATGGAGTACTTTAAAGAGGTGTAAATAAACATGCACCTCTGGTCCCAGATGCTCATTGCTGCTCTGCTTGACTCAGACAGCTGTACAGAAAACGGAAAGGTCTACTCCAACTATCAGATATGGAGCCCAGAGTCATGTCGAGTCTGTGTGTGTGACATGGGGACAGTAGTGTGTGAGGACGAGGTGTGTGAGGAGCTCAGTGACTGCCAGACGGCTGTGACTCCAGAGGGCGAGTGTTGCCCTGTGTGCTCGACTGCAGCACCAACTCACAGTACAGACACTAAAGCAGGTAAATGACTGTACCTTCATTCCCTCCTACAGGGAACACTGGTTGTACTCAACACCTTCAGTTTCCTTTCAGTTGGTGTGACACATCATTATGGGGTTTTTCTGCCAGTAGGGAGTTTCAGGGATCTGCTGTTGCTTGTGCTGCCAGATTAAACATCTTTTAAGGCTTTTAAGGCCGCCTTCGGACTGCAGGCCAATGCGACTCAGATCTGAGTTTTCCACGACAGTTTGAACGGCGCAAATCACATTCTGATTTGGGCCCCTCTCATCTGCAATGTGACCATATATAGATAAACTGCACAATGAACCCAGATAGTGAACACAATAACTGCAGGAAGTTTGTGTAAAATTAGCAATCTGCATGAATTATTTCCTGAATATTGATCAGAAATTAGTTTTCCTGATATTTTTCTTGTCTTTATTGTGTTTTAGATCTTATCTTTTTTTTTTCTTATCTTTTTTTTTTTAACAAATCCAGTGTTTTTTTCTCCCTGAAGCTTGGCTTATGTGCTATTAGCTCTTTGGTTTTATAATGCAGGACGAGGCTTTCTTATCAGTAAGTGATAAAACTGAATATGGCTTAAAAATAACAATTTCATTTAGTTTTCTTCAAAGAAATGAACCAAATGCTGAGATATAGGCCTACTGTGAATATTTTCCAAGTTTTCTTACACTCCTTAAACTCAAGAAGGCCTTGTGACCCCCTGTGAAGATTTGACCCCCAAGTGATCGACATTCATTATACAGGACATCTTTTAAGATCTTGTAAAGCTGTTTCTGCTGCTGAAGCAGAGAAGAGAGGAAAAGTAGGTAATGCCAGATGAGGTCAATCTGACCTGAAATGTTGCATTTAACAGTATTTAACAGTAGTTAGTGTTAGTGTATAGTTTTTATTGGCAGTTATCTTCACAAAGTCAAGTTATTGACGAGCATCACTCATGTTATTCTGAGCTGCAGTGGTGATTAAGAGTATAAAAGTATCAACAGTATCAGGAATCCTAAACTATCCCTTTGTTAGACACTATGTGATAAAACCAAAGTGGATGCATAGAAAGCCAAGAATACTATCTAATATTGCTCTTTATTATTTATTTTTTTACTGTAAAGTTTGGTCCTACCAGGATCCTGTGGGTTAATAGTTTGCAGGTTTTGCAGTTGACATGCTCCAGTGCAGCAAAGGTCACTATTGCGATCTAACCTGGTTACTTTATTGATCTACAACTAACTTTGTGACACCGCAAAACTTAAGTTAAGCCCAAAGACAGCTGTCTTTATTAGTCTGCATAAGATAGCGTTGGCACACATGGTATTTTGTTTCCCTTTTTTGCTACAAGGAGTTTTTAACTGGTTATGAAACAGTCTCAGTTTAATTCTGTGACCTACATAAGCAGATGAGACCATCAGCTATTATGGCTTTATCTATATAGTTATTAAAGTCTGTCACTGGGTCTGATTCCCCTTGAAATCAATGAAACAAGGCAGTAAATACGCTTCCACTTTTGTCCAGAATCATAATTTTTTTTTAACTTTCTTGTGATCTAATTAGCAGGAGTAGTTGAAAATGTGGCTTTAAGTTCATAAGAGTTTTCACTAAGACATAATGTTCCTCTGGAGGCTGAATTAATACATCTGTGGTTCGCCAAAGAAAGACACATTCTGACTGGGTAAAGTTTGAATGAAGCCCACTGCGAGAGGCAAGAAAGTTGAAGAATGTGGTTCTTGATAGCTTTGTCCGTTGAGGTTTATCTGACCTAGAAAGATCATTTCTGCTTCCACCGAGCGCTGCCTACAGGTTTGTCTTTAAACAGGAAACACAGCTCTAGCTGGAAACTGTGGGTGTTGTAATCATAAAACTACCATGCCAGTACACGTAGTAACTCCTGCCGCCATGAGGCCCAGCTGACGCCAAGTCAAGGTGCCACTGGTCAAATGTTGACTCATGAGCACCACGGACTGTCATTCTCTTGTGGTTCCAGTGTGAATTTAGCTGTTTGTCTTCAACCGCAGGCCCCAAGCTGAGGAGACCAGTTTTCCCTTTATTGTGTTTACAGGTTTTTGAGCGATTGTAGATTGTTTTTTCTCTTGGTTTAAACTGCTGGAGGAGTCTGGATTAGCTCCACTGGAGGAAGACGTTTGGACCAAGTCTGGGCTAAAATAGACCAGCTGTTATTGTGAGCAGACTTTCCATACATTGTGATAAGTTATTATAACTCAAAGAAATTGTTGAAATTGCTCCAATGGAACATTTTAAGTGACACAAACTCTGTTTTTTTTTTTACTTAAAATTACTACTTAAGCTACTTGATCAAGAATGTTTTTTTAACTCACAAAATTTAGTTTGTTTTACTTAAAATTTCCGATGCAATCAGTTTCAACCAGTTGTCTTTTGTTAAATGAAGTTGTGGTTTTACAGTGCTTATTGTATTATAGTAAGAAAAGAGGAGATGATAGTAGATCTGTGCATGATTCTGCAAAACCTCCAGACATCTTAGGGATTGAGCAAAGGTTTAAAGTAGCTGTGAGCTTATTCTTCAGATTTGTTTTTCTACTGGAGGGTTTGTACAATATAAGTAAGGAAAATTAAGATATTTGCAGTCGGTCTCATGATTAAAAACCCCATAATGATGTACAGACGTCACCATCACTGCATGGGGAATCAACCCACAATACTGATGTCAGTTGCTGTTCTGTTTCATGAAGATACCTGCACAGAAAATGGAAAGACCTACTCCCACAATCAGATATGGAGCCCAGAGCCGTGTCGGATCTGTGTGTGCGACACGGGGACTGTGGTGTGTGAGGAAGTGGTGTGTGAAGAGCTCGGGCACTGCCAAACAACCGAGGCCCCAGAGGGCGAGTGTTGCCCTGTGTGCTCGACTGCAGCACCACACCCTCCTAGCATGGACAATAAAACTGGTAATAAATATTTAATAAGAACCATTTTGAACCTGATATTTGGCAAAGCAGATTTACATGTGGGTCTGTATTTTCTGTAAATAGCCACATTAACAAATCCACCTTCTGTGTATTTATGTGTATTTTTATGTAGGTTTAAAAATAGAGGAGACTTTCACTTCTTTCTGAAAAGATCGCTGCACAAGAGGTGGAGATTTTTACTGTGAAATAATAGAGATAAATGACAATGACACTGTCAATTCAACTCTCCTCTTAACACCAATCTCATCTCATTTGGAGATTTGTTCTCACCTCTTTCAAATCCATCTCTCCAAAGCCCAAAAGTCCTTCCATTTATTCACGACTTTTCTGTTTCATCCCATTTATTTTCATGTCTTGGTGTCTCTCACATTTATCTGTATCCACTCTGGCATTGTCCTAACAGGAATTATATTATATTTTGCACATATTTTATGTTTCTTATAATTGTGAATTATTAATTACTATGCATTCCAGTCAGTACAGTGCATCATCATGGGATTAAACTGTCCAAATGAGGATCTTGGTATAATGAAAACAAAATACTACAATTTATTAATTTGTTCCAATGTTCCAGTAGCATAAAAATCACCCCAATGGTTTTGACAAAGTAAGATAGGTTAACAATGCATATGAAGAGATGTGATGTGTGAAGCCTCCCAGTGTAATTCTCTCTAAGTGGGTTAAGTGAGGGCCAATGTCTGACCTTAGCTTTGGGTTTTTTCCATAATGGGAAGGAAAAAAGAAAGAAAATGATTAATCCTTTGGACGAAAAGAGATTTCGATTGCCAATCCCAAAACGACATATACAGTATGACCAGTCGTTCCACCAGACCTCCGTTGTGAGGAGGTTAATGTGGTGAAACGGTCACAGTTTGCTGTGGTTTAGGCACCAAAACTCTTAACAAATAAATGTATGTTAGTTACGTTACTCAAATTATGATATATACGTGTGAGTTACTTTAGTTAAAATAGCCCATTGTTGACTTTTGGTTTCAAACAGCAGTCTCCCCTGGGGTACACTAAAGTGTTTAACCCATCGCTCTACCCCGACCTCCTTCTTTTATGGACTTTATTGTCCATCTATAGTACATTGCCTACCTTCCTCGTTTGCTCCCTTCCCCAACTACAGCCACTAGCTGCCTAAACGGACTATAACAGCTCTGTTAGGCTGTTCTTGGGCACAGCAGTGCTTTAAGCTAAATCCTAACATTACAATGATAACACTCTGATGATTAGGAGGTATTATGATTATCATGTTCACCATCTTATTTTAGCATGCTAACATTTGCTAAGTACAGCTAAGGCTGACGGGATCGTCATTTGTTTTGCAGGTTTTTGGTCATTTGGTTTCACTGGTTGAATTCAAACTTTGCTATAGGAAAAGTTTGGGATCATCAAAGTCATTAGTTTTAATCCTTTAGGGATTATGAAAGTCTGTACAACATTTAATAGTAACTGAGATATTTCAGTCTGTATCACAGTGGTGGACCAACTGACCAACAGACTGCCCTGACTGTAGAAACCAATCAAACAAATCAATCAATGGACTCTTTGGAGACTAGTTTTTGGGTTAAAAATAAACAAAACAAACAAGAATTATAAAGTCAAGTCAGTTGCAGCAAACTCAGAACACTGACTGTACACTTGATTGTATAGCTACAAGCATTGGACCTCTCCAAGCAGATCACTGCCGTAAATCTTGGAGAAATGACCCTGAGTACTGACGTCAGCTGCTGTTCTTTTTCATAAAGATTCCTGTACAGAGGATGGAAAAGTCTACTCCAACAATCAGATATGGAACCCAGAGCCATGTCGAGTATGTATATGTGAAATGGGGACGGTGTTTTGTGAGGACTTGGTGTGTGAGGATGTAGGTGACTGCGAGACCACAGAGATCCCAGAGGGCGAGTGCTGCCCCGTGTGCTTGGCTGCAGAACAGCGGCCTGACACTGAAACTGGTAAACTGGAATGAGGATGCATCTTGGTTAATTTCTGGCAGTGTTTTGTGTTGCTCAATCTCAGCAGTCAGACAATCTTCCCATCTCTGTCAGGACTGCTGGCACTCTTTCTCTCCCAGCCTGAAGCCCTCCTCTTCAGGCTGCCTCCTGTGCACACAACTCTTTAAATTTCACAGTATTGTGTTCGGAGTTTCCCCTTGACTGTATTGTCAGTTTTGCAAAAGGAATACACGTAACTTTTTGCCAGATAAGATCACTTCTCAACCAACTTTTGTGCAGCAAAAACACTGGTGAGAGTTTCATCTGTGCTGACAGCCATTTCAGTTTTGAAAACGATGGTGGAGCTGCTGCCAATTTTACTGCCGCACAAAAAAATGTTGAGCAAGTAATTGACCAAATACGGTGTATTCTTCGGGGAAATTGCTACCTCCTTCGCCATGTTCACTATCATATTGTTGATTGCACTTTATATGCACTTTTTTATGATGGTAGTTGCCACATTTATTGGTCTTTGCACTTATTATGAATTGCTTTCTATTTCAGCACCAATTGAGGCTTAAAGAATTCAAATAAAAATGTAAATGAATGGTTTATTTCTTTAAAGCCCGTATTTGTAGAATTTTTATTATTTGTGACTTTGGCGACTCCCAGTGGTCAAAAAAGAAAGTGATGTATGTCATGACGACCTCAGTATTGTCCCGTCTTTCTACAAACAATCATAATAATTTGGAGGATGCTAAAATCACAAAGAATCTACACATAGGGGCTTTGAAGGATAGGACTACTTTTACCTTTTGAGAATAATTGCTGGCATGAAATGTAAGCATGTTTGACATTTTGGGAAACATGCTTTTTTGCCGAGACTTAATGAGAAGATCAGTACCACTCTAACGTCTGTATGCTAACTATAAAGCTGCAGCCAGCAGCTGGTTAGCTTAGCTTAGCATAAAGGCTGAAAATAAGGACTCTAAAGTAACTGGTAACTTCATATTTAGCATACACACCTGTACCGTGGTATCACTATTCTCATAAGTCTTGGCAAGAAGCTGAAAAGGCGTAAAATGTTTAATTTTTCCTTAAAATTTTTACTGTTGGATTTCAGGTAAAAATGGTTAACATTACAACCCACCCCAGATACTAATTTAATTTCCCTACACTTCTATTTCACAAAGATACCTGCACAGTAGATGGAAAAGTCTACGGCAACAATGACATGTGGAACCCAGAGCCGTGTCGGATCTGTGTGTGCGATATGGGGACCGCAGTGTGTGAAGACGTGGTGTGCGAGGACCTCGGCGACTGTGTGAAAACTGTGACCCCAGAGGGCGAGTGTTGCCCAGTGTGCTTGACTGCATCTGCAACATCAACTCCCAACACAGACCCCACAACAGGTAAATGTCATTAATCCTTAGGGTTGGGTAGGGATCACATTTGAACTGATACCGGCACCAGGAATTCAGTATACCAATAGCCAAAGGAACTCTGTCAAAACTGTCTGTAGATTTTATGGTGAAACCATGACAGTAAAGGACTCTAAACTCTAAATAGTGTAAATACAGTTTCTGTAACAGTAAAACACTGTGTATCTCATGGCAAAACCTTTATTTATACAGCATTTTAAAGGCATTTATATGGAATAAAGTTGTTTTTTTTATATCACACACTGTAAATTGCACGGAAAACCACCATCATAGCATTCATTTGGCTGTTTCTTTTGATAGTAAAAATTTATATTTATTCAGCAAAATATGGATTAAAACTCAACAGCACTAATTTACCGTAATAGTAGAAAAATTCTACCATATTTATCAGGTTAAAGTCCTGGCAAGCAGAGGTAGCCACACCCTAAAAGCATACCCTGCTTTAACGTCTATTTTACTCTAAATGGGAACATAATTTACTACATAAACATCATGCTATATGGAAGAAAACTTGAAAATAGAGATTGAGACCATAAACTCATAAATAAACTGTTTACTGATCTAATGAATCAAGTGAGAAGTCGGCTAATTTCTCCATAAGACTGCATGGTATCGGTTTTTGCCCCCTGCTGGCCATTACAAACAATGCAGGTTTAAGACACTGTAGACCAGTTTAGCTTTGCACATTACAAATATTGTAACCGAACCCTCTTAATCCTGTCGTATTGTTGAGGATTTAGGATGTGCTACTTTTTTAAAATACTCAACCTGTTTCTGTGCAGCTGCAGACGAGAAGAAAGCGGAAAACTGCAAGGTCGATGGGGAGGTCTACCATCACAACGACATCTGGAAACCACAGCCCTGTCACGTGTGCGTCTGTGACAACGGCGTCGCCATCTGCGACGAGGTCCAGTGCGAGCTGCTGTCAAACTGCGAGAAAGTGGTCACACCTGAGGGAGAGTGCTGCCCCGTGTGTGACACTTTTGCCAGTGCCAGCAGGATGATAGGTGAGATGAATGTGTTATTCCACGTCCAGCCACAAGATTGTCTTATTATTATAATAACTTCTATATTCAAAGCTTATTTTATCTCAAGAGTATCTAGATGCAGACAAAGTGGCGGACCAGGTTTGCTTGTGGTAGAAAACGTGATGTCTTTACAGTCAAACACACTATTTTATACTTCTATTCACTGATTTGGGGCATTGAATTTTATGAATTTATTATTACCCCTCAAAAATAAGGTTGGTTGTTGTTACTGTACAAAAACTTAATGTGCAGATTCTGGTGAAACCGGATAATAGTTTATGCAGAAAATATTTCCTTGTTTTATTTAGAGGACAGAGAGCTTTAATTGTTGCTAAGGTAACCGACAGCTGCTGTTAACTGTAGCTGCTGTTAGTTAAGTTAGCTCTGTAGTTCGTGCTCATTGGCATTTTTAGCATCACAGAGCCATTTAAAATCAGAAAAAGTGTGTCCTTAAAGATCAACTTTGTCAAGTTCAATAGCTGTTTGTATCATATATTTAATAGTAACATTTAATCATTCATGTTTAGGAGGGTGTATGACTGTGCAGATTAAGTTTAAATCTAAATAACTTTCTTTTTTTTTGTTTTCCCAAAGAAATTCTGGGCTTCAAGGTAAGTCATGATTCATTCTGACAGGGATTCATATTTAAAACAAATATAAAAGCTATAGTTATTTAATCTAAATTAAAACAATATGTTTATTTAACAGGGACAGAAAGGTGAACCAGGTGATATCCCATATGTAAGTAATCTCACACATGAAACTTAAATCTAATATTTTCTTTAATATTTCAGCTTTAAAAAGTCAGTTAATATCAACTGTTTTAATTTCTGGTTGTTTTTTTTCTTTTACTCTCAGGTGGTGGGGCACCCTGGACCTGCAGGACCCTCGGTGGGTTTCAACTTCTTTTACTCTGACGTATATGTCAGTGTGTATGAGTTAATAATGTATGTATGGTGTTAAATAAAATGCATTAAATGAGACAAACAGAAGGCTTTTAGGAATCATCTCTCGTGCACTAATTTGGACACCAGAGGGCGCCAACGTGCCATAATGGTGATCACCTGGAGAACTGAAAGATGATGATTTAATGTGTTTTTACAGCAGTCTGCTTTTAGGGTTGTATTCAGCAAATCTCATACAATATTTATCTCTTATATTTGTGGTTCAGGGTCCTCCTGGAGCTCAGGGATCCACTGGACCAAGAGGCTTTAAAGGCAGACGGGTAAGTCTGAATGGATAAATGCTGACTGGTACACTGTAGTTTAGTATAATTACTTAATTATAATTAAGAGCGTGTTGTCTCTCATTAATCATATTTCACCATGCAGGGATTTCCGGGGCCTCCAGGATTTGACGGAGAGCCCGGTGTGCCAGGGAATCCGGGAGAGGCAGGACCCCCAGGCCATCCCACCCACCCTGGGGTGAGTTTTTTCTCAGAGTCAGATAATGAAACCACTCCTCTTAAAATGGTTTGGACACTTCTTTTCTAAATTTTCATTTTGAAATCATTTTAGGGCAACCTAGTGTCACAGATCGCTTCAGGTTTCGGTGAGAAATCCAGTCTGGCCGGGATGGTGTCAGGATCAAGGGTGAGCCCTGTGAAACAATTCAGTAAAGTGTATATTTCACATATATTAAAGCTGGGATGTTTGCTATGACGTATAATTCAAACCACAGTGTGTCAAATGTTACTCTTTCAGGGTGAACCGGGACCACGAGGACCTCCTGGGTCGCAGGGACAACCAGTAAGTTTTAGATTTTATTTACTGGATGTACACTGCACATTTCAAATTCATAATTAATAAAAAAAAGTGACATAATCAGTAAGATTAAGGATTGTTTTTGCTGCCATGAGCCATTATTTGGCTGAGGTTGAATAGCATAAATGTAGTATATAGTCTTATATCGTAAGTGACTCTCCCCCCCAGGGTCCAGCTGGTGGTCAGGGAATTCCAGGAGAGGCTGGAGATCCAGGACCAATGGTAGGAACATTTCTCCATCATATATTTTATACCTGATGCTTTTCCTTGTATCCTTGTGATTTATTTTATTATTGATTTTACATTATTATTTATTTAAATTGAACTGTGTGTCTGTTCTGCGTGTTTGTCCTCAGGGTGAGCCAGGTCATCGAGGACCAGATGGACCGCCAGGAAAATCTGGAGCTGATGTGAGTCAAGCACACATGAATCCTCCCTTTTTCAACATGTTTTTTTTTCTTGCCAGTTTTGCCAATATACTGGCAGCAACTTTTATTATGACTCCTAAAACTATTACTTTGGCACCAGTGGTGCTGTACTTCGGAACAATATTGAGGCACTGCGACAAAGACGGAGACAAACAAATTTGACAAAGTTAAACTAAAATATCCTTACTTGTTTAAATGAAAACTTAATCATATATATAACATTATAAAATGAAACCATAAATAAGACCTTTTCCTGTACAGTTTGAATACTAAATGCAGAACTTTTGCTCATAATAAAGTATTTTTATAGTGTGTTATTGCTCTCTCTGAATGCTTCTTCCACCACTGGTTGGCTCCAGTTGTAGTCCATACTGTAGCAGTAGTGTCCTGTTATTGTTGTCAGTATTATCTGTAGTCATTTATAAGTAATTTTTAAGAACTGTTATTTAACTTTTTCGGCTCAGGGAGAACCCGGACCTGCAGGTGCTACAGGAGAACCAGGATTTCCAGGATCTATGGTAAACTGTCGTCTCACACTAATTATTATATTATGAATAATAACCAAGCAACATAATCAAGCCCTGATGATACTTTATTCTGAACAGACACAAATCTGTCAGTTAGAACATCAGTTATATTAGGACTTGTACATCTAAGTGTGGAATTTATTTTAAATTATCAAAAGAAGACAACAAGTATAACCAGATATGTTGAGAGTGACATCTAGTGGCTCTCAGCTAACACATCGGCTAGAGGTTTTATAGCTAAAGAGGAGGTGGGGGAAACTTTCCAGAACCTCGAAAGGCAGGAAGAAACTACAAGAACAAGTGGAAGCTGGGAATTCAAAGTGATTTGATCATTTCTTTTTAAATGCAGGGTGCAAGAGGATTCCCAGGACTTCCAGGTCATCCAGGACTGAAAGGTCACAAGGTCAGTCATACTGATACCTCTCAGCGCGTGCTTCACTGTGAGTGTGTGTCATGCTTTCATCAAACACCTAACCTTGTGAATCCCTCTGACAGGGTAATGCCGGTCTTCTTGGGCCAAGAGGCGAGTTCGGAGCGGCTGGATCCAAGGTATGAGTTTGTCAGCTGATCTTGTAGTTCTCAAAGTCAACGATCCTTCATACGGTTTGCATAATTGTGCAATAAACCCTTCTGTTTTAGAATAACTTGTAGGTTTTTGTTCTTTTTTTTGGAAATGTATTTAACAATTTTTTAAGTCATACTGTGCTATATGGAACCACACACCAAAGGATCTTGGAGGAACCCTTTCTAATAAATTATAACTAACAAACGAAAGCCTAATCCACATCAAATTATACCTTTATAATATGTTATAAAACTGCACATTTCAAACCTGCATTGTATTCAGTGGTGGAATGTGAGTACATTCACTTAAGGACGTATTCCACCACTAGTCAGAGAGAAATATTGTACTTTTCACTACTTGTACGCTCTTTTGTGAAGGTGTCACTTTGGGTAACTGTGATGCCATTTCTCACTATAAAATTAGAAAATTGTTAAAAAGGAGCTCCACCTCACCCAACTACAACAATAAAACCCTGCTTCATGTTAATGCAGAAAATAATAATCTAATGACGTTAGTTATAATAAGTAAAGTAAGATTTCACTTGTAAGTACTTAACTTTGTGTTTTACAGGGTACATCTGGTACTCCAGGTCCAATGGGTGCTCCAGGTCCACTGGTAGGTAACACACACAGTAAACAGCTCACCAGTACATCTCATACAGAGTCATTCACACGCATACTGAGGCCCGTCTTCTGTTTCAGGGACCAGCGGGCATGCAGGGAGAAAGAGGACGAGCCGGACCGCCTGGTCCTGTGGTAAGAAAAACAAAAACATCTTCATTTGTCGGGAAAAAATAGAAAAAACGTCAAATGCTGTTTCAGGTTTTAAATTTTGATTTCTCTTCCTCTTTCAGGGAAAACGTGGTGCAGCCGGCCATGTTGGAAAACCAGGGCCTCTGGTAAGGACTTACATCTAAAAAATAAATGCACTTTCTTTACACATATTGGCTCTGTCACAAAATGTTGGCATTTCCAACTTTCCCACTACATGGAGAGCAGCCAAAGTGGCACTGTTCACTCGTCCAAATATAATATATATCCAGTCTAAAACAACATACAGTCTCTTTTAGTTCTACTGCACTGGATTTAACCAAATTTCCTTTAACTACAGGGTCCAATGGGAATCACCGGAGTGCCAGGTTTTCCCGGTAGCCCAGGAATGAAGGTAAGATCGTTACGGCAGTTTTGTTAAACAGCAGTAAATTAAGGATTTGGGAAGTTTTGTATCTTATTTAGTTTACTAGGAAATCTTGAATTGTGACAAACAGTACCTTAAAAAGTGTCAGGTAGTAAGTGATTACATAATCAGCAGAGGTAACTATAATCAGCTCAGATTACATTTGACAACAATGTGTATTTAGATTATAGACTCTGACTGGTCAACAGACTCAACCCAAGGCATCATGGGATTGCCAGTGGATGGCAAACAACCATGGAAAGTTGTATAAAAAATGTACAAAGACATTCAGTGTTATTTGATTTAATTAACAAGTGATTTTATTCTGCTTTCTTGACTTAGTAGAACATGAGGCGTTTGTTTTATCACATTTAAACAATGCCAAAACCTGAGCTCATAAATTTTGACAAAAGAGCTTGAAGATCATCTTTAAAAGTTCTTGAATTTGAATCTTCCCTCCTGTGCAGGGTGAAGCAGGGCCGACAGGGGTCAGAGGAAGTCAAGGACAGCAGGGATCCAGAGGCGATTCCGGTCGCGTAGGACCACCTGGACCGACAGGACAGCAGGTGTGTTAAGGTTCCATCTTTCTTTCATTGTCTGTTGAACTGTATTAGACTCTGGATTAATTGTTACTTAATATTTTTGAACAGGGTGCTGAGGGGACTGATGGAGCTCCAGGCGCCCGTGGCCAAAGCGTAAGTGTAGCTGCAGAAATTATGGAGTTTATTTTGTCTGTAAACCTGTCGTCAACTTAATTAAATCTGTAACTGCTCCTTTTCCTTCCCAGGGTATCGCAGGTGTCGTAGGTCCAGCAGGGTTGTTGGGCCCGCCCGGTCCCCCTGGTCCCCAGGGAACTACAGGAGCACCAGGACCAAAGGGCCAATTGGTACGAGCTCATTTTCTTTGAAGAATATCTTACTAGCTCTGAAGTAGAGACTCCATCTTTGAATAGATGTTTGTAACTCAGATAATCTAATGCAACCAGGAGCTTTAAAGTGAACTGATCGTCTGTTACAGGGCGATGTCGGAGTGCCTGGATTCAAAGGAGAAGCTGGATTCAAGGGAGAAAGAGTAAGCTGTGAAAAAACCCTGAAATAAAGACCCTAAAGGTTCATTTTTAATGTTTTTTTTGGTGTTGATTGATTGATTATTGATTGCTGGCTCATGTTAGGGCGACCATGGAATTCCGGGTCCGATTGGCCCGATGGGAGAGGACGGGAAGCGTGGACCTCGTGGTGATGCTGGATCCATCGGGGCTCAAGGACCTCCAGGAGAGACAGTGAGTTTACTTCATCTTAAAGGACCCTATTTTTTTAAACAATGATCTCAGGAGTTCAATCTGGAAACAGCAGATTTTAGAAGTATGGTTCATTTGTTCTAGGGAGCTCCAGGAAATAGAGGTTTCCCAGGTGCAGACGGTTTACCGGGCCAGAAGGTGAGTTGACTTCACATCAAAATACATCTAATGGCAGAATTTAACTTCTGTTCTTCTGATTATCATCAAGAGTTTCTGTGTTTTTGAATGTTTGATGTTTTGGCTTAACAGGGAGCCCAGGGTGAAAGAGGAGTGCCGGGGTCGTTTGGCGCCAAAGGTTTACCTGGAGATCCAGGACGTAATGGAGAGCCAGGTTTAACCGGAGCTCGGGTAAAGCAAACACAGCCACATATCCAATGTTTATTGTTTTGAAGTAATTCAAACATGATTGCAGCATTGCACAGGGTTTATTTCTTAATGTTTGCTCCATTTTTGCTGTGTTTGTAGTTTTTAGAGCATCAACGGACAAACCAAACATATTTTGTGTCTTATTCCACAGGGTCTGACCGGACTTATTGGTGCCCAGGGAGCAGAAGGAAAGCAAGGACCAGTGGTACGCACTTTTCCTCACTCATCAAAGTTTCACTGCTTATCAAAACAACTACAGAAAACTTCCCCAAACACTGGAGTACAGTGTGGACGGTACATGTGTTAACATTTCTCTTTCTGGTCTTTTCAGGGCTTAGCAGGAGAGGATGGCAAACCAGGCCCAGCTGGTTCTACTGGAAACCGAGGTTTAGCTGGAGCGATGGGCCTGCCGGGACCAAAAGGCTTCGCTGTCAGTGCGACTCTTTTTTTTTTTATGATGTTTGCTAAAATGGATTCAGTAACCTGCCGTTCTGCTTAGTTTGCAGAAGTTACTGGAGTAAAATCCAACTTAAATGTACTACAGGGAGTTTTAACTGCTAGTACTGATGCCTCTATATGACCTAGATTAAAAAAAAAAAAAACAATCAGCAACTAGACTGTTTCTGTATAGTTATTCTTAATGCCTGCACTGGGTCGAATTCAGTCAGATTCCCCTCGAAATCAGGGATTTGAGGCGGTGGAAACACTACTGCTTTTGTCCATGGGCCGCTAGAATCAACACAAAATGTGTTAATTGTTGCTGCTATAATAGAACACATGATTTCAAGTAAATTATGTGAAATTGTTAGGTTGGATGTTGAAATGCAAGGAATAGGAAAAAGAGAAAAAAAAATGATTGCCAGTACAACAGATGATGACGTTCCTGTGTTCCTGTTGATTTTCAGGGTGATGCTGGGAAGATTGGAGAGGCTGGCACCCCTGGTCCTTCAGGTCAAAGGGCAAGTAATCTTCACTACTGATATAATATAATTTATACTTAATACTAAATCATACATACATCAATACTTAGCATACTGATAGATACTGTATCTGTCTTCTAGGGGTCAAATGGAAAGGATGGAGAGGAAGGCGCTGCCGGTCCAACTGGTCCAGCTGTGAGCATCTAACATCATCATCATCATCATCATTATCATCATAATCAACAATAACATTCGTGATCATGTTATATTCTATCTGCTTTTCTCTAGGGTCCTGCAGGAAAGAGAGGTGAGCAGGGGCCACAGGGACTGCATGGTTTCCAGGTACACATAATTATAAAACATATACATTTTGCCCACCAGAATTTTATTACTGAAGTATATTGTTTCACACTGTATTTGATATATGAGGTAAAAATGATCCATTTATCTGCAATTTGTTTAGTTTGATGTCCCATTTTTCTCTCTGTCCAACATCATTCATTCTCCAGGGATGCGTTGTACAAACAGCCTCTCTTTCTAGCTGAAGAAGAAAACAATATGTGGTTATTATTGTCCATTATTGTTATTTGCATTTAATAAAAATTGCTTTCATGTCTTTTAGGGTTTGCCCGGACTGCCAGGCCCACCTGGAGAGTCAGGAAAACCAGGTGACGAGGTATGACAAAATTTAACTTTAATGATTATTAAAGATATTATTTTTTAGCACTAACAGTCAAATTCTTTTTAAAGAATCCCTCAAACTATATTTCAAGATGTTCTCCAGTTTTTCTGATCATCGTACATGAAGCAGTGTTTGTTTTTTTACAGGGTGTTGCTGGAGAGGCTGGGGCTGCTGGAAGCATAGGTCCAAGGGTAAGTCCGTTTGTATCTGTATGAATTACTGTTCTCACCCCGGATTAAAGGCCCCAACTTTCAGTCACAAGTCAATACATTTCATTATTTAGTACAATCAGTCTTTATCCTCTGGTTGTCCTTGCAGGGAGAAAGAGGTCCTCCAGGAGAGAGAGGTGAAATTGGACCCAATGGGCTGCAGGGACCCAAAGGTAGTCCAGGTGGACCAGGATCAGATGGGCCAAAGGTATTGTAACCAAAAAACCACTGATAGTGACATTGATGTTTACAACGTGTTGCATGTAATTCTTGATGCATTTTCTGAACATTTTAGGGTAGCGCTGGTCCAGCGGGTGGTGTTGGAGAGCCAGGAGGTCCAGGACTTCAGGGAATGCCAGGAGAGAGAGGCATATCAGGACCTTCAGGCCCAAAGGGAGATGCAGTAAGTACAAGAATACGATTAAAGTAAATGCAAACACGCAGATTTCTTCACTAACGTGACCCTCAGTAGAGGAATATATCTGCAGTTGATGCAACATTTCCTGTCATTATATGTTTAATGTAACAAGTCTAAGCAAGATCTATGGGGGTGGTCAAAAGTAATTCTGGGAAATGTTGGAAATCACTAAGAGGAAATCCTTGTTAAAGGAAGTTGAACCTGAGCCACTGATGAGGCTGATTTCTTCTAACAGGGCTCTGTTGGAGAGAAAGGACCCGAGGGTAAAGCCGGAGCCGACGGTGCACGGGTGAGTCGTCTTAACAGGATGGTTAAGACATAAACAATACAGCAGAGTCCTGAGAGGAAGAGGAAGTTTTTCTTTAGTCTAATACGATATTCTAAAAGCATTTTTCATTTTATTAAAGGGGCTTTCTGGTGCTGTAGGACCTGTTGGTTCCGGTGGACCCAACGGAGAGAAGGTGAGCTCAAAAGCAAAAATCCGAGCAAAAATGTGATTGGTCATATCCATGTAGTTGGCCCAAATCATCAAGTTTCTAAAAAAAAGAAAACCCACCATAAATTACACAATATTGATAATATTTGACTGAAGTGAGTAGTGGGCACATAATTAAGAAAGAACAGACTAGGTATGAGAGCTAAATGAGGTAAAAAAGCAAATAATAATGAGCATTTTGTTGCAAAACCATGTCAATAAATCCACTTTCCATTTAAAATCAAAATTTTATCCATTGAAATTTGGAGCATTGAATATGACCATGATCTCTTGAGCTAACCTTTTAAAACCTTAAATCCGTACAGTCCTGTTGATTCAGGTTTCTGGTTTCATTGTGATGTTTTAAGAGCTTTTAAGATTTGACTGTTCCTTATTTCAGGGTGAAACCGGCCCACAAGGACCTACAGGACGCCGAGGCACAAGAGGAACTCCCGTCAGTAGAACTTTTTATTTTACAACTGACATTAAATTGAGCAGAAATGTGGTTTTCTTTGAATTTCTTCTTGATTAAGTGTGTATTTGTGTGTGTGTGGTGATATATACAGGGTTCTACTGGTGAGACTGGTCCAACTGGTGCTGTTGGCTTCCCTGGACCTTCTGTAAGTGAAAGACCGCTAAAATGTGGCAGTCATGTCCAAATTATACAAGTGAATAAACCAATAAAGGCTCGATTTCAAACTCTGTCTTTCCCAGGGTCCTGATGGTCAGCCCGGGGTCAAAGGTGAAACAGGTGAGCCAGGCCAGCGGGGAGAAGGAGGAGCACCTGGACCACAGGGCATGGCTGGAAAACCAGGAGGACAGGTACACGTCTGACACACGAAGGGACACATATCTTAATGGACGGTATCTGTGAAGCTTGTAGACATCTTGAAAGAGCACAGATTATTATTAGCACCTAGTTTAGTTTCATTCTTAGTTTTACCATGGTTACAGGTGTCGTTCTCATCTCTCTCCCAATTGTTCCTGCTCACCATATACAACGAATATTTTTGTAGTTTCGTTAATGAAAATAACACTGCTACTCGTGTGTGTGTGTGTGTGTGTGTGTGTTTCCAGGGACCTGTTGGTGTGACTGGACTGAAAGGTGGCAGAGGAACACAGGGTCAAACGGTAAGTTAGGCTCCATGTTTTGATTCTTTGTAACTTCAGTAGTTTGTGTCAAGAGTGCTTTGTAGCACGTAGTAATATAAAAGCATTATTATCATAATTATCTTTAAAGTACACCTTACCGCAAGTGTTTTCTCCCCACAGGGCGCTCCTGGTTTTCCTGGGTTGCCGGGAGGAGTTGGACCAGCCGGTGCTCTGGTGAGTTACATTATAAAACTTAAATTACTGGAGTTTCAATACTTAATATTAATATTTATCAATCATGTGGCCAAAATGATCAAATACAGCTGCAGAATTAAAAGGATTAGGATCAGGAAGGGTTTAAATATGGTTTTTCGTGTGACATCCTGTTATTTCATGAATTGCCACAGAAACACTGTGTTTTTAGTTTATATGCTTTACTTTATACCCTCCAGTTTTAACTATAAATTGAGTAAAAAAAGCAAGAAAAAAAGCCTTTTACCACTGTTTAAATCTCGTACCTGCAGTGGATTCGTTAAGTTACGTTATGGTTCCAAAATCTGGACTGAGTAGAGATCATGTGTGTGTTTCAGGGTGCTGTAGGGGCAGACGGGCCTATAGGTGCTCCAGGAAAGCAGGGCCCTACTGGGATTCTAGGAGAGAACGGAGCTCCAGGACGTCAAGGAGAGAGGGGACCTTCAGGCCCACCCGGCAGCCCTGGAGAGAAGGGAGACTCTGGAGAAGACGGTCCTGCGGTAAGACGCAGGGAGGAGCTCACTGAAGCATTCATCTCAGCCTGTGCTGCACACAAATAAATCAATTGCTTGTCTGTCTGTCTTGTGTTCCTCTGCCAGGGGCCCGATGGACCTCCAGGACCTGCTGGCACTGCAGGACAGCGAGGAATTGTGGGTCAGCCTGGACTCAGAGGAGAGAGAGGCATGCTGGGACTGCCAGGTCCTGCTGTATGTATTCCTTCTGTTCATTGTTTAAACTACACAAAGCCAAACTACGTCTCGCTAGTGTTCTCATAACTCTTTAAATCTGGTTGAATAATTGTTTCAAACTCAAACTGGATTTGTTTATTTCTCAGGGTCCACCAGGAAAACCCGGAGGTCCTGGAACTCAGGGCAGCAAAGGGCCTGCTGGTGGAGTTGGTTTACCAGGAGCCAACGGGCCAAGAGGGGATGCCGGACCTGAGGTTCGTCCTGTCCATCTCATTGCTCATTTCAAAACCAAAGTATCTCAAAAATTGCATTTATGTGTATTGTGTAGAATATTTCAAGATCACCTATTTTTTAGGTGTTTTATGGTCTTTATACAGCAACAACACTTACTTCTACACAAAAACTTAACATAGAAAACAATACTGTGGATGCTTAATTGAGATCACCTGTTCTGTAACAGTATAATAACATTTTCAGGGTATCGCTGGAGCAGAGGGTTCTCCTGGCAAGGATGGTCTCATAGGAGAAAGGGTAAGATTAAATACATTGTGTTGTTTTTTCCAAATACTGGACTGGATGTTCTGTGCATACTGTGTGTGCTAACTCCCGGTGTGTGCCTGTGTTTCCAGGGAGACAGGGGAAATCCCGGTACAGAGGGTTTGGCGGGTGTTATGGGGTCTCCAGGTACTGAGGGTCCTGTGGGACTGACGGGCGGTCCAGGACAAAGAGGCGATAACGTGAGTTTCACAAACAGAAATATAACAACATTTTAATTTAATATGCTACATCCGTCAAACACATATTAATAATAATCTGTAAATCCCATCACAAGTACAAAGTCTGCTCTCTTTGCTTGCTTTGAGTTTAGGGTGCCAGAGGCCCCGCTGGACCCCCAGGAGCAGCTGGTGTACGGGGGAAAGCAGTAAGCATGAAAAAAAAGACTTTTCAAGTTTATAAAGTGTAAAACAGTGTTTTCCATGACGTGTTGAATTATCACCCTGTGTCTAATTTCAGGGCCCTCAAGGACCACAGGGAGAGAAAGGAGCAGTTGGAGAACAAGGAGAGAGGGGTCAGAAAGGACACAGAGGTTTCACCGGGCTCCACGGTTTGCCAGGAACAACTGTAAGCAAAATGTTTATGACTCAGAAACTTCAAATACTTCTTTATATATTTCAGATACTAATATTTCTAATGTTAAAGAATTGGTGTTAACTGTAATTTGCAACTCATCTCATGCTCATGCTGATATTACTGGTCTTCTTTTCTATTTTAGGGCGCCACAGGAGAGCCAGGCGCTATAGGTATAGTTGGACCAGCTGGGCAGAGGGTAAGTGTATACTATAGTTTTTTGAGTCTTTGAACAGGGGAATTGAAGACATATGTGCAGCTCTGCCTTTTTTTTACACTGTAAATCTCTCACTGTTTTACAGGGTCCTCCAGGAGTCTCGGGTCCACCTGGAAAGGAAGGAAACATCGGTCAGCCTGGACCAATGGGAGCTCCTGGAAGCAGAGGGTCCAGTGGGGACCTCGGGGAACAGGTGACACGAGATTGCCTTTTTACTTTATTATATTTCAAACAATCAGCTTACTGGTATTATCCTGTGACATCAGTAAAACTGAATGGGATAAGTTTATTGGAGTGATGTGGCAATGATACTGCAAATATAATCCATATATTTAAAATCCTTTCTACAGCCCTGGTCTTCAGGGTGTATGAGGAATAGTTAGGCTGACTGGTAAAAAAAAGACTTCTGTTCATTGGTTTTTACAAATATTAATCTTGTTTTTTCATAATTATCTTTTCTTTGTCAGGGTCCACAAGGAGAACCCGGCCCACCCGGTCCTCCAGGCCCCCCAGGACCTCCCACCGCGGCTGTGGATGACCTCTTCGTTGCCTCTTACGATTATGACGGGAACGGCGGCATGCCAGAGGCTGTGGAATTCTTCGAGGATGAAATGGCAGCTGATCCTCCTCCGCCTCCAGAGATCAACAAGGATGAAGCCCTTCCCAATAAGAACGAGGCAGTCCTGCGCGCAGACACCGGAGTCCACGCCACGCTGAAGACCCTCAGTGGACATCTGCAGAACCTCCGCAGTCCCGATGGCAGCAAGATGAACCCAGCGAAAACCTGCCAGGACATCATGCAGTGCTACCCTCAGAAAAAGAGCGGTGAGGGTCCTTTTTTTATACTTTTCTCTTTACTACTTTATCAGTATAACTCCTTTTTATTCATTTTGCTTATACCTTTGACACAGGTGAGTACTGGATTGATCCAAATCAAGGCAGCACAAAGGATGCCATCAAGGTTTTCTGTAATATGGAAAGTGGTGAAACCTGCATCTCTGCCAATCCGGCCAACATTCCCAACAAAGCCTGGTGGACAAAATCCACTCCCAGTCCCAACAAACCTGTCTGGTTTGGAGCAGACATCAGTGGAACTAGAGTAAGAAATCAAGAAACATGCATTTTGTGAAAAGTCCAGAATGCCCTTGATGTAATTGCGTCAAATTCACATCTAATTTCAGTTCCGTTATGGTAATGATGAGGAGCAGCCGAACGCCGTGGCGGTTCAGCTGAAGCTGCTGCAGCTTTTGTCCAAGGAGTCGCACCAGAGCATCACCTACCACTGCAGGAACAGCGTGGCTTACAAAGACGAGAAGAGCAGCAGCCTGAAGAAAGCTCTGGTCCTCAGAGGCTTCAACGGCCAGGAGCTGAGAGCGCAGGGAACCAACCGCCTCCGATACACCATCATCGAGGACGGCTGCTCGGTAAGTCGTGACAGAATATCTAGATTTGATAAAAAGCGATTGGAAGACACTTTTACTGATTTATCTCTTTCTTCTCCATCAGACATCAAACGGAGAGTGGGGCAAGACAGTGATTGAGTACAGGACTCAAACCGCGGCCAGGCTGCCCGTGGTGGACTTGGCCCCCATGGACATTGGAAAGGCTGATCAGGAGTTTGGCTTAGACATCGGCCCTGTGTGCTTCTCATAAAACACAACGCAAAGATGGACAGAAATAGCCTTTTTTAGAGGAGTAACATCATCACCAGAAGTTATAGTATAAGGACTCCTCTTTGTGTGAGCGTACGAGTCGATGAAGATTAGATGTTTTATTGCTGCCATTCTTCACACGTGGCTGCATTTCCCATAAGCTGTTGAAGTACAGTGTACTTGCTGTGTCCGCTGACTGGTAGGGCGCTGACATAATTTATTCAATCAATACATTTACAATCTAGAGCACAGTACTCTACGGGGAAATGCATGTGGGTGGAAAAAAAAAAAAAAGTCTAAGGTGCTAACATGAAACCTAATAAAAAACATAGTGAGGTTTAAGATGGATTGTAAACTTGCATAAACTGGAAAAAAACAGCCAATAATATTAAAGCTTTAAGAGATGTGGTGTCTTTATTGGAAGGTTAGAGCTTAAGAACTGAAGGTTTATAGTGAATTTCATTTGGCTTTTTTCCAGTAAATGCACGTCCAGAGGCCTGGATAGGGCGAGAGTTGATATAGCAATGACTGTAGTTCTTACTTTTAATGGAATAAAAGATAAAAATCATGCTTGAACCTAAATTATTAAGTTCTGTGCAGGAACTCATTTACTCTTTCAACAGAAAACCTTTGTATCTCCTTTTAAAACTTCTGTAAATGCAACATATGACTGTAAATTACAAATTATTTGTTTGTTGTTGACTATGGATGTGGAATAAATGTATTTCTTTGGAATGACTGTGCTCTTCCCCCCCAAAAAAAAAGAAAAGCCAAAGCAAAGAAAAGTTGAATAAACACTCAGTTCTTCCTCATGAACGGCAAGATTTTGCTTTGAAAATGAGTTTAAATGAGAAATGAAATCAAACCATCTCACCACTAGAGGGAGACAATGCTTTTCCTCACAGTCGTCAAATCCCTGTTAACTGCCCTCACCTGACATGTATCTCGTGATAAATTCATACAAACTGAAGTGTCAGCTTACATTTCACACACTGATTTATCTGTAACCACCCTGTATTAGCTTTATTATATAACAACACACTAGTTTAGTGATGTAAAAAAAAGCCACAATTTCAGTTTGAAACGGTGTCCTGGCTGCATGTTTTCCCAACACCATTCCAATGTGTGTGCATGCGTATGAGTGTGTGAGCAAATAAGATGAAAAAGGAGGGAGAGAGAGGGAGAGAGAAAAGGCGTCCTTACAGGAAGAAAAAGAGCCAAAGTTCAGGCAGCACATGTTTCTGGGTCGACCTCTCCTCTCTGTGCTCGGTGAAAGACGTGACACTCTCACCGTTTCCTGCAGCCCAGGCTCGCTCCACATCTGTCGAGGTGGTCATTTTTAGCCAGGTTCTATTTTCATTACGAGGATGGAAAGTTTTAGGTAAAAGTGGTGCCGAAGGAATATAAACTGTCCTTTTCTGTGAGCTCTTCGCTTTTTACTTCACACTGTTGCACTTTTTAACAAGACTTTATCATAGCAAGCTGCGCAGTTGGGGACAATAGTGACAAGATCAACACTAAAGCTAAAGGGCAGGGTTTTTTTCTTATGTTGCTCAAGGCGATTTATACATTAAAGGCCCAAAACTTTAAACCCCAGAATTCCCTTGTGTACCTTAAACGCCCTTAACTTTTTTCCTGCAAGTCAAGTCTCGTTAAAATGATAATAATAATGTTTTCATAGTTTAGTACAGAAAATTTAAGACATGATAAAATATAAATGACGAGACAGAGTCCCAGATGTGAACAACTAGCAGATGTGGGCAATTAGTAAAGAACGTCACTATTCTGAGAAAGGGAATACTATATGGCTGCCTTTTGAGCTTTGTTAAAGTAGCTAATGCAACATTTTAATATTGATTAATATTGATTTTAATATTTATTTAATTATTTATTTATTTTATTTCATTTGTTCTTTATATAGACATATGGGGGAATCTGATCCACAGAAACAAGCTGCTCAGCTTTAATTACCCCCCACCCGTTCTTATCTTCAAGAGGAAGAAGTAATTTCTCATTTCCTGAGGAAATATATGAGCCCAGAAGCTAAACTCCCCTTATTCTCTTTCATCTATTCTTCCCTGCACGCATTCGTGACTATACTTTAAAGTCTCTTTGTAAGCCTTGTGTAGTTTGCATCAAATTCTGTGAAAAACCCGAGCGAGTTCCACGTAATGTATTTGTGCTCACTTCACGCAAAAGCTGTTAGAGTCTGCGACCCTGAGATGACTTGGCAGCGACGCCCAGATCCTGACTGGGGTGTCTCTTGTTCGCTGAGGAGCCTCGATGAGATTTCCCAGCTACTCCTTTTCCTTCCTATGCACCCTCCAACCCCACCTCACTGACGCCCCTCCAAAACACGTAAAGAACACTGGGAAAGGATCATGAGAAAGGATCAAACTATTGGCCTAAATTATTCTCAGTGGCATGAAAACGCACGGTTGAAACAAAAAAAAACTAAATAATCACACAATTAAAGGAAAGTGGTGGGAATATGTTTGTTGGATTATCTATGAACAGATACTTTAATCATAGGTTTTGCATGTAAAATTATATTGTGATTAGTTTATTGTGCAGATTTGGAAGATTTCAAGCTTTTTTAGATGCAGCATTTTGAGTGTTTTCTCTTTACATGTGGACTTTTACTGATCATTTTCCATGCCTTCTACTTCTAACCAGCACTGGTTATTACTGATTCAACTTGTTTACTCAAGTTAAAGTGAAAAAGTACAGGCTTAAAAGTAAAAAGGACTCTCTTGGTTTCTCTGAGGGACATTTCTAATGGCTGTTTCTGTGCAAAGCAAACTGAAACTCTCTTGACTGTTTCAACTTGTGGCGTCTTTTTCGGTATGTTACGTCTGTCATGGGTGATATGCACCAGTCTTGATGTTAAGAAGGTGTGCAATGATACAGATATTTGTGTAAAAAATGCTTCCAACTTGTGTACAGTCGGTCAACAGAGTGCTACAGTAGTTACAAATGCTCACACGCACATGCAGACACAATTTATAATCAAAAACTACAACGCAGTCCCATAAAAACCAAGCAAATAAACAGTGGGTGTGTGTTTAATAGTAGGAAATAAATACGGGCCTGTAGCTTCTCAAAACCCCCAAAACAAATGGATACTGTCCTACCTCATATCACATTAGAGCAGTGTACTGATCTTTGTCCATGACTCCATCATTGTGGCCAACAGCAGTCTTTTTAGTGCGAATACTGAAAGTCTGACAGGTAGCGTTCCTCTCTGTGCTGTCTGAGGCTGCGAAGGCCAGGCTGGACAGTTACTGCAGACATCAGAAATTCAGTAGCAAGGACCACATCAAGATATGTGTAAGAGTTGTTAACAAGACAAAAGGAGTGGGGGAATTACCTGTGTGAAAGGGGAATAGAGGGTTAGGTGGGAATTCATGGGAATGCCGGAAGAGATATAATTGAGGTGTGGTTCTGAAACTCTGCTAATAGCTTCAGTTGAAAAATAAAAACTTTATGACCCCCGGCCGGTTCAGCCTGGAATGGATCGGCCGTCTGAGGCCGCTAACAGGACGATAAGGTCACACAGTTCTTTAATACATTTACCATCAACTCTTATCTCGTAAATGTCTGGAAACCATTCCTCTGTGTACTCCTTCTACTCCGACTACTAAACCTTCTACTCGACACAGGTGTTTTTTTTTTAAATAAAAAGCTCAGATTTGCAGTTCAAATTTCACCAAAGTTGAACTTGTTTAGAAGAACTGGTGAGGATTTTACTTCGGCTGTGGGAGTGAAGAAGCATGTAGGTTTACGCTCCAAAGACAGCTGAGAAAAATAAGATTACACTTGTGCAATATATGACTTCTAGACTGACATTTTAATGGGTGTTTTTTCCCTCATTAACATGATCATCATGATATCATAAAGGGAAATGAGGTAAAAATCACACACACAAAACCCAGTGGAAGCTGCTCTTCATATGGGTGCTGCTTATCTATACACACACACACACACACACACACACACACACACACACACACACACTTACACACACCCCTCCTCCACCGGCTGAGGTCGAAGCTGATCGAAAAGGAAATGGGCCGCTTTAACATCCCACCTTTTCCCAGATCCTGGGAGGAGCCTGTGCCTGGTGGCAGTGGACAGAACAATGGCAGGAAACTGGGAGAAGAGAGAGGGAGTTCCTGTTGGCAGGAGAGAGCTGAAGACGAGAGCGGCGGCGCACCTCATACAAGTAGATACTGGCCCACCGCCCTGGGTAGTAGGAACTGGGCTCTTTAAAACTGCAATAAGCTTATTGTTTAAAATGTTTTGAAGAGTTTTATTCCAAATGTCTGACGTTTGAAGGGTGGCTTCGATGTTCTGCTGCTTGACTTGAAAAATGATCTGGACAAAACTGCTTGCAAAGCAAATACCTTTCATTTACCGTTGTTGATCACACCACTCAGAAAGGTTGCTTTCATACCTGTAGTTCAGTTCGGTCCATGAACAAATTAACCACCTTTTCTAGCCGTCTCTGTCCGGTTTATCTGTCCCCACCAGAGATCGATCAACAGCTTTCAGCTTAAATTAAACTGGCACCAGAGTTCTGCTGAACAGGTTGGCTGTGAAAGCACTGTAGGATCGGCTCTTTAAAAGCTTATTCTGGTTTACTGAAACTTGGATCTTATTTTTCTGTGCAATGTTAAATGCGGAGATCTGGGAACCTGCTGCAGCCTTAACACCAGAAATAATGTTTCTGGATGATTCTGCAGAACTTTATTTAACATCCAGTGAAAATATATTTTATCCATGCTAGCAGCTGCTCTAGGGATCGCAATGCTGGTCTGGCTGATCCTTTAACTTTTCATATAGCGCCATCTTTAGGTCAGAACTTCCCTGTGTTTTCTTTGGTTTCTTAAAAAAACACTACAGAACTAATCACATTTTTTCACAGCAGCCATTTTGACATGAAATAGTAGGATAAACGCAGGTGTTACCAATGACACTGATTAAGGTTCCATTTAGTGTGGCAGAGCCTTTCTATTGTGTCCTGATTCTGTTTGACCTAAATGATACAGAACCTTAATTAGTATCATTAGTAACACCTGTTTACCCTCCTATTTTATGTCAAATTCTTAGTCTTGTAAGAATAATTTACTAAGCCACTAGAGGGTGGTTAAGGTTTAGGGAACTTAAAAACTGTGTTTCCAGTAAAAAAAAATATCACAAAATATGAATAAACATTGTGACAGGATGCAAACTCTGGTCTCCTGGATTACAAATCAGTTAAATGGTGCACTTAGGGGATACCTGGCTGCACAGCATTGCTTTAAAGAAGTTAAACAGGGAAAGAAACACAAGCAGTGAGGCGATTTTTTTCCCCTAGCTTAACCAAGGTTTGTCAGATCAGTCGATATTATAATGATGTATTTGTGTGAATACAATCATAAGAAATAGAAACCTTTTAAAACAAGATGCAAGTTGTAATGAACTGGATTATCCTTTAACGCAGCAACAAGGATCATTTCATTTTCAGCTGATTTAAAAGAAAGAAAGACATTTAAAACGTATTGTAAATCTCTGATTTGATAGAGATTTTCATCATCCTTTTTTTTCTTGCTGCTGGGGTGAAAGGTGGCCCACAGCTGCAAAGGACAAAAAAAAAGTGCGACGCCCCTGGCCAGCAGTCTGGAAATGAACTCTCTACATGATGTATTCACACATTTGATCATGACGTCCCTCCAGAAACAACAAAGCAGCGAGACTACCAGACAACCCAGTGTTGACATCACTCTGTGATGAGCAGCTCAGATAATTCATGACCTTGCGGCGGTCTGAACGAGCCACGCAGCGAACGGGAGACTTCCTGCAGGTCCCACCCAGGTCCGGGTCACATCCATACAGCCGGGCCACATTGCTCACCCCAGCCCCTGCACTGTACGCCCTCCACACCCTCGAGCACGGCCAAGAACTCATTCCATTGTTCTCAAGAGTGAGACATCCCAATGCACAAGTGGCCAGATAATGCAACGAGCCAGATGTGTACGGTATGTGATTGTGTGGTTTAACCAGTAATTTCTGCAAACATCGAGGGTTTCTAATGAAGTGTGGTTACTGGAAATGGCTGCAGCATATTGTTTTTAAGTTTGAGTCATTCTTCCTTGTCAAGAGTGAAAAGGTCATTAGTGTAATGTTGTGAGTTAAGTTGCTTTACACTTTGCATTCCTAACATACCACCTCTGCTGTTGCTGGAAAGGTGAAGTGCATCGTACCTTGTTCATCAGGGGTTTTTTCCCAAGGATGCGGACTGACACGATGAATAGCAAATGGAAAGTTTCCATCTTCAGGGAAGGAGAAATCCATTTGAATGGCCCACAAACTCAGAATGCCACATGAGTTGACATTTTGTCTGAGCTCTTTCTCAAGTGATGTATGAATTGAAATATTGGTATGAATAACCGTACAAGCAATCTAGCAGCATGTGTTGGGCTTTTCCGTAGACTTTTACTGTTTGTGTGTGGCATCATTTAAGATACACGAAAGAGGTGAAGAGGTGAGATTATTGAAAAAATGCACTAGCCCTGATACTGGTTAGTGTTCTGAGGGCAGCCCTGACAGTGCCTGTACTCATGTGTTTTAGTCATATTAAAGGTTCAGTGTGTAACATTTAGGCGGATCTATTGACAGAAATTGAATATCATATTCATAGTTATGTTTTTTATATTAGTGTATAACCACATTAATATAGTATCATTGTGTTTTTGTTACCTTAAGAATAGCCGTATTTAACGACTTACATTTTTTTTGTTGATTCTGGCGACCCCTGTGGACAAACGTGGTAGTGTTTCTACCGGCTCATTTAATTAATTCCAAGGTGACTCCCACCCAGTCTCAGACATTAAGAATAAGATGATCTTGTGTGCTTAGGTAGGTCATATAGAGGAGTTTCATAACCAGTAAAAAAAACTCATTTTAGCAAAGTACTTGAGTAAATGTACTTTCCACCGCTGCCTCCAGCAGAGAGTCACAAGTCAAAAAATGAGATGTTTAACACTGGCTCAAAGTTAGCTGTCTAGCCAACATACCTGCTGAATTCCAGTAGTGTATTTTTCTCAGTAAATTGAATAAACTAGTCTCAAGGTGGCCATGACAAGCTGGAGCATTATTTACTACAACACCATGTGCAAGACTGTCACCACGCAGGAGAGCACATGTGGCTTATTATGTCTCTATTCAGTCGTGTCCTGTGGAAATGTCCCTGACAAATTCGCAGAATTGCCACCGACAACCCGTCTGGACACAGAACATCGGCTAAAATGCTTTGAGTTTCAGTGGAAGCATTCGGAAGTTAAGGCAGTAAACAAGTGTTAGTCATGAGTCTGAGGAAGTGTTTGCTACCAGCACACAAGAGCCGACGGATCAAGAGTTCAATGCCAGTGTATTCTTAGAAACAGGAAGCCTGCAATACATCCACTGGTCTGATATCCACTGCGGTAAATAAAGGGAGGTGGGACTTGTCAGGTGGCTTTGTGATAGGTAAACAACAAAAACATCTGATCTTTACAGCTTCAAGTTGAATTTGGAGTTCTTTTTTTAATTTTTTTTTTTATCTGTTTTAAAGGAAATGTGTGCCATCAGAAACCACACAGGATATCATCTCTCATATGGATGTAACAGGATGCAAGGAAAAAGTGTGGTTAGCTGTGCTGTAAAAACGCCAGATGTTTAGTGTTCTGCACAAAATAACATGGGAGGAGACGGTCTCGGGATTATTGTGATGCCCAGTGCTCTGTCCAAAACCGCGGATACCAGAATCCTTTGTGGATTGAGGTCACGACTATGAAACGGCATGAAAGTAGCTCGTAAATATTACTCGCGATGATAAACGGTCAATGCACACATGCTGTTGATCATCGTGCGGCCTGTTTGCAGATGGACGTATTTAACACTTGAAAGAAGAGTGGCATGTTAAGTGCTTTTACAGCTTCTCTGTTCTGAATTTGATAAATGATGCACGGAAGGGATAGATATAGCGTTTTTTTCCTTTGGGACTTCCTAATTGTACCTGGTCACATATATGTTCTGGACGAGGAACAGACAGTAACACGCCCTGCTTTGTCTGGAAACAATATTCATTTCAGTGGGAGACATTTTCTAAGGTCAGACAAGGAAATCCCACCCTTAATTACATATGTGGGAAAGAAAATACACGTACGTACATGTTTTCTTTCGCTTGTCTTTGAGGGGATTGAAACTGAAACACAAATACAGCGACTCTTTTTTTCTCTCCTGAATCTCAGTTTAAAAACAGCTTGTTTTTATTTACAGCATTATTTCTTAAGTATAAACAAGCATTGTCTGGATTTATTGACAAAACAACAAAAATGAAAATAATGAAAATGTGTAACTGCTACAACATGGGAAAACACACATCTGCGTTTTATATAGTCCTTCTTGTTTTTCTAACATCAAAGTTCAGTCTTGACATCGGGAAAAAAACATCTGGGATAAAGGATCCTAAACTCAAGGTTCACTTACTAGCTTTTTTTTTTTTTGCAGGGCTTTCGGTCATATCCCATTGTTTTCTTCAGTGAATGGCACTTCTGTCAGAGGCCGGAGTTACGGTCTGCCCTCCCTCTAAAAGTCCGCTTGTTATCACGTCGTAACACCTGGGGAAGTTCCATTTGCTGAGGAAGACAGCAGAATATGGTTGAAAGCTCCAGAGAAAGCTCCAGAGAAGCCAGTAAGTGTTTTTTTTCCCCCAATGTAGCCTATATTAATGGCAATACAAATCCCTATTATTATTAATATTCAGTGTAGCCTATTGCAAAGATGTTAGCAAGAGAGTTTATAAATAGTTTGTAATAGACGTTTTGGAAAATTCGCTTTTCTGATAAGAGAAAGTTATTTGAGATTGATGCCACTTTCATGTCTGTAAATATAAACTGGTAATATTAGCATTAAGAAAGGAGAATGTCAAACTTAGAAATGAATGCCATGAATCAGACGTCACACTTATATCCAGTGTATCATAATAAATATCTGACTATGTACCCAGTATGCATCCAGTAAGGCTACTGTCTCTTTAAAGGCAAAATAAAATACTGTCGTAATCACCCAGTCTAGTAGCCTATTATATTATGAATAACAGAAATATTCTGTGATTCTAACAGAAAAAGAAATTAGAAGCTAGCTCGTTACATTTAGGGTTCATTTAAAGGAACAGTTTGCCATTTTGGTATATAACGCTTTATATTTTGAACAGACAGACATAAGAGTGGTATCAATCTTCTCATCTAACTCTCAGAAAAAATGTCAAACTATTAGCTTTAAATTATTTTTCCACTTCCGGTGATTATTCATAACGTTAGAGGCCGTTAATAGTGCTGCATAAGTGAGTAATTCCTGTTCTGTAAGACTGAAACCAGCAGCTCTCTGACAGGAAAGCGATCTCTGCCTGGAGGTGACTTTATCTTGACAAAAAAGTGGTAATAATTATCAATGTGTTAAATCAGTGAATCAGTATAAGTCAGTTCCTGCTGAATTTGTTTCCTGATCACCAGAGGATTCATCTAAAAGCATGCAACATGACACTTTCACACTTTATACTATTAATTTCTGCAGTTTGTGGACTGAAATGTAGTAAAAGTAATATATGTGTTCCTAGCTGACTTGAAAATTATACACTAGTAGTACACTAAAGGATGTCTACATACAAAATTCATATTTTGTGCCTTATATATGTCATATTCATACACAAATATATGTACAAACACAGTCATAGTTTCCTCTATGACTAACTTACAATCTCTCCAGCATTTTGGAATAATCAGATGTGAAGCAAAAAGACACACAGTAAGCCTAACGGAGCATTAACTTAAAAGATAGTATAGATATACCCATGCCAGACAAAACAATGTAAGCCTATTCTTGTGAAGCTCATTATTTATTTTTAACTTAGCTAAAAGAAAATAATATAAATATTAAATTCTCCTCAGGGGATCATTCACCCTTTATTCTAAGTTGCATGTCTTTAATTCAAAAGAAGCAAGCTTTAGTTTTTGTGTGTATTTGTACTGTTTTGCATCTTAAATGTCTAGTTCTGTATGTTTCTAACCACAGATATCATGGCATTAAGTTTTTGAAGGTAACTGCCTACTGTCTGACCACCTCCTTCTCTGCTATTCAATAACTCCCAGCAACTATGGCTCCGGCTCTGCCACATTAAAAAAGTTCTGCAAAAGCTACAACACCCTCACTGATAACTACCTATTTTTAAGTTTGCAAGATCTTAACAGTCAGAACAGCTTCTTGTTCACTGGGGGCTCTTCAAGTTTATTCCACAAGATGCAAAAAAAGGCAGGAATTCCTCGTGTTAATGCTCACAGTGAGGTTTGTTGATTCATCTGGTCTTCCTTATGGCCAACAACAGCCCCTTTGAATACTCATGGGATGTAAATAATCATGGAGAAACAGTCTCTTTGGTGTCAAGCTCCTTCTAATTTAGTGAGAAGTGGATTGTTAGGAAACTATTTGGCTGGGAGATGGAAAAAAAGGCAAAAAATAAAGAAAAGTGTGTACTCAGTCAGTAGCAAAACTCCAAGAAAACACTGACACCAAATCTTCGTAACATCTTGGGTGAAGTCAAAGAAACAGTGAGCCTCCAGCGTCCAACGTTGAGGGCCGCCTTCACACGAAAGGGCTGTCCGATCTGAATATGTCTGAGTAGCTCTTGCCGTTCATGTGCTCGGTGTGGCTTTCGATGCTGTAGCAGCGGTGGACCTCTGTGAGGGACGACGCCACGTACGAGGCTGAGCGGAAGAAGTCGGCGTTGGCGAACGTGCCGGCGAACTGCATCCGCTGCTGATTCCAGTGTCTCCGCAGGACGCTCTGGACCTGCAAGACGAGACACAAAGAGGAACTTATCATCCCTTATCTTTGGGAAAGCAGCAACTTAAGGAGATTAAAAGAAAAGGCTTTATATGGTTTGTATCTGTACTCGGAGGGGCGGGGCTTATGTCCTAAGTGGGTGGTGCGTAACCAAAAATGGGCGGGGTTAACCCAAAGTAGTTTATCCAAGCGTGAAATTGATTGGTTCATCAGAAGTTGCTACATTTATAAGAAAAATATAGATATTAATGTTTTTATTGTTTATATCTTATATGCAGATTTTCATATTTTCGGACTTATTAGGAATATATATGTGAATTTGACTTCTCTTAGGCCAACATAAAATGTATTCCTGGCAGCACTGAGACATCTTTTAAACAGCATTTTTCATGAACAGTTAATAGAAATAATAAAATATGAAAAATCCAACTCGTGGTCAACATTTTGGACGATGGCACTGGAAAAAAAGCCCAGACATACAGTACTGTCCTATGTGGTGATATGGACAGATACGGACAATATGCAGATTACACACTGGATCTTTGACAGGTTTTATTTTTATATGATATGATATACAGATCCCGTTACAGATCCATTAACTTCTGTATGATTGGATCTTTCCGGATACAGGCCATGGTTCTTATCATCCCAAAAATTATATTAAAATATTGCACAGCATTGAAAAAAGATAATTAAATGTTGCATGCTGTTGCAGTTTAACTGGGATAATTCAAAATCCAGCCTTGAAAATAACATGCTGCATCAAGCCAATGACTCACCTCCCCATTGAAGAAGCAGAATATTGTAGAAACCAAGAGACCCTGCATGTGAAACAAAAGTGTGAGAAAATACACAAGATAGGAAATCCTTTAAGCTCAAACAGCTGCACAAGGGCCTGCAACAAAAGTTTACAGCGTCACATGTTCCTGCTCTTAAACCACCATTGGTACATACACAGCGTTGGATAAAGCGCTCCATTATACGTGTTTACTGACCTGGTAGTGCAGGAGGATATCCATGATGTACAGGTAGACCTCAAAGACCCAGTGGTCCTGGGGCTTGTAGGGGAGCAGGACAAACTGGATGCCGAGCAGAGGGATGAGGATGAGGGTGGCTCTCACAGCCCTCATGTAGAGGCTGGACTCGGCCTGGTGCGTCACTCTCAGCTTGGTGATGAGAACCCGAACGATGTTGAGCAGGAAGAAAAGATTCACCTGGAATCAAAAAAGGCATTTTATTTGATGCGAAAACAAAGGAAATGCAACAATTAATGGGTCAGCACATAATACTGCATGTCTGCGGTCGGGTAGCATGGCTCAAGACCTTTAAATCACCATCCAGATCTTTCTTTGTTCAACCATCATTTATCGCATATCATTTAAACTGAATAAATGACAATGTATTTGTAATGTGTATTTTTAATAAAGCTCCAATGAGATTTGGTGGTTTTCAAGGACTCTTTGGCAGTTTAACACAGTGGAAACCATTCAAACATGTAAGAAAACAAACTAAGAATAAAAAAATCACACTGTCAAAAAGTATTTGGATTATTTCCACTGTTGATTTTTGGAGGGTCAAAGGGAGGAATGTGTTCGACCGGCCAAGACAGTCTTGTCCTTGATCCAACTGATTATGTGTTTCACTTTGATGGTGACCAGACTCAAGGCAAAAAGAAACAAAAACCCTAAAACAAGCGAGAAGTGAATATTTCTGTAGTTCCAAACAGAGCTTTTATTTCTTTAACCATTCACGCACCTAGTATGTTTTTTATGTCTTGGTATGTTATTCCTTAAAAATACTCTGTTACAAGTAAAAGTCCTGCGTTTAAAACCTTACTTATCTAAAAACCTTTAACATCAAAAAGTACTAAGTGGCGGCTGTGGCCCAGAGGTAGAGCGGGTCGTCTGCTAATCAGAAGGTTGGTGGTTCATTTACAGTCCATTTACTATTTAAGTACTGATTATGCACTGGATTATAAAAGAGATGCATTAATGTGTACATCACTTTAATGCTGCAGCTGGTAAAGTTGGAACCATATTTAAACTACTTTATAGTCTGCCAGCTAGTTTAATCTATAATAATACATTATAATTTATATTTTAATTATTATTATTAATAATCTGAATCTGCAAAGAGTTTAACTTACTAGATGAATGTAGTGCAGTAAAAAGTACAATATCTGTCTACAATATGTTGTGGAGTGGAAGTATGAAGCAGCATAAAATGGAAATATTTCCTATATTGTGTACGTGTAAAACAATGAAAAATGTGTATTATATTTCAGTTCAGTACTCACCACCAATGCAGCGCAGATGGGACCGTGGATAATGTACAGCAAGGAAGTGTTTGAGCTGACCCAACATCTGTGAATGCATGAATCAGATCATTACATTACACATTATGGAAACACCTGACTTATGATATTCTTTAGAAATGGTCTCGTGTGGAGGCGCTGATCAAGAAGACTCACTTATCATTGTAGTAGCAGTGGCGTGCTATCGAATGTATCACCGCTGGCACGAGCGGGAAACCTGCAAACCACCAAATTAGCATATTTTTAACATCTGAGTGTAAGAAAGTGAGATGAAATATCGTCATGAATCCCTACTTACCCCACCCGAGCAGATAATACCACATGAGATGTTGTTTTTCTGCAAACACTGCCACAACTATCAGCGTGTGCAGGTAGATGCCCTCGCAAAGCATCCAGAAGTAGTTACAGCTCAGCAGATACAGGTGGATGAACATGAGCAGCTTACAGCTTGCCTAGATGGGAAAAGCAACATGAGCTCTCAACACAAAATATTTTAAAAACCAAAGCAGATTTTGACACAAGGTGCAGGAATCACTCACGGAATCATTATGCGAGTGTCCCTGTTTATTAACCACTGTTGTAAGCCTGACGACGGTGATGATTGAGTTCAGCACGAATGAGAGGAAGAGGTTTTTGTGCAGGGTTATCCTCTGGCAGCTCAGACTCCTGAGGGTCAGCGGAAGAAGAGATGCACATTAGACGCATATTTTGATTTCATTAGCTGCAGTAGATCCACTCATTTTTGTAAGGTGGACCATGGATTTAACCTGAAATTCAACAAGCTCAAAAGATGAATTAATTGTGCAAGAAACAAGTCAACAATTGTTAATACAGTATACAGCAACTGCAAACTTTATTAGGTGTAACTGTAGGTCATTAGTATTCATGAATCATTTATTAAACTATTAAAATTAAAGCAATTTGTAAGAGGTCCTCCCAGTTTGTCCTTTTATAGTAGCTTCTGAAAGAAATGTTCTGGAAGTATCTGGACCCAAAATTAAATTAATTAACAAGATATTAAGATTTATAACTCCAGATTTTATGGATTACTGTCATGGAAGAACCCTTTATTAATGATTTGCTAACATTTATATATATATTCATAGTGTGAGAAAGGCCCTTTTTAATAAACCATCTGAAGTTATAAATGTTAATAAATTATTCATTAGGGGTCGTACAGATTTCATATTGAGTTATAAATGTCAAAAACGTGTTATTTTTTAGTTGGTAGCTTGGCTAAGATTTGAAAGCAGGAGCATGGACGAGTTTTTTGAGGATTTTTACTGTAATAATAAAACATACGTTTCATATAACTTACTTTAAAACATGATTGGTACATTCACAACTAGGGAAAGACCTAATTTTGAAAAAACTATGTAGGTTATTCTAGTTAACGATGAGAGACAAACAGTTTTTTGATCCTGTTGGAACTGTGCCATAAATTATAAGGCAGACTTGATCTATAATAAAGGGAAATAAAGAAAGTTGTGTCACACTTACTTAAAATGGAAGAATATTCCTAACGATATGAGCAATGAAACCACCGACAGGCCGTGACCAATCATAACCAAGTAGAAGTGAGTCATTGCTGCCTGCAAGAGAACAAAATCAGAACAACTTCACAGTGAAAACTACTTTATATGGTGTCTTTCATTGTCATTATTCCTCCTTACTGCTCCATGATGTGTTGTGTTGGCTCTGCAGTTTGTGAAGTTTGTCCATGTCCTCTTGCTCTCTGGGTGACGTCCCCACTCGCCTGTCTCTGTGCAGACTTTGGAGGCCATCGCTGTTGGCACATTTGTTATTCATTAAGCATCAGGTGTGAAGAAAGGGTGCTGCAAATAGGCAGCTACCTCCTTAAAATCACAATTTTACATTTCTGTTTTACATTTCTGTTTGTGTATGCATTAAACAAATAAAATTTTGTCATTGACAATTGTTTAAATATCACCTAAAGAGTAGAAATTAAGGTTTTAAACTACACTTGCATCATTATCATTGCAGAAATATAGTTTGAAACTGTTTCTGAGGAGCTGTTGTGAAGCCCGGTGGTCAGCTCCACCAGCTCCTGGCAAATCTGGAAATGGGTAAAGAGGTGGAGCTGATGTGGGCTGACTGAAGCCTGGTTGCTGAAAATAGGGCGCCGCTGGTGTAGTGGTATCATACAAGATTCCCATTCTTGTGACCTGGGTTCGATTCCCAGGCGGCGCACGTGCTTTTGTTCCATGAGTCTGTGGTGGCCACTGGGGCAGCAGGTTGAGGGTAGCGGACGCTAACAGACTCAATAAACTGATCCGCAAGGCCAGTGACGTTTGTGGGAGTGGGAGTGGTAGCTAGGCTCTTTGACGGTGGTGTCAGAGGGGAGGATGCTGTCCAAGATTCATGCCATCTCGGACGATGTCTCCCACCCACTCCACAATGAACTGGTCAAACACAGGAGTACTTTCAGTGCGAGTGACTCGTTCCGCCAAGATGCACGACAGAGCGCCACAGGAAGTCATTCCTGCCTCTGGCCATGAAACTGTACAACTCCTCCCTCAGAGTGTCAAAACTTTGAGTCATTAATCATTAAAGCCGATCAATGTGCAATACACTTGATTATTATTATGTTGTTTTTGTAATTATTCAATCATTCCTTGTAATTAGCTAAGTAATTATCTTATATATTTTTTTTGTACCAGGCTGTAAATTTGGCATTTTAACATGGGGCCTTATGGAGATTAACTCACATCTGGAGCCAGCCTCAAGTGGACATTTGAGGAGCTGCAGTTTTTGGCACTTACGGTTTGGCTTCATTTGCCATTTGGAAGGTTGCAGGCTTGGTCTTTAAGTTAAGCTAAGCTTGCTTTACACACAGGCCTAAGAGTGGCATCAACCTTCACATCTAACTCTAAGGGAACAACAAAAGGTTTGTTCTTACTGTCTCAACTCAACATGGCACTCAAATATTAAAGGTTAATAAAGTCAGTGATGGTTAATATATTGGTTACAGGATCAAAGATAGCAAAGAATTTTACCATGAGGGTCAAAATCATCGTAGTACTCTGGACAGCTCTGCTCTGTTGTGACGCCGGCTTCAGTTTCGTCCCAGCACAGCCACCCATCCCACGTCGTGTTGCACTCTATACCTGCTGACAGCCAAGGACACACATGGCGGCTGAATGTTGGTATGCAATGGTGTAACAGTAACATTTTCCTCTGAGCTGTGAAGCCATTTGAGAAAATCTTCCCACCTATTGTTTTTGTTTTGTGGTGTGATTTTTTCACAATCCGCTGGAAGCATTCGTACTGGGCCATGGCGATTTGGTTCCGTGACGCCTGATGTTCACCCCGATGATTCAGATGCTCCTGGAATTCATCTTCAGGGCTTGCAGATGAAAGCAGCTGAGATGATGGAAATTGAGCACATACTCATATATATCATAGATGTATCATTTTAATAAGAAATTGTGACAATCCTTTTAAACGGGCATATTTCACATATGATAGTATAATGTGGTAGTGGGAGAGCAAATATCCCTCCTGAGTTGCATTATGGGAAATGTAGGATCAAGTTTAACCAAGTTTAGTATATCTCAGCCTCTGCTGCTGTTAATTTAAACCATTCTTTCTTTTAATTTGTTTCTCACAAGTCCCTCAACTTCAGAGAAGCACAATACTAAATCACTGAGTATTCAAGGTTGCAAAGTTAATTTATTTATTGTCCTACAATACAGGGTTGTGCAGTGAAATGCAAGTTGTAGCCCTTTAATGCTACTCACAAAACAAACATTATTTGAATGGATAAAGAGTTTTAAATGGCAGGACTGATTTATCTCACTTTTGTTTCAGAAAATGTTTGAAATTCTTGATCTAATAACGAATAGATGATCTAAAAATCAATACTGTAGTTACAAAAACATGATTGTCGCACAACTGCACAGTTCAGATACAACAGGTACCTTATTGAGGGCGCACAGGACCAGGAGAAACATAAAGCCGTTTAGATCCATCTGTGCTCGGATCGTCGTGGGTATTCTGAGGAAAGTTGACAATAGTTTGTCACTGAGAAAAGGAAAACACATTAAGACTTTATAATCTGTTTCAGTGCAATCAAATTAGACACTTAAAGGAAACACATGATGCTTTGTGACTCATATATGAAACCATAACCAGAAGCTTCAGTCCTATTTCTGTTTCACTCAGTTATTTTTATGTCATTCGTAGGAACAGGTAAAACTTTTAGCACTATCCCAAATAGTTTCCCCCAGAGCTCAATAAAAAACGAGCTTCCTGAGTTGCAGCAGCTGCCAACATGATCCGACACACGATGTGTTGACAGGAGCTGGACCCAAACTCCAAAGTTCACATGCTCTGCGCTGTCACATGGATATTTTAATTCCACACGTTTGTTGGTTTAGTACATTTATTCATTTATGCATTTAGACATTAAAATTACCTTGTAGTTAACTTTCTACTCCTAAATTAGAGCTCAATAATATTTTTTTTTTTTTACAGTTTTAACTGAAACAGAAAAGACAGTGGATGTAGGATCAGTTTTATTCTAACTTGCGATTACTTTTAACAATGTCCTGTTCCCTGACCTTTGCCCTAATCGAAACTAAACAAAATGATACCACAGCTATGTCTCCAAAGCCATGTTTTTAATTTGAAATGGCAAGTCTCCCCTTTTTGGATGTTGGGGTTGCAGATTTGGCCTTTTGCTTCCTGCGTTTCCCCGCAGCTTCCTTCCTGCATGCTTATTATGCATGTTGAGCAAGTTTAACCAAAGTTTAGCCAAAAGACATCAATATGGCAAATGCAGTCAAGCATGTGCTGCAGAACACTGTAAAAACCAGATGAGTACAAGTATTTATTGTTCAGGTAACATGGGTAAATTAAGTTAATTGTAGGAACTTAAATGCTTTTACTTTATACCACTTAAGTAGTTTTCTTCCACTAAAGCAAATTGCTGTAATCAAGTTGTGAACAATACTTGTTTTTTATGTACACTTGTTCATATGATGATTTATAAACTGACATTCCCTGTAATGATATAAAGTAAACTTAAAGAAAATGAGGCAGTGGAGCAAACTGGAAGCATATCACAAATCAATACTTAAAATACTGGACAAATGTAAATGAACTCAACTGAGTTATTACTTTGAATTTTTTGAGTTAGATTTAACTTAGAGGATTAAGTTATGCACAGTGAATGTTACGCAAACCATATGTATTTCCATATGGTTCTTGCAGAGACTATAGATACAGCTGAAACATATGCAAGCAGCAACTTATTCAGCATTTCAATAACACACGATAGATGAAAACCTAATTAAAAGTACTGAAACCTGTTGTACAGTTAAATCCAAATTCTATCAGAATAACCTAGCCAGAATAGATTAGCAAAAATGGAAAAATTTTTGCCATAAAGTGAATTTCTGAGGTCATCTTTTCCAATAATAATAATAATGTGTCCCGCTTTAGAAGAGGTGTGACAGTCAGTGGGAAAGCAGTGGAAATTATGACAGTTCTAACTGTATTTGTGGTAAAAATAGCCAAATCAGTAGATGGTGTTGAAACTAGCATTTGTCCAAATCTCTTTCTCTCTTTCTAGTATAAAATCCCAATCTATGGTTTTATTAAGATAAAAACTGTAATTAATGATTAGCTGCACCCTCGACAGCCCCTGTGTTGAGATAGCCAGTGAGGAATGTCTTTGCTTTACTGTATGAGACGAATTTCATTCCAAAAACAAAAATAAAGCTATTGTAAAGTGTCATAATTCAGTCTACAGCAATAAGAAATCACTGTATATCATTATGCTTTTTAAATTGAGTAAGTATGTACAGTAATTACAAGTTCTTGTTCAGAACTGGTAGCAAAGACTGGAGGATATAAATTGGAAAAGGCTCTATTTGGAGTAACACTGTTTTTTAAAGTTGTTACGTAATGTTTTCTTCATAGATACAAGTATATATCATAGACCTGTGTCACATTTCACAGTATTTATATCCTTTGCAACACCCGTCCCTGATTGGCCTTTATGCAAATACACAACAACTCAACAAGAAAACACTACAAAACAGCACCGAATGTAATAAAAAAACAACAAAATATCATAAAACTCTATCAAAAATCACCCGTTCATGACTACAAAGCTGATCCGCCTTTTTAAACTCGAGTTTCCAATGAGCCAATCATCAATCATGATTTATTGATCCCTCAGACAGAGAAAGACACCTGTCCGAAGAAGGCATTTATGGCTATAAGGTTAATATTTGCAAATAAGCTTGACGTATTTAACATTTTTAATATCATAATAGTAAGGCAGCTGCGTCTTTTCCAAACATTTTATGAAGCAGTGTGTCACTCACAAGGGTCGATTATTGGAGGCGATGTGACCAAGAGGTTGCACAATAACTTATATGTGAAAAGACTGCGGAGAGCATGAAAACAGTACGCAGTCTCTCATGAGTGCAAACGATGATCTACTGTCTTTTTAACTGCGGTATGGGAGTGACACTTTCCCCAAATCCTCTGCTTCTCATTTGGATTAAAAAAACAGTTTGTAATAAAGTGACACAGACCAACAAACTTGAATAATTTCCAACTCCCCTGACTGCTAATTCAGGAAATCTTTGTCAGCTTAAAAGATTAATATGTTCTTGAACACACCCAAAGACACACAGTATATCTCTCTAATGGCCAACAGAGACACTTAATAACTCAAAGTAAAGTTACTCCCTGACTGTGAGAGCCATCTGTCTCAGAACAAGAGGGTTTTACACTCTTTACCATGTGAATTACCCTTTATTAGAAACACATTGGTCTTGGAAACCATATTTCACCACTTTATGTTCACCATGTGAGCAGGTTGTTCTTGTTATGTGTGACAGCATTTCACACTTTGGCTTTAAAGAAACCAGTAAATAAAAGACGTCGCTGCCATCCTCAGTTTGCACCTGGAGAGCCTGGAAATCTAAATAAATAGTGTTTAAATGTGAGATGTCAAGATCCAAAAAGGGTTTGACTATTCTGCGACACACCAAGTAGCTTTCTACAATCTCTACTCGTGCTTTGTGCTATTTTAAACTTTTAGACTTTGCTCACTGTTTAATGCACCTATAAAGAAGGAGGTTGGCTATAGGACTAACTAATCATTTAAGCTACTCCTAAACTAGAAAATAAACAGATTTTTTTGGGGAGGATGCCAGCAGCGATAGGATAGGCTACCCTCTTTTGTACTCTACCCTTTAATACCAGAGTGCATGTGTGCACCCTGTTCTCCATGTGCCCTGCAACATATAGTCTGAAGTATGACATTTCTAGTTTAATGTGACATTTCGAACAGGGACATTTGCCCCTGTTTTTCAGCACCGTAACCACAGCGCTTGAGCAGTAATCACAGTCGACATGCTGACAAACTGTAACCATTAAAGAAACTTACCTTTGCAGGAGCACAAAAACCAGTAAGTCCTTCAGTCTGGTTACCTTTGCAGGAAAAGAAAAACAATGTGCCACTGTGTTTTTTAGAGGGGGCCGGGTCGGGTGGGGGGGGAGGGAGATTTGTTCAAGAGTAGTCCATCGGTGTGTGTTTGCAACAGAGTCAGAGGCAACACTGAGCTGTCCTGATAGAAAAAACTGACTGGGGCTGTGGATGACATCACATGCTCGCCTTTTGTGGGACATCCCTACATTGTAAAGGGCATTACAACGTGTTCATATAATTGAAAACCATTAAATTGTGTGGTTTATATTAGGTGTAATATGATATAAAGTCAACTTTAATGTCCTGGCTGGTGATTTTTAGGGTTGTAATGCCTGTGTGGATCTTTATTAGTGGTTCTAAGGCTGTTAGAGGCATGAATAATACTGAAGATACTCCTGTTGACATTCATAAGAGAGAGTTTCATTCACAAGGCTGTAGAAAAAAGTAAGAAAAGATTGTTCTGGGTGTTAAATATGTCAGAAATATACATTATTTTCATCATATAACTGGTGTGACAGAACAAAACGGACCAGTCTCTTGAGGGTTTCTATCGCTTAGCAACGGCGCCCTCTGCAGGGCAAAAAAAAAAAACTCCTTGGCAACAGTCAGGTTACCATGGCGACGGCGTTCTGGAAACTTGCTCTGCCGAGTTAACTTAGCCTGCTCTTCAGGAATTTAACGACAAATACGGTTGTTTATTTTGAGCCATGTAACGTTACGAGTTTATTTAATTGACTTAACGCCTCTGTTTGTTTCGGACTCTAAATATTGAGAGCTCAGTAGACCGCATTAGCAGGAAGTGGCGAACAGGTGTAACGTAAACAGTTAGCCTGATTAAGGTAAGTTAACTTAAGTTAACGTACAAGGCTACATGCAAGGTGTATCCTGGTTCCTGCTCGAAAGGTGTTTTTATGTGCACAAATGACGAAGAAAACTACTATTACTCAGTATTTTTGTCGACTATTGAGCGACTTCATAACTGTAAGTCAGTGGTTGAAGAAGTACTCCGATGCTTTATGCAAGTAAAAGTAGAAATACCAGTAAGTTAGTTAAGTTAGTAGTAAAAGTCCTGCATTCAAAATGTTACTTTAAGTATTAAAACAACCCATAATGCATAATTGCTTCTTTCACAGTGTAATATGAGTATATAATATTATATTAGAGCCATTTTAATGTAGTTGATCAATGTGGAGTCAATGTTAGGTGTATACCACTGGGAGGATTAGTAAAATAGTACTGAATAATATCATAAGAGTATCACTTTTTTTTATTTTATGTAAAAAGTCAAACAAGGGGCACCCTGGGAGCTCACCTAGTAGAGCTGGTGGGTGCCTTAATGCAGCTGCCGTGGGTTCGAGTCCAACCTGTGGCCCTTTGCTGCGTGTCATCCTTCTCTCTCTGCCCCGTTTCCTGTCACTCTACAGCTGTCGCTATGGATTACAAGCAATAAAAGCCCCAAACAAACAAAAAACAAAACAAAAGTTATAGTATAAATACCCAGTACAAGTTTGTCACAATTGTACTTCTACAGTATCTAAGTAAATGTACTTACTGTAGTTATATTCCACCACTGCTGTAAGGCAGGGAAGAAGATAAAGAGACACACATTTGTGAAACAGATGTACACATACAGACATATATCTTTATTTGCAATATTCCAAATGTCCTGCAGTTTTAAGTGTACCCTTCATTTTCATTATTATAGAGTAAATGAGTGATAAATGTCTTTATTCTGTAGAGACAGGATGTTCAGGCAAACTGCCTGGAGGAACACAGTCAGCGATGCAGTGACTTTCCACCAAGACCAAGCCCTCAACACAACTATATTTCTCCTGAAGTCCTTCGGCCCAACAGGATTTCTGCTCAGAGAGGAGGAGGAGGCCAGAAACTTTAAGGTAAATCATTCTCTAATTCCAGATGCATATTGCTCTAATTCTGAAAAAAAAAAACATTTTGTGTCATTACTGATTATGTTCTGTTGTTCATGTTTTTCAGGTGTGCTTGGGTGACCCACATACGTGCACTTGCCCTGTGTTCACCAAGGAGCTGGAGCCATGCAAACACATCTGCTGGTATCAATAACATACAGAAAGAGATAAAGGAGATGTTTAAAAGGGTGATATTTCCCATGGTCCCTTTTTTAATTCATTTTTTTTTATGTATGTGGACATTGTGAGGTGAACACCAGCATTTTATTTATCTATAAGACTGGGTAGCACATAAAACAGTTCAAGAAGAAAACTTTTCCTTGAACTTTGTTCGACAGAAATTCGACATAATCTGCTGGACCATTTGTTATCGAAAACTGTGGATTTTTATTTTATTTTGCAGGACCTAATTAGTATCTCAGTACTTTTTGGACACTGACCAAATTGCGTCCGTTGAACAAAGTATAAAACTATAAAATAATAAAAGTTGTATTCTTACATTTTTGATCAAATATCGCCTGAATTAAATTACATTTTGTAGTTTTTTTTGTTGTTTTTTATTTATGCGCAAGTGCAAGAAGAAGGCTTTTAGTTTTGCTTTTTAAAACACAACTAATGTATATTTTAGAAATTCGTATAATGTCCAGGGCTATTTATGTTTGTTTGTATCAGTGATATTCACTTTTTTTTTTTTTTTTTTCACATAAGAACCACTAACTCTAGAATAAACCTCTAATCTTTACAGGGTTTTACTGCGGAAATTCAGACTTCCCAGAGAACATGAATGTAAGTTGTTTTGATATCGCTGCACTTATTACATACTGTACCTTTAAGTTCAGTTACATTGTTAAAAGATTACTTGAAAAAAGAATTTCCAGTTTAAGGTTTAGTTTTATTTTGGTTCTTTGAGGCCTAATTTGATTTGTTTATCACACAGTTAAAAGTACAGTCCTTGAAAAAATGAAAGATCATCAAAACCCTTATTACACCTCACATTTGGCCTGAGAGAAGTGATAAAACTGCTTCTGAACCGGTTTTATATGGACACCACAATGCTGATTTAACGAACTAGGGTTAAATGAATTCAGGTTTAACACTAAGACCTTTCCTGTGTAGAGTTCCTGAGCAATTTTAAACAAGTGACCCACCCGTGCACGTGTGCTCCTGTTGACATGCAATGTTAAAAATAACTCTGCTCTAGATTCATTTCAGCATGGACTTGTGGAGAGACAGATCTTGGAGGTGCTCCACGGTTTGCACCACACCAAAGCCCACCGGACGGAAAATGATCCGTCTGCTGCTTCTAGGACCCCGAGCCAACCAGTCATGGGCCAGGAGGCTGGAAGTGTCTGCCGGAAAGTGATCCAAGCCCAGGATGTGTGTCCTATCTGTCAAGAAGAGCTGCTGGAGAAAAAACTGCCTGTGTCTTACTGCAGGTGCGTAGGCGGCTGTGGTCGGGGCTTTACACTGTTATTGTGTCAGTACAGTCATGTTTCAGGATGATGTAAGATGTTCTTGTCAACTTTTGTTGCACTCCTGGCCAGAACATGACCCGATACAGCATTTCCAGCTGTTGACATACAGCTTGTGGAACCCACGAGCACACATCTGCGGATGTTATAAAATTAGGCTCAAATCCCCTGATATTCCCGGAGGAGGATATTTCATTCAACCACAAAGAAATAATATAAAAAATGTTTTATTTTTGCACTCTGCAGACATATTTTCTGCACCCTCATGTGCTGTTTTTTTCTCTCCCAGGTTCGGCTGTGGCAATAATGTCCACATCTCTTGCATGAAAGTGTGGGCAGATCACCAGAGACTCTCAGACAGGGAGGAAACAGTGAAGTGCCCTCTGTGCAGGGAGGACTTCAGCTCTTTGAAGTTACTCCAGGAGCAGGTGAAAAATGCAGCAAAGCTCTTCACCACGGCTGAAAGAGAGCGGACAGACAGACACCTGGGAGTTTTCTGTCACAGCTGCCGGATCTTCCATGTCACTGGCAGATGTTTCAAGTAAGCAAGCAGCAATCGTGACTAAGTTTGGGCTAAAAAATGTAGGAGAACCTAGGTATCATAAGCAGTTTGAGTCTTTGTGGCAATCGAATGTAAGGGTCATATTGTATCTTATATTAAGTAGATGTAGTTGACATTTGTCTTCTTCTTTAATCCCTGTTATCATCTTTTCAGATGCACAGTCTGCAGTTACTTCTATCTATGTGAGGACTGCTCAAAGAAGGGCTGCCACACACAGCATCCACTTGCTTCACGAACAGTAAGCTATTTGGATTCAGCTTTGAAATAATACTTGTACTACATCAGCTAATCTCCCAACTCGAGTCTTGATTAAAATCGTCATATTTCTGTTGGTTGTTAGTTCTGCTAAATAAAAACTCTGGTTCGACCTCAAACAGAAAAGGAGAGACAAGTGGTACCTTGTGACAGAGAACCTGAGTGATGAACCAAAGGGAGCGACCTCTCAGCCAGCAAGTGACAGGTGAGTTATTTAATACAGCCACAAAATCTTCTTTGTTTTCCTTACAGTTTACACATTTGTCACTGTCGCTATTTACTGACAATAAGATTTTGTTGCTCACCATTTCGCATCTTCCTACTCAGCACCATACCTGTAGCTGCAGACCCTCTACCAGAAAATATATTAGCGTGTGTACCTGTGGTCAGGGTGAGACTGGGGTCTCGTCTCTTGGATGAGGGACAGCAGTGTCGAATCTGTCTGCAGGATTTTGTCCTGGGCCAGCGTGTCCGAACTCTGCCCTGCCATCACAAGGTAAAACATTTCACAGTGTCCTTGCATATCACATCTTTAAGAAATCTGATTTATATTGTTACATCGTGTCTCAACACTAACTCACAGGATATTGAAATAATATAATTCTAAATGACAACCTGCACTTAATTCAAATCAACAACTCAATACTCAACATTTTTTATTATTAATCTGTGAAGTACATCAACTTACTGGCTGTATATCAGACTGACTGCTGAGCCTTTTACATTTTTATTGTAAAACAATATAACAAACAATTATAATGATTTCAACAAATGTAAAAAGAAAAACTTTACAGAACCCCCTCCTCTCTCACCCTCCCCTCCTCACATTTTCACACACACTTAAGTTCCACACAGACTGTGTGGACGGGATCCTGCAGAAGTCCAACTCCTGCCCCTTGGATGGATATGTCATTTATAACCCCTTGACAAGAAGAACCAGTGAAAGGAAGACCTCCCCTAAGTCGGCTTCCTGCCTTCTCAGTGACTTCGCCAAACGACCAGAAATGAACTTTAAGGACCTGTTTATTCCAGGAGTGGCACTGCGGGACAGGAACACTAAAGTCACTCCCTCACACGGTTCTCTTAACTTAGAGGTGCTGACAGGCTCTTCAGTAACTTCAAACACCCAGCAAAAGTTAATAACGGGCAGGTTTCAAGGCTTGTGCATAGGTACAGCAGACACTGTGACGAAGGAAGGAAAAAGAGAGTTGCAGAGAAAACAAACTTCTCATATTCCCAAAGGCAGCTCCTCATTTGATCACCGAAGTAAATCTGACTCAGGTGCACATTCCTCAAAAAATACAGCAAGAAAACACAGCCCTGCTTCACCTAACAGGTGTTCTGCAGTGGCAAAAATCAGAGAGCAACCTCAACTGGATCTTTTCGTAGGTTTATTTAGACCAGAGCCCGAGCACACAGCTACATTGGCCTCTCCTGCCAGGCGGACTAGACTGCAACCCAAAAGGACAGGCATGACAATCATTAAAGAAACAAACAACAGACTCACTTCAGAGCTAAGAATGACTGGAGTCTTAATAAACACACAGCATCAGAGAGAGACAGAGACTTAAAGGTACTACAGTTAGTTTTTAACTGCCTACCACCAGGTCGGATTCGGTCAGATTCCCCTTGAAATCAATAAAGCGAGACTGTGGAAACACTACAGCTTTTGTTCACTGACAACTATAAAGTACCTTCTTTTACTTAATGTTTGATCGAAGGTGGGTTGAATGTTTAATGTTTCAGTTGTCTCTGTGCCCTCATTTATCTTTCACTGTTCTTCAAATCAATCTGAAATCTATGTGAAATTATGCTTTTCTGTCATATTTCTAAAATCAAAGTTCTGTATTCATCAAATACACACTTTTCGAAAAAAAGAATGAGGCTTCTGAACAATAATTGGTATCAAGTAACTTTATTAATTTAGTGCACAAAAAGGCAAGACTAATAACACTACTATCATTACAGAGGTAAACACAAGAGGTGCCCATTTTGAAATAAACAAAAGCCCATGAAGTTCAATGGCTAGACACAAGAGGAGCACACTATAGAACATTAAAATCAATACAAATACATTCAGCAAAAATCACTTTAAAAATGGAGTGGCAGTAGGTTTGATTTGCTTGTCAAGAATTATCAGCACAAAGTGTTCACAAACTACTCCTCGCGTTGTTGAGTAAGCTGGGATATACTGTATTTTCAAGCTGATGACTAGCAGGAGAAAGTATTTTCATTTGTAAGCATACTGAATGATTAAGTGCTCAACTTGTTGCTACATTTAAAATTACAAAGCTCAGGCTTGTTAGACACTCCCTTGAAAAGACACTCACCCTTTACGCTAACCTTAAAAAAAAAAGGAATATTGATAACGTCTCTCATATGACACTGGCTCAAAACCTTGTCATTCAATTCATTCACTGGACACACATTTCTCCCACTTTAAGATGGGAGAAAAACAGCACAAAATAAATTAAATCACAGCCACATAATACATAAAATGTTGCTTTACTATATACAGTACATACAAAAGAACACATGAAGGTAGCTGAATCGAGCCTTATACATACAAAATGAACTCATCTGTGAAAGATTTACAGTAGTACGATGACGGAAGACTAAATATAGCAAAAATGTGGCTGCAAGTTACTCTTTAAATTGTAATTTATGGTAAATATTGCTAGTAGAACCACTTTATGGTGTTCATGGTGAGTGTTTTGCCAAACTTTATCATGAATGACCAATGATATCGGTATTCATTATTGTAGCGTTGCCACTGTTGTATTTACACACTGAAAAATTCAATAGGTTTGTGGGAAAGCTGTGTGCCAGTGTAACAAATGGGCTCATATTAAAGTGTGGTGTGCTTCATTTGACTCAAGACAAAAGCTGCCATGTCAATTAGTAGAGGACAGATATGAAACGCAGGCATACATGTGACTGTGTTGTTTTACATTTTACCTCAGTAAAATACTTCTGTATACATATTTGTTGGAAATTGCTTAAACCCAAACAAGACTAAGGGTTAACACCCATATTACTGGCTCTGTGAGGTTGTTCTTAACCACAGTAGTGCTAACATTTTTTAATTAGAAGTAAACACTAATAACAGCTGAGGCTGGTGGGAATGTAGTTTTGTAAATATTTAGTTAGTATTGGACGAAATTAAATATGACCTGACTGGCTTATTACAATTCAGAATGAGGAAATCCATCCAATAGTCTTTCACACAAAACCACAAATGTCAACCTCATGGTGGCGCTAGAAGAAGATTAATCACCAGAGTCAGAGGGACTCATCATCTGGGCACCCTGAATGTCTGTACAACATTTGATGGCAATCCATCAACTAGTTGTTGAGATATTTCAGTCTGGACCAGTGTAGAGGAGTGACCGACCAACTGTGGACCGATATTGCCATCCCTAGAGCCCACGACCACTCTGGGGACCATATGTTCAGCACCATTATCGTCAAGCTTTCAACTGAAAAAATCAGTTAAAAAACATCTTTCTTTCTTGAGTCATATCTCTAAATTTTAAAAAAGGTAATCCCATCCCAAGGTCACGTTGATCAGGAAGTAAATATATTTTTGTCAAACGTATTAAGAGGTTTGGAACCACAGGTTGTGAATGCAAAACTCCAAGGCACCGAATGCATGTATGGAAATAATTACAAGGGATAATACTAAATGTTATTAAAAACGAAAATAATACTAATGCATAACTTTGGGGGACTAAGCAGAGGGCGTTGGCCTCCTTTACTTAACACTGCAAATTGTTAATATGAATTAATATATCAAATTGTGACCTCAGAGCTGTGCAGTTATAATAATTTTAACAGCACCCTTCCAACCAATCAGAAATGACTTCTTTCTCAGTCTGTTAACAGTAGCTGGTTGTACCATCAGTTGCTTCAGACAGAATTGCCCCACACTTTCCAGTCCCACTAATCCCATAACACACGACTTTGACATGTTGTAGTGCCAATTCAGCTAACGCGTACCGAGCCACCTCTTTACTGTTGATGGATGTGGTTTAAAATGTATTCACGGATAATCATAGTGTAGAAGTCTTTGGGTACTATTGTTACAATAGTTCCTTACAGTAGTTACAGTTGGCAGCACAATACTCCTTTCAGGACTAGACAATGATATGAATCATTCAGTCCACAGGTAATCTAACAGCTACGATGACGTAATGTTAGCTCTACATTAAAACACAAAATATTTTCATACACACGAGAAAACATTCATTTTCATGCATTCGCAAGTAACCGTAGGCTTAAATCCTTGAATATGAGATGTGACGACTTCAAAATGGCAGCTTTAATTTTACAATGTTCATCTGCATTTTACTCTGATATAATTGAGTATTTCATGTCGTGAGTTAAAAACCTTTAAGTCTTTTCATGAACCCCAGAGTTTCTTTTTAAGCAAAATGAGGCAATGTGATTGAAACAAGATGTCAGCACTGAAAACCGGGAAAGCTTCTTTATCTTATTTAATTTACAGCAGGCATTTATGGTGAGGATAAGTGCACTACACATAGACCTGTATCTGTGTCCGTCCTGCAAACTCACCAGATTTTACTAAATATAGACAAATACCGTGCCTTTTGTAATCACATGTAATGACTACAGGCAGTAAGAAGGCACCCTCTATAATGCCAGTACTGGGGACAATGGGACATCGTGTTCACACGGACATTTTGCTGTGAAGAATCTCGCTGGTGATCTTCAGATTCGAGAAAATTGATGAAGGTGGTGCACAAACTCGTCTTAACAGCAGCTACATAATGCTTGAACATGACATAGATCCTGTTTTACTTCTTGAGCTAGCTTATGCATTCTTTGGCAAAGTTGTACAATTACATAACTCAACAACAACAATGCCTGTGTGAGCACAAGTGGTTAAAAACTAATTTGGATTACTCAGCACTGATGTGACATCATGTGATGAAAATAGCTCAAAATCGGTGAAATGGTCAACCGTGGACATTTAAATTAAGCACTGATGAAAAAAATGCTTGTCTCGATGTTTGCCATGCTCTAACTTCGCTTGGTCAGAGGTCTCCCCTCGCGTACATGCTTGGCACTCCTCTTTTCCGTCTTCCCCTTCTCCCTCACTTTCCTCAGGCGACGTGGAGGCGGCGTACCTCTCGACTCGCTGTCCTCCTGAGCGCTGGATGTATCCATCCCGTCTCGCTCTTCAGGAATGTTGGGAATAGCCCCACTGCTCCCGTCTAAAATGTTCCTCAGGGAAGGGTCCTCTGGTGTACAGGTGGCTGTTGTGCCACTCTCACTACTGCTCAGGTCCTGCTCTTCGCTGTAACGCCCCCCTCGGCTGTGGTGCGACAGGGAAGATGCCCTGATCGAAGGCCTGTCACGCTCTGTCTCCCGGATGTTCTGCAGAGGCTCGTTCATGTCCACCCCAGAGTCCAGGCTTGTGTCGTTGCTGCTCGGCGGGCGGTGGCGGCCCTGAAGCTCAATAATAGAGTGGCGAACCTGGGCGGCCGGCTTCCCGTCTAAGGACACAAACCAGGCCCTGGGGTGAGACGACAAGGGCTTGCCCCGGGTCAGCTCCAGCAAGGTGCGCTCTGAAATCCCCTGCAGCTCGCTGGGTACGCCATGCCCACTGCTGAAGGCCTCCATACCAGCTGCCTCATTAAGAGTCCCAGGCACAGAGACGGAGGATTCGAGGAGGTTACTGTAGCGTCCCCACACGCCCGCGTTAGGGCCTTGGCCTTGGGGAGGAGTCTCCAGAGGCTGGGGCTCATCTTGGTTGCTCTGCTGTGGGCTGCTCCCACCTTGGGAGTGGTGGTGAGGGACTTTGGGTAGTGTCTGGGTGTAGCTGTCTTTATTTGAAGGCTCTGAGTGAGCATCATACTCAACTGCATTGCGGGGGAAAGTAGCAGACTTGCAGCCCGACAGTTGCTGCTCCTGAGCACTAAAAAGCTCCGGCGCCTGAATAATAGCCAGCGGCTGGTTGTAGATATGAACCAGCTTATCTTGAAAGAAGTTGTCAGAGTTCATGTTGGCCCGGTTCTGCTCCGACTTGTCCCGAAGCCGAGCCACCTCTTCGCTGTTGATGTAGTGAGATGACGGCTGTGGGCCTTTGATCCGATCCGCAGCAATGTTCTCATAAAAAGCAGCAGCCAGGCGACTCCCTGGATCCTCCACGTAGATGTTGTAGTTGGCCTTGTGCCTCGGCGTGGACGAGGGTTCACACTGGACACTGCAGGAAGCGAGGCTGTTGTCACCAGAACGGAACAGTAAACCCTCTTCCATGTGGGTGGAGGTGGTCTGGTCTTTCTTCACCACTGTGAGTTTGGAAAAGCGTGCTCTCCTCCTCCTGGGCTCTCGATGAGAACTTCTATATAAAGGATGAACAGAACTGAATAAGTATGGACTGCAGCTTTATAGTGTTGCTTTCCAAAACATCTTAGGCCAATTAAGGGCAAGTTAAAGGGACACGTTGCCATTTTTATTTTTAAGATGCTATTTTTACCTACCAGAACCTTCTTTAAGAGGGTGTGTGGAATAAACTATTAACATTTATTTGATGCAGTGTCATAGTCAGTTGAATTGTGTTTACCTTGTTTTAAGCCTGGCAACTTCACTTCATCTTGAAAATAACTATATTTGTGACGCTCACTCAAAAATAAATTCTAAACAATTAATGGCCAATAACATTTCTGATTCCGATATTTCTCACCCGCACTGACACAGCAGCAAGGAAAGGAGTCCAATCACCAAAGCCAGCATTCCTCCCAGTATTCCCATCAACAGGTAGCTGTGGTATGATAGGAAATCCAAAGAGCTTCCATGTCCCAGGTAATCTAAATGGTCAGATTTATAGATAGAGAGAAAACAGTTATCAATACAAAAGCCAGTAGACCGCTACACAACCTGCGTTTACACGAGTTCATGAAGGCAGATGAGTTGTGTACCGTTTGGTGAGGGAAGGGGGGCAGCGATCCAGTGGCCCAGATGGGAAGCGGTGTAGGTCCAAACCAGCTCATCACCAATTGTTCTCACTATTCCCAGACCCTGATTCTCCCAGGCACCTTCAAACAGCATACAAATTAGCTTTACCTGATGTCATTGTACAGTACAGGAGTACAACCACTGAGTTAGACAGTCTTAATTGTGTTTTTGTGCTTTAAAGAGTAGGCTTTAGTCAGTTTTAAGATCCTAATTCAGAGAGAAAGTGAACTGTATTTTATGTTCTTCCAAATGCTAGATCTCTCTATTTATTCATCTTTTCTTTTTCTTGTATTAAACATGTGTCTTAAGTTGCAATGTAATTCAGTGGCTTCTCTGTAGTCTTTATTCGTACCAGTTTTCAGGTTAAAGGCCCAGGCAGGCACAGTATCAGCAGCCCTGAGGCGCGTGCGGTGTCCCAGGGGCAGGCTGATCTGAATGGGCCCTCGAACCTGGAGCTCCTCACCACCGGAGTACAGCAGGACATTGACGGCTGCCACCGCCTTCAGCTCGATGCTTCTCAACACTGCAGACACAAGGAGTAAATTCAAGTAAATTCTTAAAACTTTTACTTGTTTAAACATTGTCTTATAACCATGTTTTAAGGAATGATCATAAAACAAGCTGCAAGATCTGCTTGATTTAAAAATACTGATACTTGTATCCAACAAAATATAAACTCACTTTTTCTTCCCATTTAGTGTATTTTGAGAATGATGTCCTGTCAAGACTACAATTTAATGACCAAACCTAAACAGTAAACACTCACACAGACTAAGAATCAACTGCTTTAAACATTAATGAGGCCTTACTGTGTTTAACGCTCACCTGATTTGCTGCTGATGATGCCTGGAGTGCAGTTGGCACAGTCTCTAGCTAGGTGGTGCTGTGGTACAGTCAGGTACGCTGTCAGTGAGGAGATGTTGCTCTTGTCAGACAACGGGAGGAGGTTCTTGGGGAACTTAACCTTGGGTTGGGAGGAGCTGTCTGTGAAAACAAGATGGCATATGATTGGATAAAATCTGGGCATATAAAACAGCATGTTTAAATACAGAATTTAGCTTTGGGTGATAAAAAAGACACATGGATTTTTTTGCAGCCTCGTCAATCCTTTTTTAATTTTCTACTTAATCTGTGCAAATCAAAAACTACTCAAATAAACTGGTAAAAGTTGTGACATTTAGCTCAGTTAAATCCTAAAATGCAGCCTAAAGCAACCGATTTAGAGTAAAGTGTGTTTTCTTCTACAAATTAAAGTTCTTCTTTCCTCATTGAGATGAAGGTGAAATGACTCTGGCCTCTAAACTTACCAGGTAACTTCCCGGTGATGAGTACCGAGTCTTCAAACAGCCAGATGTTCCCCTGACTGTGAGGGAGCAGCAGCAACGTCACAGCAGAGAAAACTGCAAGAAGACAAATGAAAGGTCAGAAATAAAACACAAACACTGATATTTTTTAGCCTTTTCTCCATTACAGGTGGAAATGTGAGTGATGAAAAGGGGCAAAAGTGTGTTATAATCTCTCCAGCTGCTTTATCTATAAATAATCATTCTTTAAAAGACAGTACTGAAAACTTATTTTAAATTGGTTTCAAATATTTACTATGATTTAGGAGGTAATGAGATTAGAAGTGCAGAGAGAGGTAGTTTTCTTCTTCATTCTCCTTTGTTTTTTTGGGAATACAAGCTGTTTACTGTGACTTGTAGGCCTGTAATACCACCAGCAGATGGCATCACTATCTCAGAAGCCTCTGTTTAGGGTTCAGCTGTCTGGCTCGGAAGCACAAAAGGGAGGCGCCTCTGATGATGCAGAGCAAAGCAGGTCTCGACAGATGACACTTTTATCATCTGATTTTTATCCCTCGTAACACCTACACCATCTTTGTTTTGAAAGACCACATCCCTGCCCTCTGGTTCAGACCAGCAAGAGGAAGTGGGAACACAGACAATAGAGTGAGACCCCAGGCCCCCCTTTTTACACCAACGCGAAATCGGTGTGGCTACAGAGCCCCCACCCCCCTCTGCATTTGATTCGGTGCAGGACAAAGACAGTTTGCTGAGGCAGGCATATGTTCCTGCCGAGCTCTTGCCTCTACATGCTGCCGTAGAGACAATCAATAAAATGACTATAGGACACGGCGTCCGGTTACACTTCACTGTACAATGGGAACATAAATTGCTTCATCATGAACAAACCTCAGTGACAAGTTGTATGTTGTTGCAGACACTTCATTAATCTGTAATGACCATGAATAATGCAGTTGTGTGAACACCGTGGTCGGCATTACTGAAAAAAAAGTGCTTAAAATAGCTAATATTTTCCCCTTACTTGCAATATTTTTCAACCTTTAACAGCCTTCTGTTACATTATTTTCTTTGTTTTCATAACTAAAATATATCCCTATGAAGAACAATGCATGTTTTTTTCTGAGAGAGATAAGCCAACTGCCTTAATTGCGTTTGTTCCCCATGAGCCGATCGATCTCTGTTGGACAATCCTCTTTTAGCCTCTCTTCAAGGGGAGTTCAGGGTCAGCTGTGACCCTGGAGTCGGTCAGGTTAACATCCAGCACGAGCGAATGTCAACAACAGAATATTTAGCCCATGAATATGATTAATATGAACGCTTGCGTGCAGCTTACTGTCAGGGTTTGAACTTCTCTCTCTAGCTCTCTTTTTTTTGGGGCAATTTTGGCAATTTTTTGAAGTAATTAATGGACTAACAACGGGGCTGTTGTCCTCCTGTCAGAGAAGCCATGCTTATGACTCAGAGGTAGTCGTCTGAGTAAACAATGATTGTGTGAATGTGTGGCCATCACGCTCAGAGACACCATTAGATGTCAGCCAGTCCAGTCCAGTCCCAGGTTTAAAATAGTTGTTGTAGGGTGTTACTCACTCGGTCTCTTGGTGGTGCTCCAGGGCAGCGGACTCGGGACGTAGCCTTCCATGGTGCCCAGCAGAGTCAGACTGAGGACTGGACTGTACGCTACCCAGAGCAGAACGTCACCTCTCTCCCCTGTTTGGGCAGAGCTCCTCAGTGTGTGGTTTACATAAACCTCCACTGAAGCACCCGGCAGCGGCTGACGGGTCACCATGTCCCTTACCAAGACCTTCAAGGCGAACGGGGACTCTGTGGAGAATAGTCATTTGATTTAAACTTTCAAATTGTCGCTTTGTGACTTTTAAAAGACTTGATTTATTTATATGTATCCTCTTTTAATATCACCTTGAGATACAAATTTAACCGAAGCTAGAGGAGATCTAGTAAAAGAAAGTATTTAGTTGTTTCAACACATGTGTCTCTGCATGTGTTCTATCTGTATGCAGACCAGCAGCCTCCACCACTTCCTCTCAGCAGTACTCAGTAACCTTTCCCTCGCCATGAAAAAGTGATGAGGCAGGCACAGCTGAATCAGTGGGAGAATGAAAAATACATCAAAACCAAGTGACAGAGAAGAAAAGCTACACTGCACGGCCATGTTTCTTCCCGTCCGACACGACCACTTCCGAATGCATTTTGCACTTATGTTGTACAAGTTTTCAGCCTTCTTTAGTCTTTTTAAAATCTTGATCAGAAAGTAGTTGCTGAGGTTTTTAAGATCAAATTCACTAGGAACTAGTAAGAGTATAACATAGTTTAAATGTCATCTTCCAGGACAACATGTATCTGTCTTTTTTCCCCCGAATGGATGTACTGAGCTTAATAAGTGAACGTTGTGGCTGCTGGGGTTCCTAGAGAGCATTCAACTGGGTTTTTCTTTTGTAAATTTGGCAATCACAGTACGTAAACCCCCACCAAATGTAAACAGAGGCCATCGATGAGCACAGGCTCACCTGCTGTATCAGCAGAGCAGAGCAGGATTACCACGCTCCCCATTAATATCACCTGCTCGGGCCAAAAAGATAAAAACCTTAATCCCTCAAACCTCCACATTACACATCTTAATCCTATTAGTCTGTTGGCCTGTGAATTCTATCCAATAGCTTATCAATACAAATAGCCTATCATTCAGATACATAGCTTGGCGTTTAGGATAGTTCAGAGCTAAAAGAGAACATATATAATAACATGTAAAAGTTTTCTCCAATTGAAAATATAGCTGCCTATAGCTTACACAGCAAAACCAGCTATAATTCAAAATACATTTGTTAAAGACGCACTCTGCTCAAAAATGACTTTTCCTTCATTGCATTCAGAATATGATTTTTTAACTCATAAAATAAATATGTTACATTAAAGTGAAAGTGAATACAGTTTCACCTTCTGTGCCATTTTTGTACATTTTAAAATCCATTAATAAACATAGGCTACTTATAGCTTCTGCCCAAGAAAAACCAAAGGAAACTGCAGCATCCTCCTATCCTAAACAGCAATGCAATGATGCAATGCTATCTGAAGAGATGTCAGCCTAACAAAAACAAACTGCCTAACATGGGATGCACAGCACCTGAATCACTTATGAGTCACACAGTTTGGTCTGTTGCAGCTCATTTCCATTTCCTCTAACAATGACTGACTCCAGCAGAGCCCGTTTCTGTTTACCTGCCGCGGAGGGGCTGAGGAGTCGCCCTCGGGCGGTCGGGTCGGTGGCAGACGGGTCTCCGACCGCAACGGTGAGGCCATTGTCCCCGGGCGAGGAGGAGGGCAGGCCGCCGCCCTCCTCCGCTGCTCTCACCGGCCCATCCAGGCACGAAATCAAAAGCAGCGACGGCAGAAAGAGCAGCGGCAGCAGCGGCGGCAGGTAGCGTTCAGCAGCGGGCATGGCGAGAGGGGGAGCAGGCTCAAAGACATACCGAACCGCGAGAGACGAGCTCGGGAGGAGGAGAACGAGGTCCAGCAGGGTTTGTCCTTATCACCAAGGCCTCGTCCCTCTCACGGTTTTTCTTGTAACGTTGATGCGCACATACGGGGGAAAAACCCCGTGGAGAAAGGATGAGCTGGTGCTGAGGCTGGGCGTGTGTGGCCGAAGATCGTGTATGGTGGAGATGATGTGTCACTCAGTGAAACAAAAACAAAAAAACAACGCTGGTTTATCATTATGATTTTAGCCTTATATGTTAATGATACAGCTCGCGTGTTGTTGGTACTAAAATACATGCAAATACTTACAAAAACCTAATTGTTTAAGTCATTTATGAAGAAAAATGTCTAATACTAAAACGGGAATATGTGCTGCCCTGTAATGTTTACTATTTAAATTACTATTTTCTAGAATTTTAAAGACAAAATAAGGAATGGAAAGTATTGTTTGGTAATAATCGAGACACATTGCTGTACCACGAAAAAGGCCCAGAGTGAGAGGTCTTTCCGTGTTGGTCATCTTTGGTAAGACGGAAGATGCTGTTACATCATCGGGGTCTGCGTGGCCCTCTGTCGGTACACTGAGATCCCTGGTTGTCTATATTTCTTTATATATATCCACTGCTTTGAGAAGAAAATGTGGAAACCCACCAATCAAATCACATAAACAAACCTGTTAGAATTTAGACCATTAGGTATTAAACTAAACTTTTAATATATAGTAAAATAGTGCATAGTGGTTCTTAGCTCCCATGTCTTCCATTACAAGCAAGACAATTACCCCTTACATAAACCAGCTTCACATCCTTCTGAACACTTACTTCATTAATATGGAAGATACAAATAATTACTTATTAATGAATAAATACATTGAAAAACACATAATTGAGAAAATTAAAATTTTCTGGGTTTTTTTACAATTATGTTTCTACATGTCTTTCTTTTATTTACATTTACTTGTTTAGGTGTATGGAATACTTAAATGAAATCCAAATGGGAGATCAAGTTACTCTGTTACTCTAACATATCAACTTAAAAAAGTTTGTACTCATTAAAGGTGTCAAAAGTGTACATTTGTAAATGGAGTAGAAGGATTTATGATGTGTACAATTATTAAATATCACCTAACTCGTGTGAGTGTTTTTCAGTACCCTAATGTGAGCAAATTCTCCATGATCTTCCTCCACAGAGTCAACCAGCAGAGTTCAGTGGTTCCCAGCAGCATCAAACACACCCGGACTCCGTATGTACGGTGTGTACATGCACCGCAGCAGGTACAGCCAAATAAAGTGAATGAAAAAATTTGTGCTTAATGCAATCAGGCAAATTAACAACTAACCTTTAATCTTTTTCATGTTAAATTTGACCTTTTCCTCATTTATTTAGTCAATAATCAAAACTTTCTATGTTGTTCTCTCCATTGGAGTTATTGAACTGCTTTTGAAGTTATTCACTCTGGCCACTGGAGGGCACTAGATTTCAATTCTTAACATTTATCTTTTACACATAAACATGTGGGAAGAAAAAACTATTTAAAAAATATATGTAAAAAGAGAAAACAAAAAGGTTTTCTTTCAGACAATGCACAATTCATTAGAATATATTGAAACCGCAGGAGTTCTGCAGAGATGCCCTCAGCTACAAAGCTTATGCTTACAGACAGAAAAATTAAGTTTTATTCCCACTAACTGCGAATCTTATTGCAGATCTGTTGCAATCAATACAATCACAATATGATTTTTTAGCCATATGATGCAGCCCTATAATGAATGCAACTTATAGTTGTGATGATTTATTCTGTGTTTGATGGTTGCAGGAGGACTGCTGTTAATACTAATGTGGGAACTATGGAAGAGTCTTCAGGTTGGTCCACTTTCCAGTCTTATTGTTGACTATAAACGTAACTGAATCAAGTTTATTATTGTTGTATGATTTTTACTTTCACTGTCAGCTGTGTTGTATGTTAAGACTTTATGTCTCACACTTGTAGATTTGCAGCGTCAGTGGAGGACATCTTTGAAGAAGGAACATCTCCTCTGGTAGGATATTTTTCTATTGAAGAAAACCTTTCCACAGAAGTAAAGTTTACACATTATCTGGACTGAGACGTCTTTGGAAATTAATTTTCTTTGTTTGGTTGTTTTGGGTTAGTGGTTCAGTGTTTGCATGAGTTTAAGTCCTGATTGCAGTGGAGATATTTTCAGTAGCAGAACTGTTACCTTCTTTATGTAAGTAGATGTAGAGATAAATGTGAAATGTTTCAGAGAATTAGCTCAAACTGTTGTTAGTAAGCTGTTAGAGAGGCTCTGTGGTCCAGTGGTGTTGTCAGATGTCTGTGAATGTGCGTTCACTGGTTCGATTCTCCCTTGTGTGTTTTTCATTTAAAGGCAGACGTCCTCAGCAGTGGACTGAAAGTCTGTCAGAGAACAGCTCTGAGTGCGGACGGTCCGGTGGAGCAGCGGCATCGAAAGCGATTCGCAAAGCACCTGCTACCATGTAGCAGTGGGTTCAATTCCTGTGAGACCCCGTCACCTGGAACGCGATTCCCACGGAAGTGGATGAGGGCTGTGACTTCCTCTGCCCCCTAAGAGACCTGTAAGCAGAGGGTTATAACTCCACCCAGCTGAGGTTTTACAAACTGTTGCAGAAATGGGATTGAATGTTGCTTCTTGTTGCAGGTGGACTATATTTTAATAATCCTACTTTATTTTACTTATTCATTACTACTAATCCTACTGACATGATCAATTATTCTACTTATTTCTGATACATTGTCAGTTATGTGATGTTGTTATTAAGCTCAGTTACTTTGTATCACTAGTGTTTACTGTGTGTGTTTAATGGTCAGAACCAGATCAGAACCAACTATTGTGTTTGTTTCCCAACAAGGACTTGAGCTTGAATCCTCAAAAACCTTCCACCTCAGATATTAACATCAGCAGATTATCTCACTGAGCTATTTCTACTGATGGATTATTATTTTTAGTAAAGCACTAATACCTGTGACGTCCATAAATGTGCAGGAAAGCAGCACTGTTATACCTGAGACACAAGGAGCTCCATTAGAGCTCGTATAACCCCCCAGATTATAAAACTGTAAAAAATGAAGAGAATGCAGTAAAAGGAAAGTTTAAAATACCCTCAGCAGGAATAGCTCAGCAAGATAAGCAGCTGATGGTGTTGATACCTGAGGTAGAGGGTTCAAATCCAAGCTCATGTGTTGTGAGATTTTTAAAGGTTTCTCCTCAGTAATGTGAACAATAAATACAACTACGAAGCTCTCTCTCTGCTCAAAGAGGTGAAGAAAAGTAACAACTGACCCAGACTCTACTGTCAGTGGTACTGTGTCAGTGAATAAGCAGATGATTGTCTGATTGGAAGTGGGGTTTGAGCCTCGCTCAACTCTGAATTATGAAGTCAGATGTTCGTAGAAACAAGTGAAAAGCTGTTAGAAGCACAGAGAGTCTCAGATCAAACAGTGCAGAGTGTTAGAAGAGTGATCAGGAGACCAAAGGTTGTGTGTTCGATTCTCTTATGAGACTGAGTGTTTTGTGTTCCAGCAGCCAAAGTAAAAAGATAAAAGCGCCCGGAGAAGATGTTCTAGTGTGAAGGGAGCATGGTGGCGCAGTGTGCATGGGAGCGGCCAGAATGCAGAAGTGTCTGGTTCGAGGCTCGCTCGGCGCCGGATGCCAGGTTCCTGGAGCCTCACCCCGCTGCAGAGGGAGAGGAGGGGGCCGTGTCCCCTCCCAGGCTTCCAGAGAGGTAAAAGCAGGGGATTATAGATTTTAAAATAATTTTATTGAACATCAACAACATACACATACAATAATAACACCCCTCTTCCCCCTCCCCTCAGGAAGTCTTCTCTGTGGATCGCCCCCTCCCCTCCACAATGAAGTCTTCTTAGACTTCATTGTGGAGGGGAGGGGGCGATCCAGGAAACAGGACCTGAGAGAGAGAGAGAGAGAGAAAACACACAGTTAGTACAGGTAGCACACTTATTAAATTAGACACTATTATATTAAATTAAACACTACTATATTACATTATATTAGACACTATTGTACTATATTAAATTTAATTAAATTAGACACTACTATATTATATTACATTAAATTAAACACTACTATATTATTAAATTATATTATATTACATTAAATACTATTATATGAAATTAAATTAAACACTACTATATTATATTATATTAAATTATATTACATTACATTAAATTAGACACTATTATATTACATTACATTATATTAGACAGTACTATATTATATTATACTATATATTACATTAAACACTATTCTATTAAATTAAACACTATTATATTATATTAAATTATATTAAATTAAATTCAATTAGACACTAATATATTATATTAGACACTACTATATTATATTACTACATATACAAGAATAATGTAAGATACATACCACAGCATCGCAGTGGAAGACGGTTACAGCAGCGTGTCCGGGGTTCTGGTTGGGAGCGATGGGATTTGGGTTACGGGAGCCTGAGGGTCCAGAATTTCCTTAATTTGTGTAAACAACCAAAGGAAATAGTTAATATTAATAGTTAGTAAGAGTTAAAACAAGTAACTGCAGCTTGAGCTCCCAGAAACCAAAGCAGAGCACAATAAGAACACTTACTGAGGTTGGATTTCACCCCACGGACCTCTCCAATATCTGTAATTTACACACAGTCAATATATCAACAGTTAGTGTTTAATCAGTTAGTGAATAATAACATAAACTCTGTAAAGCGGACTTACCTGAAGACTCTTCTGTGTTTCCTGCAGGCCGTGTCAACAGCAGTCCTCCTGTAACTCTGGACATCAGCCTTCAACCTGTAAGAAACTGACATATTATAACACTGTCAGACAATTCAATTCAAACTCAAACCCACAACCTAAAGACTGACACACAGTCAGTGGTTGCAGCTTTGTGTAGATTACAGTGAAACAACAAACATTTATAGGATTCAGTCACATTTATAATCAACATTAAGACTAGAAAGTGGACCAACCTGAAGACTCTTCCATAGTTCCCACAGAGCCTCAGCAGCAGTCCTCCTGCAGCCATCAGACACACAATAAAGTCTAATTATTGACAGAGCAACAAACAAACAATCAATATATCCAAAGATCCAGAAACAGTCACTTTGTTTGTCTTTGTTGTTCGAGACGCTGTTCGCTTGTCGCTTTCACTGAACGCTCATCAACAGGTGGCGTTGATTTCCTCTGACAATAACAGCAAGAAAACAACAACAACGACTGTTTAAAAGGTAATGTTCATTCTCACAATAAGCTCTCATTGTCACCTTAATGTAACTCGAGTGAATTTCACCGATTTGTTTGTTTAGCTGTTAGTCAGCGAGCAACAGACGCAGCGACCCTGTTTATTTGTTTGTTTGTGTTTGTTTGTGTGGCCGTTCAGCCTCTGACTGACCTTCTAACTCACAACAAACTCCAGTTCTTCGTCTTATGTCCTCTTTTCTTCTTCCTCTCGTCCTCCAAACGTCTCCATGAAGCAGATATTCCCAGTATTCCCTCTCTAGTCCACAATGACTCTCCACCAGGGAACAGACTCTCCACCGGGCTGCTCAGGCGAACTGACGCCATGACGGAAAGTTCGCGGTCGCTCCGGATACTTGAACCTGTTTCATGAAGACGTTTAGAGAACGAGAGGAAGAAGGAGAGACAATAAAAGAAGAAACTGGAGTTTCCTGTGAGTTATAAGGTCAGTCAGAAAGCGACAACAAACAAACAAACACAAACAAACACAGGGTCGCCGCGTCTGTAGTTAACGACGTCAGCTAGCGAACACCTATGCTTACAGTTGTTGACTATAAACAAACAAACATCGATCAAACTCCTGAGAATGAACATTACCTTTTAAACAGTCGTTGTTGTTGTTTTCTTGCTGTTATTGTCAGAGGAAATCAACGCCACCTGTTGATGAGCATTCAGTGAAAGCGACAAGCGAACAGCCTCTCGAACAACAAAGACAAACAAAGTGACAATGAAGCTGCTGGTAGTTCAATGGCTGCTGTTTGTTTGTTTGTTTGTTTGTTGTTTCCTCGCTGTGTGAGAATATCAGAGATCGATTAAGGTCATTATCCACTGTCATTGTCTCACTGACTGATCAAACAGTGTAACGTTGCTCTTGTGGAGCAGTACCGGCAGTAACACTGAAACCGAGCCAGCTGTGTGTGATTGACCTTTATTGGAGCCAATAAGATCTGCTGCCACTAGAGGGTCTGATTATTATTGATTATTGGCTCATTGAATTATTCTACTACTATATCTGGCAGTTTTGTGAGGCAGTTTATACTTCTTTGATTTTTAAAGACTTTATTAGATATTAAATATATATATTAAATGTCACTATTTCTGTCATTTTCTTTTACAATCTAGTGTTTCATTTGAGCTTTCAGCTACCTTTTTAAAAAATAGAATAAAACCTTTTTTTAAATATACATACAGTTTTACAGTCGGTTGTAGGAACTATGGAAGGGTCTCCACTTTCCAGTGTATATATATATATATATATATATATATATATTAAAAAACTTCCCTCTCACCCTCTTGGGGTGGTATCTGTGTCATCCTCCAGCTCGGGTCCTCTACCAGAGGCCTGGGAGTTTGAGGGTTCTGTTCAGTATCTAAGCTGTTCCTAGGACTGCGCTCTTCTGGACTGAGGCTTCTGATGTTGTTCCTGGGATCTGTTGGAGCCACTCCCCCAGTTTTGGGGGTCACTGCCCCGAGTACTCCTACTACCACATCTGCTCCAGCTGTTCTTTCAACCCTTGGTACTTTTCAACCTTTTTGTATTCCTTCTTTCTCATGTTGGCGTCTGCTGGTATGGCCACATCTATCACCACCGCTTTCTTCTGCTCCTTGTCTATCACCACTATGTCCGGTTGGTTATATGTATATATCTATATATATCTATATATATGTATCTATATATATATGTATATATATCTTCAGGTTGCTGAACACAGTATATTTACTTTACTAAGTTTTATTTTAGTTCTATGAATAAATTAAATAAATAAATAAATAAGTAACTGACTCCACTTGCTTTCTTGTCAAGAGTATATAACATATTTTATCCATGTTCTACACAAACTGTCTGAAATGTGAGGAAAGTCAGCTACATGTTCAAAATATATCATAAATATGTTTACATTTGGTGCAGAATTAAAATAATAAGGATAAAATATGAGGTAATAAAAATCATGTTTTTCATATACATACATATATTTATATACATAGGAATAACAGGTTGAAACACTTTATTAAAATAATTATTACCCATTATATCCAAAATAAATAATACTGGAGGGCACTCATTAAACATGTATCTGTTGTCCTATAGTACATATACAGCCTTACTGTTGATGTAAATATCAATACAACTATATCTGTCTAAAGTAAAAGTATTCTACTACAGTATCTGGCAGGAACATGGTGACAATATCTTTGTTTTCCTTTTGTTGTGATACAATTGGCCTCAAAGTCTCACTATTCTTCCAATAATTGTACAGATTCTAGACACCAGTGTCATCTTTAAAACAGCTTTTCCTTCTTTGATTTTTAAAGACTTTATTAGATATTAAATGTCACTATTTCTGTTTATTTTCTATTTTCCCAAGGGAAGAAAACATGTAAATATATTAAAATATATATGAACGTGAAAATAATTCAAAATGAAATGAAAGATAATCAAATAAAAACTGGGATGCAAAAATCATCATTCCCACTAACTGTTCCTATTGCAATTGTAAAATCTGTTGCGATCAATACGATCAATATAATATAATATATCATGAATATGCCATTTAATGAATGCAACCTGATGATTTATTCTGTGTTTGATGGTTTCAGGAGGACTGCTGCTGACACGCTCTGTGGAAACTATGGAAATCTCATTTATTCCATAACCCTCTGCTTCTCATCCAGATCAGCCAAGAACCGGCAGACACCGTTGTCCACTTCTTGGCTCAAGGGACTCGAGTGTTTGTGAACTACTAAAGAGTCTTCAGGTAAGTCCACTTTCCAGTCTTAATGTTGGTGAACATTCATATCAGTACTAGTAACCATTCATGAGCAAGACTTATTATTATATCCAAAATAAATACTGGAGGGCACTCACTAAATTATTAACATGTATCTTTGCATATAAACATATTGGTAATAACGTTTTACTTTAGAATAAAAAGGAATTAATCTGAATTAACCACAAAATGAAATCAATAAGAATGTATTAATGTTGTTGTCCTATAGTACATATACAGTCTTACTGTTGACGTAAACATCAGTACAACTATATCTGGTTTTAGTATTAAAAGTCCAAATATGTCATTTAGTGTTAGATAAGTAAAGTGAATGAATAGGAGTCGACCAGTCGCAGACCTCAATGTCACCTTCAGAAACCAAAATCCAAATCCATAACTCTCTGTTCTCTCCCGAGGTTGGTTTCAATGTGTGCACCGTGGATTAAATGAACACAACTCAAAGTTCTGATGATTTATTGCGTTCGAGGGTTGCAGGAGGACGCGGTCCGACACCTGGGGAAGTTACTCTGACAGAAAACAGACAGATTATTCTTGTAGAAATAAAGATCTCAGTTAAAGCATTAGTGTTAGCTCAAAGTGTTGCATGTTGGGGAAAAGCCAGAAACAGTCAAACAGTCAATCCTCTGAACAAAGTTCATTTTCCCCCAAAAAACAAAAACAGATGTTGACTCTGAAAGAAGAAAAACAATAACAAAATAATTAGTTAATAAAGTTTTCAGTTGAACTGAAATGGACACATGAAGAACCCAAGAGGGACTTGAACTCCCAGATCCAGATCACAGACCTGTCAGCATCTTATCTCACTGAACTGTACTTGAAGTTGAACCTGTGCATGTTGTTGTGTTTGTTGTGTTTCACACTGAAGGAGAAAACATTGAAAATGGTCAAAACACAGTTGGTTTTGAACCTTCAGTCTCTGAGTAAAGAGAACCCACTGTGACAACTGTTTACTCATTGAGCTATATGTTGGGACAGTTGAGTTGAACTTGTTGTTGCTTTTCTTTACATTTTTGAGGAGAAAACACAGAAAAGTGTTATCAGAAGACAAACTGGGTTTGATTCCTCCACTCTAGATCATCAGGTAGCAGCACCTTATCTCAGTGAGCTACACCTGAGAGTTATAATCACTGGTTCGTTGTTATATTTATTATTCACGTTGCTGAAGTAAACACTTAAAGATCTCAGAAAAAGTTGTCTGGGACTTGAACCTTCCAACTCAGGTATCAATATAAGCTACTTATCTCACTGAGCTATTTGCACAGGTGAGTTTTTTTCTTTCAAAGCACTAATACCTGTGACCTCCATGAATGTGCAGGAACGATAGACTTTATTAATTCTTGAAATTGGGTCGTCATAGCAGCCAGGTACATTGGTAGAAAAGATAAAAAAGATAAAGACACCGCAGCAAAGAAGATGTGTTGTACCTGATCTCCATTATAGTTCATATAACCCCAGGGTTGTCTGTCCAGTGTAAAACCTAAATTAAATGTAGTAAAAGTAAATGAAAGAATTAACAAAAAGAATCCAATCAGCAGGAATAGCTCAGTAAGATCAGTAGCTGATGTGGTTGATACCTGAGGTTGAGGGTTCAAATCCAAGCTCTTGCATTTGGTGATTTTTAAAGGTTTCTCCTCAGTGATGTGAACAATAAATACAACTACGAAGCAGCAAATTCCCAACCTGAGTTGTAGCTCAGTGCTGTTAAAGGATGGTCCTATAGCTCAATGTGGAAGATGGAAGCAAGTTCAGAGGTTGTGGGTTCAAACCTTTGACATTGTGACTTTTGAAATTCAACACCAAGAAGAAGAAGAAGACTGAAAGCCTCTAAGAAACGAGGAAGAAATGTCTGTGAACACATAGTGCAGTGTGTTAGTAGGCTAATTGACCCTTCTGACGACATGGGTTTGATTCCCTTATGAAGTCCAGTGCCCCAAAGTGAAGAAATAAAAGCGCCCAGAGAGCAGGTTCTAGTGCGAAGGGGGCTCGGTGGCGTGGTGGCTTCGTCTTGTGACTGTAGGGTCAGCCAGTGGAGGAACCGCTGGTTCGAATACCACCCGGCCGGTTCCTGGACTATCGATCCCATGGCAGTGGGTGAGGGAGGGGGCCTTGTCCCCTCCCGAAGCTCAAGAGAGAAAAAAAGGGGGTTATAAAAAAAACCAAGCGCAATTTTGCTCAAATGTTTTAAGCTTTCCGTGTCCGAATGTGAGACGAGAGGTTGGCAGACGCCGCCACAGGTGCCTTTTTGGCAAGAAATTGATGACGTCAGAGCTCCCCTAGTGGCATACGCAGCAACTGCAGTGGTCAGACTCAACCATTTGTCACTGAATCCTTGCCCACACACAGCAGTGGTTTGGATTCCAGGTAGGATTGTAGGTATTTGAAAACTCTAAGGTGATGGACAAACAAAAACAACTAATCAGATAATCTGAATCTGAATTAAAAACTACTGGCAGCACTTTGGGTGCTGGGTTCCTGGAGTCTCACCCCGCTGCAGAGGGAGAGGAGGGGGCCGTGTCCCCTCCCGGAGAGATGGAAGCAGGGGGTTATGGATTTTAAAATAATTTTATTGAGCGTTTACACTGGCAACACACATCACAACAACCGGGTGGCCCCTCCCCTCCCACAATGAAGTCTTCCACAAAGAAGACTTCATTGTGGAGGGGAGGGGGGATCCAGAAACCAGGACCTGAGAGAGAGAGAGAGAGAGAGAGAGAGAGAGAGAGAGAGAGAGAGAGAGAGAGAGAGAGAGCAGGTGATTAGTACAGACCTGCTACTAATATATGGCAATATAGACACATTCTAATATATATCATTTAGTAAAGTGACGAGCCCTGCTTGGTGACATATTTGATGGGTATTTCATATTAGAATTAAAACTACAATAAACCCACAATAAAAGTGTATCCTTTTCTAGCACCTGTTTAAGTTGCAACACAAAAAGAGAAAACACAACGACAAATCAGAAAACACATAGATATGGACTATTGGAACCCCTGTTTCTACCTCTCTTAGGTATCCCACATTAACATGGACGTATTAATACAATATTTTCCTTATTTAGTGGTTTGAATTTTCAGATTTGGCAACTTGAACGCATAGGTCGTTGTTGTGTTTTCTCTTTTGTGTTGTGTTTTCTGATTTGCCGTTGTGTTTTCTCTTTTTGTGTTGTGTTTTCTGATTTGCTGTTGTGATTTGCACCTCAGGGCCACCGTAGAAGACAGACTCTATTCTCTGGCAAACAGCCTGGTCCTGCATCAGAGGAGTTTGTTAAAACAAGTTGAGAGTGTCACAAAGCGCAGCCGGAGCTCCGAGGAACCAAAGCAGAGCACATTAAGTGTACAGTACACACACTGTTATTCTTTCTAAGCTCTGATGCAGACAATGTATGTTTGCTGCTCACTTTGAGTTCAATCAGACCGTAATTAGGAGGCAGTGCTAAATGCTATTGTTTGTTTGTTTGTTTGTTTTATTCAATGTAAATGAATTGTGTGGTCAATATAAGAAAGACAATCTAATCAATCTCTGGGTCCTTTAAGCCACCAGCCAAACAAAGGCCTCCAACCCTGTGGAGCTGCTGCATGGATTAGCTGAACATGTGGTCTAGATAGTTTAATGAATGCAGTGAGAATGAACACTGCCTACAACCTGACGCACACATTATCTGCACTAATAGGACACAATCTGAGCTTCAAGGGCAACATACATGAGCTCCAAACCATTAACTGTGCAAGAAATGAACAAGTTTGAACAACACTTACTTCTCTCATGCAGGAAATACCTGGCTTTTCTTCTTCTCTGGATTTACTGGCGGATCACAAACAACCTCCAGGTGCACGTCGCCACCTACGGCACAGGAGTGTGTAGCAGCCCCACAAGCATTAGAGGCTGCCCTAGTCATACCTGATTGGGAAATTTGGTACACGTTTCACACTTTACACACGCTGGTAAATATCTGTTCTGGATTCATGAATGAGTTAGAGAAACAGAGTGTTGTCAACACTTGCAAGAGGATCTTCAGCAAAAAGACAATGTCAGGTTCAAAAGCCTTCCCTAGAAGCCCAAATATGTAATTTAGTGTTGGATGTGTAAAGTGAATGAATGAATAGGAGTCGACTATTATGGACATCAGATCAATGCATTAAAAAAAAGGTTTATTTTACCAAACAATGTTCCCAGTGTCATCCAAACTGTTTAACTTTAGGAGTTAGCAGGAGGACTCACATTCATCTTGTTCATGTTAAACAAGGATAAATAAAGTTCTCAGTTAAAGACAGTTTGAGTTGAAAAAGCCAGAAACACTCAATCCTCTGAACAAAGTTTATTTCCCCCCCAAAAAACAAAAAGAAAACAAAAGAATTAGAATGAGTAATCTTAAGGATAAACTAAAGCCTTATAGGGTCAGTCAGTTGAACAGTTGTTGCTGTTATTGTCAGAGGAATCATCTTTATATAGAAGCAATGTTCGATGTCTCTTTGGTCTCGGGAGGGGGACACGGCCCCCCAATATGAATTGTATGTTGTTTTGTAATTATTCAAGTAATACATATTCAATAGAAGCTCATTTTTACTCTGGGACTATTATACCGAAAGATTCAATAGCAGCTGCTGATGAAATATCGGTAAATATCAGCTCTTTCATCTTCTTACTTCGGTTGCTGGACCACAAAACCCACTTAGCCTTTAAGGGAATCAAACACATGACTTCAGAGCTCCACCTGAGTCCTCTAACCCACTGCGCCACCGAGCACCACAGCTGCTTATCTCACTGAGCTGTTGTTCAAGGATCAAGTTCACGCTCATGTATCCTGACATTTGTGAAGGTTTCCCCTCAGTGACGTGTTACACCTGCACTCTTCATATCACATTAAACACATTATTATTCCCAAACTTAAGTAACATCCGGTTGGATAGACGTCAGGGTTTAGAGCCACAAGGTTGGTAGTTCAATCCCCGATTCTACCTCTCCACACAGACTGTTACTGATACAGTAAACTCCACGAGTACAGTCGGATTAAAACCCAGACTTTGGAGACGCTAAATATTACATCATTCTCCTGATTAACAAAGTGAGTGTGTCTTTAAGAAGCTGAACTCTTTATAATACTAATATTATAATAATAATAAAAGCAGTGATTGGATGAATTTGGGGCAGATTATTTCCTGTTTAGGGAACTTGACATTTATTTGGTTTAATGCAGAGTGCCCTCCAGTGGTCACAGAGAAGAACTGCAACACTGTACACCAGTTAACATGAGTTAATATGAAAGCAGTTCACTGGTGTTATTGAATTGCTATTTATTTATTTATATATTAGATACTACTATTAGACAGTACTACTACAAACAGGCCATCATCCAACACAATTCAACAGAATCACATGACCTTAATACTGATACAGATTATCAGCAAAGAGCTTAATTCCTAATCGATCATTCCGTTCACAATCAATCAATCAATCAATCAATCACACTCTCTGTCTCTCTCTCTCTCTCTAATTAATCTTCTGCTTTGTTGCACCAAATGTAAAAATTAATTTCCAAATTTGTAGCTGATACATTTTGAACATTTAGCTGATTTGATGCGTGGAACATGTCAAGAATGGAAATCTACTAATATATAAATATAAATAATTGTTGATTATTGACGAACGTTCATGTAACTCATAACTCCTGACACTACTATATCATTCATTATAAAGACAATATACACACATTAGTATGACTTACATGTGTGTCTGCAAACTATAAAGGACTAATGTAAGGCACAAGAAGGTGTGCCACAAGCAATATATGTGAAACAATACAGCAAAGAGTGAGATTCTTCATTGATAAAGTCATTACATTCCTAATCCCTGAGCTGAGAGAACATATACAGGAGTAACGGAAGATAGCCTGAAGGTCCAGCAGCTGGACCCAGACTTTCTTTCATTTCTGGGAAAACAACCAAAGGAAGTTTAGATAATTCTTTAAGATGTAAACTTTACTAAACAGCCTGGTCCTGCATGAGAAGAGTGCAGCAGGTTTGCTTTGTTTTGTTTTTTGTTTACTGCTACTGCAATTAAGATTATATGAAAGTGAATGAATATGAAATCAGTACAATTAAAGGAATAATTGTCAGACGTTGTGGCCAAATGTATCACATAAGAAGGAGAGTTTTTATCAGCTGTGTCCATGATTATTTCACAACAATATCTCAGTTCTTTGTCTTATTTTCCTCCAGTCTTCTTCCTCTCCTCCTCCAAATGTCTTCATGAAGCAGGTTCATGTATCGGGAAAGACCGCAAAGTTTTCATTGCGTCAGTTCGCAGCCAGGAAGGGAGTCTCTAACATGGGGGAGAGTCATTGGTGCACTAGAGGGGGAATATTGGGAATACCAAAGTGTGCAAAGGGGAAAAAAAAGACTTTTTTGAAGCATGTTTTATATTAGGGTATATTTATTGATTTTAAAAAGGGTTTCTATGTCCTGGAAATGCCAACATTGATTAATTATATATATTGTAGATAGACTTCAATTTCTGTCTTTGTTTTTTATTACACAACTACCACAGCATGTTTATATTTAAAAAAAAAAGAAAGCCATGTTTAATTCAATGTGTTTTATTAAAATGTTTCACTCATTCAGTCGATCACAGTAACAAAAGTGTCAGGATTTTGTGAAATGTGGTTACGGTCATTTAAAAACACAAGTCCAATATTACAAACAGAGGGTGCTACATTATGCAGTGTACAACTGTGAAATCTCCCCAAAACATTTATTGAGTTTTTTTAATCACCCTAAATCCAAAAGTTAAAATGTAAAGGAAGTGCAAAAAATTAGTAAACTGAACATTAAAAATATCAGTAAGAGATTTATACAAAGTGCACCAAGAACAGATCTTTGTTAAACAATTGTTAAGTGTTAATATACACAAAGGTTTGTGACGCCATGGTGAGACAATTTTGTAAACACATTCAGACATTTTCCTTTTGGTCAAGATTCACATTTAAAATTCAATAATATTGCATCAATATATATTTATATATATGCATGTATGCACACTTAATAGTTAGCTTTGTACACCAATACATACAATATTTTTCTCGCTTGTAAAAGTTAGACCAAATGTGCCCAAACGAAAAAGGGACTGATTCAATTTTAGCAGCATCTTTGGCGCTTGTTGCCAGAGGGAAAACCTGATTAGTCAAAAAATGTTATTCAAAATAAATATATAAATAAATACAGTATTGTGAGGCTCATAAAAACTGGCAGCCCTCTTTAGCAGGTTAGTATTACCAGTACCCTACAGACAGGGGTTTATTGCACGAGAGCAACGGGGAACGACTCCCCCTTGGCACGGACCCAACTCAAGCTCAATGAGACCCGACATGCACTCACTCAAAATCCAGGAAGAAAAACAACCCGCCTTCCCCGAAGACATTCTGCATAGAATTGAATGGATGACGTGAGAGATCAGATCAGCTGCGGTCGTTTTGCTTCACACTGAACTATTCTATGCAGGATCTCAGATGTAAGGTCAACTTAACTTTTTTTTTGGTCAAACCCATTCAAATATCCTTCTGTTTTATGTTGAGGTTGCAGTGAGTTACCCCAGCCAGCGGGGCGCCACTGCACTACTGCACCAGTTCATCAGTAGCAGCCGTCTCTCCAGGTGCTGTCACGCAGGGCACTGAGGGTGGACAAGCTCTTTGGAGGCGTCAGTAAACTGAGGAAGATAAAAACAATTCTCACAATCAGCTGATAACACAGACAAAGGGTGTCAATAAGCCCAGCCACAGTTTCATCTGATGTGCTGCTGAATAAGATCTGATGTTGCTGTTTAAAGACACGCTCCGTGAAAGCAATGGAGCGCAAATCAAAGTGAATTTTGGGACATTAGCTTGCAGCTCTGTAAAGCTGGACTCACAGTAGCGCTTTAAGCAAAATGCTAAGAATAGCATAGTAACGGTAACTCTTTACACCCATCGTAGCAGGTATACTGTAAATGTCAGCATTTTAGCTTAGCTTGTTAGCATCTTTGGTTAAGCAGCACTTGAAGTACCACAAAGACTGATGGGAATGTCTTTAGTTTTGCAGGAATTTAGTCACGAACCAAAGTACAGGACAAAGTGAAAGGTTTGAGCTGATGATGATGCTCGATGAAAATCAAAGCACATATATATAAAAAGATATCGGGGGGGGTGTCTGTACCCAGTTTCATGGCCATCCATCCAACCCATAAATGTAAACTTCACGGTAGCGCTAGAGAAAGCTCAGAGGATCATCACAGGCATTGGGATCAATGTTGAACATGTTGAGATATTTGAAGTATTTTAATTCTCTAATTGTCTGCATGTAAGAGTTGTTGTCAGTCCTCCATTTTACTGATGCAGAAACTCACTGCGCTCATTTAGTTCATGAAGACCGATGCTGTTTGACTGTTTAGTGCCCAAACAATGACTGTAAATCCCCCATAGTCACATGTCTGATAAAACTAAATATCTGGTCCTCAAATGAAAAGTGTGGATTTGAACCTTCAGAGGAGAGCACAAACAAATTTCCTTTTTTCTTATTAGGTTGGTTCTTTAAGGGTTTACCTTCGTGCCGGTTGGACCACCTTGCTGCGAGGGGTGGAGCTTGTGGTGCCAACAAAGGAGGCGGGTCGGGGCAGGCTGCTGCGGGGCGTGTTTGGGGTGGACGTGGGCGCACCGCCTCCACCTGCCGGTTTACTGAGCAGAGGGATCCCACTGCCCACCCCAGCATTACCCCCGCTGCTGCTGCTGTTCAGAGACTGGAAGCTGGCGGAGGTTGGCATTGAGGCCGAGCCCTTGATGGTGGGACTGACGTAGGCGGTGGCTTTCAGCGGTTGCCGTGACAACGAGGTGAAGTTCCCAACGCTCTGGACCCTGTTCTGCAGCTGTCCTGGGGAAGGGACTGGGCGAACACATGTACGAGCACAAAAGAAAGCTGAATTAGTGATCCTGCTGCATAATAATACACTTTAATCAGAGAAACAAGAGAACTGGCGTCTTACTGGAGGACTGCAGTCGAGCCAGCCCACTGGACGAATCAAAACTCTGGCTGTTACGAAGCAAACAAGGGGAAGCGCTAGGATTGGTTGGAATGGGCACACTAGGCATGCTGGGAGCTCTGACAAGGTTAGGCATGCTCCTCCGCAGCTTATCTAACAAACACAGACAGATAAAGTGTTAAATAAATGAAATTAAAAGATACAGTAGGGCTGATTTTAAATTCTCAATATACCATTATATATATATATATATATATATATATATATATATATATATATATATAACTGTTGCCTGTGCCTGTTCTTTTATTACGACTCCATCCCTTAAGACGGCTCATGCAGCTGGCCGTGATCTACTTTACCGTAACAACAGCCCCCTCAGTCAGATATACACTCCTAACTCTTAATCCCATCAAACTCTCTCTCGTCTTAGAACACACGCCAGTCTGAGAGCTGCAGGAGCAGTTGTACAAGAGGCTTAGACAGAGTTATTATGAAGTGGTTAGGACGTCGCTGTGGGTCAGTCCCAGGCGGTGATGGATGATGATCATAGATAAATGATGAGAGAAGATAAAAAGTAATGAATCAATGGGTTTAAATTAGTGTCTTCATGTTAAAAGTTGGATTCATGTTCAATGACAAATGTCCATGGAGGTTAGGGGACATTTCACTCTGAATCAAGTGTAAAACAATGTCGACTTACTCTCATATTCGGCTGGACGCCATGAAGAAGTTTCCGCACAACAATACGACCGACAACATACACATACACACAAAAATATTTAACGTATGACACACACACACACACACAAAGAGATAACTGATTAGTACTGTTTACAGCAATAGGTCTAAGCTGGCATGTTTCTCCCTCCTGTTTCTGCCATTCAAAATTAAAAGGGAGACTCCTAAGATGTAGTCATTTAACAGGCATGGATAGTTGCATTGTGGGAAATGGAGGCTTGACGGGTTTTGGATGTCTCAGCCACCGCTACATTGATTTTGACCACCCCGACTTTAAGGAAGTGTAATCCTGAGACACCACAGTCTATTCATGCTGGGAATGCTGTTGCCATAAGGCACCTCCTTTAATTCAGGAGCAGTCATAACATCCTACCGTCAATGAAAGATATTGATTGTCAATATTCAGTTTTCAGAAATGTCTTATTGTCACACACTGAGTGCCTGACTCCATCTTGATACAAACACTGGGGACAGTGATGGAAAGACTTTTTCCTTCTGTTGTATTTTAAGAACCTTTTGGAGTCGTGTTTCTCGCCATCCAATTAATATTCACTCTCCTTTTAGCCGTTTTGTTCCACCTCCTCAGGGACATATCTGGCTCTTCCGTTGCTAATTGTTACACCAGCTAGTTGCTGACATTGGTCGACTGCCATTTGGTACTGGGCAGGTAGCGTCCAGCGGGTGTATCGAAGCTTTTTTGCTGAAAATGGCGTGAAATAGGCGTGAGAGTGAAACAAAACAAAGTTGTGGGCTTTAAAACCAAAACAAGGAGCTCAAAGACCGTAAAAAAGGCTCCGTGGAGCTGAGGGAACATGCAGTGGTGGTTGATATATTCTACACAAGCAACCCCTTTTTTTTCACATTAGAAATAATCACCTGATCTACGGTTAATGTAAAATATTTGGAAGTTCAGCTTTAACGCTTCTTTCAAAGTATCTTTTCTCACCTGATCCGGGTCTGAAGCCCTGCGACTCGGCTGCGCAGAGGCTGCCCAGTCCCGGTCCCTGCGGCTGTGGTTGAAAGGCGAACCCAGCGGAAGGGTAAGGGGGGGTGGAGGGGGTGGAAGGAGGGGTGGACAGGGAACTTGTGCTTCTTCGCCAGTCTCGGATGCTGGAGAAGGTGTGGGAGTGCGGAAGGCGGGTGAGGCGAGGCTGCGGCGGGGGCAGGAGGCCGTAGTCTTCGTCGTCCTCCTCGTCTTCCTCCTCCAGGTCGGGGCCGGCGCTGAGCTGGCTGAGCTGGAAGGTGAAGCTCTGGCTGCGGCGGTTGGCCAGGACTGACGATGTGCTGGCGTAGTCCTGTCTTAGACCTGGGGGAGCGAGATATGAGGACCAGGGTATAGCAGCGTACAGCAGACACACACACAGACAC